AACACATGCTTCTTATAGAAAACAAAGTGAATGAAATACAGTAAAACTATTTGTAATTCATCTTTCAGAGAGAGTGACCTGTCTAATTGTTTTAATTTTGTTTATGATTAGAATGGTTGAACATTTACATTTGTTAGCCATTTAATTTGCTCTCTGACGAGATATATCCTTTATCTTTATATTTATTGGATTTTGGATTCTTTATTTTATTTTATTTTTTTAAGATTTTATTTATTTATTTGACAGAGAGAGAGAGACAACAAGAGAGGGAACACAAGCAGGGGGAGTGGGAGAGGGAGAAGCTGGCTTCCTGCTGAGCAGGGAGCCCGATGCAGGGCTCGATCCCAGGACCCTAAGATCATGACCCAAGCTGAAGGCAGACGCTTAACAACTGAGCCACCCAGGCACCCCTGGATTCTTTTTTTAATATTTAGGATATTAGTCTTTTGCTTTTTACTTTAAACTTCTGCCTAATATAACCTTTCCCCTCGGATTATTGTTTTTGATATTTTTGATACACAGATGTTTAAAATTTTTATATTGTAGAGGCGCCTGGGTGGCTTAGTCAGTTGAGCTTCCAACTCTTGATTTTGGCTTAGGTCATGATCTCAGGGTTGTGAGATTGAGCCCCGCGTGGGGCTCTGCACTGGGCGTGGAGCCTGCTTAAGATTCTCTCTTTCTCCCTCTGCCCCTCCCCTTCCCCTATCTCTTAAAAAAATTTTTTATATTGTAAATCTGTTGATATTTTCCATTTGTGATTTATTGTTATTGTTTTCACATTTGGAATGATGAGATAAATAGTAATCTATGTAGTTTTGCCAACTTTTTAATATTTTTTAAAAAATTTAATTCTTTGATTCACATGGTGTTTGTTTTGCAGTATAGTATAAAGGGAAATCTTCCCGGACCTTCTTTTAATATAGCTAACCAGTGTTTATGTAGTTAGACGAAGAGAGACTGACTATTCCATGTGATGGTACTCAACTATAGTGTATTCTGGAGAACAGAGAGTCGTAAGTAGATTACCCACCTTGCTGAAAGTAGGGCATATGAAGGAGAATTTAAGACTGGAAAGATGGTTTAAAGTGTAAATGGAGAATGCCTTTAATTCCAAGTTAAAAAATTAAAATTTGTAGGCAGTGAGAATTTTGAGTAGCTGAATGTGCTTGAAATGAACTTTTAGTTACTAGGACCAACTCAAACTGATCTAACTTAAGCAAAGAAAATTTTTTTAGGAAGAAATTTTATTGGCTTGTGTAATTGAAAAATCAAGAGGTAGTATTAGCTTCAAATATAAGTTGATCCAAGTATGTCATTGGGTGGCTTCTCTGTCTCAACCTTGCTCTCTTCTATACTGGCCTTTTTAAAGGTTCTTAGAGATGGCCCTTCACGTCTCCAGTTTTAAATCCTTTTAGATCCAAGTTGGAAGCAAAGAATGCCTCTTCCATGAAATTTCCTACAAATCCAGACATTTTCCTGACTGGACTCATTGATTCACTTTGGCCACAGGGAAAGTGTGATGATGATTGGCCAGAGGGGGTCCTCAGCCTTCTCCAAATGAATTAATGTTGGTGAGGGAATTTAGGTGCTCTTGTTGGCCAGGCCTGGGTCATGTGCTCTTCTCCTGGAGTCAGGAATGGAACCTCACTGAGGCCATACAGTCTCAATGTTGGGGAGCAGCGATTTCCCAAAGCAGTACAGCCTACTGGAGGAATAGTAGGTGTATTAGTCAGCTTAGGCTAGGTTATGCTGCAGTGACCAGCAACACCGAAGTCTCTGTGGCTTACTGTAGACAGCTGTAACCAAATTCTCATTCACGCTAAGTCTACTGGGGCCTCGGGCCTTCCATGTTGCGGTCCATGTTCTAGCCCAGGGTGGCTGTGTTGGGACCAGGCTCTCAGAGTTTTGGCCAGAGTAACAGGGCTGTCTCTCCATTTCTCTGCACTAACTGTATAGTCTTGCTGTCATCATCTGTTAGGTACAAAAGGAATTCATTTTCTAAATTGGTACTCACTCTTGTTTCTGCTTGGGGAAAAAGTACATAACTGATTAGTCAAGGGCCTTCTTCCATTTATACTTTAGAGTCTACAGTTTAGACAGACTGTCTTTTTGTGAGTGTTTGGTATTCTTTTCTTTTGCCTTGTAATTATTCGTGTTTGTTCTCAGTGCTTTTTTGAAGTGGTTTTATGGAGATTGAAATCCCTTTTAAGCTTCCTGTGTTCCTCATGTTTATTTTGAGTGATGATACATTAAACATCCCAGCTTTTCGGTGGTGATGTTCATGGGATTAATACACCTTGGGCTTTCACCCCAGCAGGAGATTCCCGGGCAGCCATTGGAGATGTGCTGTTAGCAATTTTCCATCATAGCAGTGTTCCCTGAGAATTTCACATACTCTTCTCAGGGCGTGGAAAGGGAGGAGACTATTGCCAACACTATTCCTAAACATAAACTTCTAATTTCAACAGGCTGTTAGAACTTCCAATGAAAAGATCATTTGTGAAAGCAGAGCTGTTGGTCACTCTGTAAGCAATCCTGCTTCCCTTACTTCATCTGGAGGAGGATGCCGTGTGGTCATATTCAGAAAATAGCATCCTCCTCAGGGGCCCATTGATTACGTAAGGCCAGGAGACCTGTGGTGGCAGATGCCAAATGGCTTGGCGCTACTAGCCTCTCCCTTCTCTAGGACTAGTCTGGTGAACTGTCTGCCTTCAAGTTTTTTAAAATGCTACTGTCTTGTCCTCCGATGTCTTATTTGCAAAAGAAAAAGAAAGCCAAAGTAATCATCTCATTGATGTTGACAAAAGAGAACTAATGAAATGGAATTGTTGGTGCATCTTAACTGGATTTTCAGCAGGCTCAGCCCTGTCTAGGTTGTCTGGGGGGAGGGGAGAGAAATACCTGCATGCATTTATAAAGTCATTCATTTAGTCATACATTTGCCTTTGTTGGCCTTGACGTTGTGTGTGGGGACGTAAAGCCTTAGTTTTAAGTTAGTCTAATATAGCAAGTTACCTGGTGACCACAAAGAGGCTTCAGGGAGTCAGCCTCCCTGAAATTGTCTGCAAAATCTGGAAGGGAATTTTTCTGGGGAGAGGATTCTGTAGCTTCCATTAGGTTCTCAAAGGGATGTAAGCCTTAAAGCTGCAAGGAACCTTCTCAAATGCTCAGAACCCCTTGTTGTGGCTGGCATAGCTCCTGATTGGAGCTGTCACCCTGAGAAAGCAGTACCTCTTGAGTATTTCACGTGGCCCCTTAGAATGGAAGTGGGTAACGTGGGCCATTCCTAGCCAGAAAGAAGTGAGCAGAGAGAAGGGGGGAAGCAGTGTAGGCTCTCTGGTGAGCACAGAAATGATGAAGGATCGACTTCATTTTACTGAGGGTAAAATGCACCCTTCTCAAATGCTTGTTGAATCCCATAATCTTGGAGAAGAGACTTAAGAGCACAGATTCTGGAGCCAGATTTGCCAGGTTTAAGTCTCGGCTCTGCCATTTAGTAGTTGTGTGTACTTCAGCAAATTATGTAATTTCTGTGGTCCCAGATGTCCTCATATCTCAAACTGGGATAATACAGTATTTGCATCATAAGACTGCTGTAAGGATTAAATGAGATAATACAAAGTGCTATGATAGTATGTAGCACGTGGTAGATGCTTAATAAATATTAGCTCCGATAGTGGAGCCCAGAGGTTGTCCTTAGTCATGTAAAGAGTAGTCAGATATTCAGATATGGACATATTTTGTACCTATCTCCCAAAAAGTCACCTGCTTTTAGCTTTTGCACTTATGAGCTGTTTCAGGTAAATTCACAAACATCATAAAAGATGAAAGAATACAGTCACATAGCCTTTTAGTAAAATACAGTGGTCAGTGTTCTTGTCACAAAACGTTGCATGGTGAGGTTCCCACCGTGAGGACTAACTGAATGTGAATATCATATTTCCTTTTTGTTTTTAGAAATACTCTTTACAGTCTTTAATCCTGATTTCATCGAGGATGTGGTGGCTGCAGACCCACAGTTCATCCAAGCCTCGTTAGGCTCCAGGGGGCTCTGTCTGTCCTTTGCATTCATCTTCTGGTTCTTCAACTAACTGGGAAATGTCTCCGTCTGTAGTTTTATTCTTTTTGTCATTATGGGTGGAAAATGAAAAATTATGAATTCTTCAGTGTATTCCACGAAAGAAAAAAAAAAAAAAGACTGCGAAGATGGTGTCTTCAGACTTCCTTTATACCTTCCCGAAAATGCTGTGATACGTTGGGCAGCGCACTGAGGAAACGGAAGGATGATGTAGTGGTGACTGACTTCACTCTTGCCCCTGTCTGTGGGGATAGGAGAATACAGTCATGATAGAATGCTAAATGCAGAGAGGACACGGAGCCGTGTGTACACTGTGAGTCCAGCTGTGTAAAACGCATACATAAACAATATTGCAGCCGGGACGTTAATGGTTTTTTTCTGGGTGAGGCAATGTTGTGTGATACTTAAATGTAATTATCTATATGTTTCTCAATTTCTGAAATCTGTAACTACATGTATTATTTTTCAATCATTTTGTGATAATTGAAGCAAAGATTTTTTTTTAGTAAGTTTTATTGAGGTACTATTTACATACCGTACCATTCACCCACTTAAGGTCTCCCCTGCGGTGCCTTTTAGTAGATTCACAACAGCCGTTCAGCCAGCACTCATCATCAGTTTGAGAACGTTGTCATCACCCCAAAGGGGAGATTCTATACGCATTTAGCCGTCTTTCTGTTTGTCCCCACACCCTCCAGCCCCTGGCAACCACTCATCTGCCTTCTGCCTCTATGGATTTGTCTATTCTGGACATTTCAGACGAATGGCCTCATACCACGTGCAGGCCTTTGCAGCTGGCTTCTCTCACTCAGCGTAAGGTTGTCAAGGCAAAGCTAATCATGCTTGCACTTCGGTGACTCCTAGCAATCATACTAACCCTTATTTATCACAGGGTAAAATATATTTTTTTCTTTACTTCTAGACTTGGTTCCTTCAATTATGAACAACTTGTTGAATCCAGATGCCATTTTCTCAAACAATGAGATGAGCCTGTCGGACATTGAAATCTATGGCTTCGATTATGATTATACCTTGGTGTTTTATTCAAAGCACCTCCACACACTGATATTTAATGCTGCTCGGGACCTTCTCATCAATGAACACCGGGTAAGAGCACAGGGACACTGCGGTCTCCCTCCTCCTTCCCTTAGACGTTGAAGAACAGCGTTGAGCGCACCTGGCCTTGTGCCTGGCACACAGATGTCACTTAGTAAAGTGTTGTTAAATGAACGGGTAGATTTTGTTCCATTCCAGATGACTCTATCTGGAAGATTTTTTTTTTTAACTACTTTTTTTGGGGGGTATGGTTGACATACAAAAAGCTATACATACTTAATGGATATAACTTGATGAGTTTGGGGATAAGTGGATACCCATGAAACCATCACCACCATCAAGGTCATAAACTGTCACCTCCCAGAGTTTCCTCCTGCCCCCTTCATTATTATTGTTATTTGTGTGTGTGTGTGCGGTAAGAACACTCAGCAGATTTTTGGTAATACAGTATTGTTGCTGTAGGTACTGTGCTGTATAATAGAGCTCCAGAACTTGCTTCTCTCACAGAACTGGAACTTTGTACTGGAAGATAATTTTTTTTTTTTAAGAGTTTATTTGAGAGAGAGAGAGAGAGCGAGTGAGCATAAGCAGGGGGGAGTGGCAGAGGGAGACGGGGAAGCAGACTGTTGGGGCTCGGTCCCAGGACCCCGAGATCATGACCTGAGCCAAAGGCAGATGCTTAACTGACTGAGCCACCCAGGTGTCCCTGGAAGACAGTTGTTTTTTTAAAAAAATCTTTAGATGTCTCTTTGACAAAAGACTCTCAAGTTATGTGTTAGTGGGGATGGGGCCACAGACTTCATGCTGTCCTTTCTCACCGAGCAGTGACTCAGTTTCTCCCAGAGCTGATGAACTTGGCAGCCTGTTGAGTTCTGGTTAGAAGAAATTCTTCAAATGATAGGCAGTGTTTCACCTTCATCCCTGACTTGAGTTGTTCTTATGTAAAGAACATTTGAATGTCTTCTGATGCATAGTATTGTTGAGGGCTTATAGTAAGGAAGGAAAAAAGAAACACGCAGAACCCAACATGCTTTCCCATAGAAGTTTGAATTCATGTTTCAGGAGCCAGGATGAGAAGCATCCTCAGAGGTCACCTGGACTAATGCCCTTTGAGAACCCTGCCACATCCTGGGACGTGCAGCTTGATTGTCTATCTCAGACAGAGTGCATTTACTGCAGGAGGCACTCCTGAGTCGGGGTAGAACTGTTCTGCCCTCCTACAGCTTTCACCATCAATCTCTTCTTTTGTCATTTCTTTCTTCACACATTCCTTCAGCCTCTCCCAAGTCCCCCGTCCATGCCAGGCCCTGTCGTAGAAGCCGGGAGCATGAGGATGAACAGAGGAATTATGTGGCCACCTGCCAGAGGCCTCTCCACACATCTGAATGAAAAGCTAGGGATGTGTGGAGGCTGCTTGGAACAACTTTCCCTGCCTGAGGGAATTGGGAAAACAACAAAGAAGGTGATAGTTCAGCAGAGTCTGGAAGTTGTGCTGGGGGTGGGCAGGCTGGTGGGTCTGGGAGAACTACTGTTTTATCCCTGACTTATCCACTAGAATAATGTTTTATACTACTGGGCTGCGTGTCATGTAAGTCCATCCTTTATGCTGTCCAAGATGTCTCTTCTCCCAGGCCGATCATTTGTAGTTTTTCAGCCATTCTCATTTTGCCTCCTTTCTGGTCTTTTATCATCTTAGTTACCCTTCGTCGTGTGTGCGCTCTGGTTTATCCCTCTCATATATGAGGCCCTGAACTGAAGATGTTACTACAGGTGGGGTCTGACTAGTGTGGAATAGAGGGAGATCATCACCTCCCTGGTTCTGGGTACCATACCTTTATTAATGCTACTGAAGTTTCCATTAGTTTTGGATCCTCACCATTTGATGCAATATATTTCCTGATTCCCCTCAGCTTTTGGTTATCAGTGGATTTAATAAGCAACTCAGTTTCTCCTCATTCAAAATGCAGAAATGGCATTTGCCAAAAATAACCTTCCCTTCTGCCACTAAGCCAGCAGCCAGCTTTCTTTAGTTATGGCCACTTTACCACACGTAAACCCATCTAGCCACTTGGCATCCAGCTGCGCTTCTCCATTTGTTCAAAAGACTCTCTTCTCTTCTGTCTAACCCACAGACTTCTCCCTTGACTGTGGCAGTGAAAACAGAATAAGACTGAGGCGGTCCTGCCCTTGCTGACCTGTCAGCCGGCCTGCACCATCTCTCCACCACCCCACCGGGAGATGGAACTGAAGGAGTGTTGCCCTGGTGCTGGCGTTCTAGTCCTCGGTCGTCTGTGGCATTTGCTGTGACTTTGATATCACTTATAAAATGAGGGTCATTTTATTAACAGCCCCATCTATTGATTTTCTGCTAAGTGCTGGAAACACAGGTTCCAGAGCCTGGCGGCTGGTGTTCAAATCCTGACTTTCAACACTAACTTCTCAGGGAATCTTGAGAAACTCACCTCATTTCTCTGAGCCTCAGTTTCCTCCTCTGCGAAATGGGCACAATAACTGGACTTTGCTCACAATGGCATTGTCATAATTAAATGAGTTTATATATATAAAGTGCCTGGCAGGTAGAAAACACTTACTAAATATTGGCTGTGACTAGCATTGTTTCTCAAATGCGTGACAACCCTGCAAACAGCCTCTGTTTTACAGGTGAGGACACTGAGGCTAATGGAAATGAGCCAGTAGCTCAAAGCCGTGAGATCAGTAGGAGGCAGAACCAGGATTTGAACTTAAATCTGTTTCCAAGGCATAAATGTTCTCTCCTTTATGCCTTGTTGTCCGCTGTGGGATTGATAACACCTTTCATTTCCACCCTTTTGTTCATAGGGAAATAAAATATTCATGAAGGTAAAAAATCTATGAAGATAAAAAAATGTATGAAATTTGGGGGAAAAGAGAGATGACATAGGTGGGGAAAAGAAGGTGCAATCATTATCATTAGAAAAGCTTCTGGATTTAAGATCACTGAAATTTCGGTCCCATTATGTCTGTTTGTTGCTTTGATAAAAGAGATCAGTCATAACACTAATTATATCAGGCATATTAATAGAGTCAATTATGCTTATGCAGATCTTTCTCTTGCTCTGATGAAACAAAATAATTCTTCCAAGATGCATTTAATTTGGTGCCATTTTTCCTGCCAAAGACTAAATGTACTTGTAGAGATGAGAAGACATCTGCTTTTGAGATGCACAGTAATGGAACAGTAAGTTTGCAATTTCGCAGCTTCGCCGAAAGCAAATGTAAAAGTTCTAGCCCCTTCTTAATTACGCTTTTTTTCTTTCTTTTTTTAGAAAAACAAGGTTTTACAAAAATAGAAGAAAATATAGGGTCATGATTGTATCTGCATTTCCCTTTCATGGGTCCACCAAGGAACAGAAAGGGAGTGTTAAAAGAGTTCTCAGTTGCACTCCCTAGATCCATGCCCTCATCATTCCCTGGCATGGACATTCACCCGTTTTCCAAATCCAGAGCCCAGCATCAGCCGTGACCCCTCCCATTCTCCTGTATGCCATGTCTGATCTGTCAGCAAACACTATGGGTTCTCGCTCTCTCTTCTTTTAAATATAAACTAGAGAGTTTATTAAGTTTTGGAGAGTTGTAGGCTTATAGACAAGTTGCGGAGTTAATACAGAGCATTTCTGTACCTGGATCCCATGCCTCATTTTCCCTCTGGTTCCCAGGTTACGTTACTCTGATCTCTTTATCACAACAAAAGAACTACATTGATCCATCTTTATTAACTAAGGTCCGTACTGGATTCAGATTCCCTTAGTTTTTACCTGATGTTCTTTTCCTGGTCCAGGGTCCCGTCCAGGACACTGCATTACATTTAGTTGTTGTGTCTCCTTAGGCTCGCTTTGGCAGTTTCTCACAATTCCCTAGTTTGTGATGACCTTGACACTTGTGAGGAGTACCAGTCAGGTATTTGTTAGGATGCCCTCTCTGGGGATTTGTCTGACATCTTTCCTGTGATGAGACTCGGGGTTCTGGGTGCTATTCTTACCACGTCATGTCAAGGGTACATATTGTCTACATGACTTACCGCTGATGACGTTGGCCTTGATCGTGTGGCTGAGCTCTGTATCTAGGGTCTCTGCAGCGTGAAGTTACTCTTCCCCTTTCCATGCTCTACTCTTTGGGAGGAGGTCACTGTGCAGCCGTGAGCTCTCTTTTCACTCATTCACAATGTGTCCTAACTCTGTCCCCCTCTCCCCCACTGCCACCGCTCTGGTCCAGGCCAGCCTCACCCTCTGACCATGTGGCGCCTGGACCCAAAACCCGCTTGAGCCCTCCTGGCATGCTTGGGATGATGGAGAAGGCCACCTCTGGTGCTCCCAGGCCCCCCCCGCCCCTGCCCGCCCCGCCCTCACTCTGTTGCAGCCACACCAGTGTTCTCGCCGCTTCTTGAACTGCCACACGCTACCGCCTCGGCACCTGCATTTCCTCCGCTTGGGAACATCCGTCCTGGCCCTGGGCAGTCTGAGGCCTGGCTCCTCATCTTTTCTGTGCCCCCACCCCAAGATCTCTCAGCCCTTGCACTGCATTTGCCCTGTAGTACTTCTCACCGGGAGGCCTTGTGCTGGGTGTTTGTTTATGGTCTGCCTCCCCAGAGTAGAGTGTAAACTTCTTAGGGGCAGGCACTGCCCATTCTGCTTGCTGCCATATTCCCAGGCCATGGCACAAAGTACACGGTTAAGTGAGAGTGTTGTGCTTGGTGTGGAATCACCCCTTGGATGCAGTTTGCTTTGTCCTCACTCCACATTTTGTGAAGATTTCAGAGATTTTTGTTTTTATGCCCTTCTGCCCTGCCTCTAATAAGACTCATAATTTAGGCTCCTTAAAATATCAGACTGAGATCTCTGAAAAGCCTGTATTTCTAGGCATCTGGACCTCAGGAACTCAGGGGCAGTGTTGTGATGTAGAGGTTACCAGCTGTCTCGAGATCTCTGTGCCTTGCCAGAAAGGGGGCACGCGGGCCAGCCACAGAGCTGTGGGAATGACCCGCACACTGGGAGCTCCTGGGTTCTCCGCAGTGTTCTACTGGGAGCTCTGCTTGGAGCTGTGAGGGACATTTCTGTAGCACCTTGCTCTTCCTTCATCCCCATACACCAGCCTGCTCAGATTGTGCTCGGAATGAGAACAAACCCAGGTACTGAAGGAAACCAGACTGGGCCTAAATAAGATTTTTAATGAAAGTCCCCAGTGCAGGTCTGTTTTCTTTTCATACTTTGTTCTGCTTTTAGAGACACCAGTAATCTTCATGATGCAGTGAGTGAGTCGTGTTTTTCAGACTGGTGGAAAGTTTCTCCACTTTGACGAGTCCAGAAAATTGAGCCATAGACCACTGGAGAGAAGCATAACCTCCTGGCCGATGGAGCAGCCCTGGCTTCCTTGACGGGAGATTACCATGACAGCTGTTCCCAGAGATGGGTGTCGCGTACGTGCATGTGTGTGCCTGCGTGCATGTGCACGTGTGTGTGAGCGTGTGCGTGTGTGCCTGCTTATGTGTGTGTGCCTGAATGTGTGTGCGTGCTTGTGTGTGTGCGTGCACGTGTGTGTGCCTGAATGTGTGCGTGCGCTTGTGTGTGCCTGCTTGTGTGTGAGTGCACGTGCGTGCGCGCGTGTGCATGGGTGCCTGCTTTGTGTGTGTGCACGTGCGTGCATGTGCATGTGTGTGCGCTTGTGTGTCTGCGCATGTATGTGTGCGCGTGTGCCTGCGTGTGTGCGTGCATGCATGTATACCTGTGTGTGCGCCTGCGTGTGCCTGCGTGTGTGTGCGCTTGTGTGTGTGCCTGAGTGTGTGCACCTGTGTGTGTGAGCGTGTGTGCCTGCGTGTGTGTGCACCTGTGTGTGTGCCTGCGTGTGTGTGCGAGCATGTATGCCTGCGTGTGTGTGCACTTGCGTGTGTGTGCGCACCTGCATGTGTGTGTATGCGAGCATGTGTGCCTGAGTGTGTGTGTGTGTGTGTGTTTTCTGTGTGTCTCTCTCCATCTGTGTTGGAAAGGGGCCCACCATGAGGACAGTTTTGACTTGGTTGGTTGTATGGGGAAACAATTTAGGGGCAGGAGTGGAACATGGAAATCACCCCAGTCCAACCATTTCATTTTCCATAGGAAGGAAGGGGTCTGGAGGGGTTAAGTGATGGGCCTGAAGTCCTCTGGGAGGGTAGCGGAGGCTAGAAGAGTGAGTCTCAAAGCCCAGGCCCCCCCGTTCCATGTCTAGTAAAGCAGCTCCGTGTCATTGCACACTTGCTATGTGCCAGAGACCGCCCCACTGCCCGCATGCATCCTTTTTTTTTTTTTTTAATTTTTGAAGATTTTATTTTTTAAATAATGGCTACACCCAACTGACAACCCTGAGATCAGGAGTCACAGACTGTACCGACTGAGCCAGCCAGGCACTCCTTGCGTGCATCCTTTGACTTATCTTCTCTGCTTCCATCTACGGTAGGACTTTTGGCATCCTTACTTTGGAGATGAGAAAACCGACGCTCAGAGAGACAGCGACCTTGCCAAGATCACCCAGCTAGCACATAGTAGGACACCCAGCTAGCACTTAGTAGGACTGGGATTCGATGCCCGGTCCTGCATCCCTGGGGCCTATTCTTTGTGACGACAGTGTTCCGTGAGGCCCTTTCAGCTGCCGCTGTCTGTTCTCCACGTCGGCCGTAATCTCTGGACCCCTTGGAAATGCTGTGTGTCTATTAGGAGTGGCTTCCCAAAACCACACAGCTCTGGGGCCCGTGGGTGGGTGCACGGCCGTGTCTCACTGTGCGGTCTGTGTCCTGTGGGGGAGTCCAGATAGGCCTTGTTCAAAGCAGGAGCGGCCAGACCTTCCAGCAGTGCGAGTTCGGTGTGTACGCTCTCTCTTTCTTATTCACAGCAGCCGGCCCTGCCCTTGTCACCATGGATCCTCCGAGAAACTCACTGGGCCCTCGGAGGCCACAGGTCCTGCCATCACAGGAGGCGAGGAGTGTCCAGTATGGTGGCTCAGGGTTTGTTCAGAGTGGATTGCAGGGGGTTGGGGTAGACTTGGGTGTGACACGGACCCGGATTCAAGTACTGGCCCAACCATTGTTTATCTTTGTGAGCTTGGGCAGGTTCCTTGACTCTACTTCTCAGATGATTTAGCAGTCCAAGGGACATGAGATGCCCTACCTCCTCCATGAGGAGTACATAGAGTAAAGTCCAGAACAGTGTGTAGCCCATGACTCAGTAAAAGCACTCCTCTCAGGAGCATTTAAATATCTCCCCCATGTCCTACCTCTTCCTCCTCACTGCCAAGTTTAGGAGGAGATTCCAGAGGTGTGTGGACCCATGGCCTCACTTCGGGGGCGGGACCGTGGTGCCGTGTGTGGGGTTCTGGGGAGTGTGTGTGAAGTCTCTTCGTAAAAATGCAGAACTGTACACGGTGTTCAGGATTCTTGGAAACGCCCCTGAGTGGAAATAGCATTTGGTGATTTCTTGGCATGTGTGGCAGGTGTTAGATAAATGAGCTCAGATGTGACATTTGAGTCAGCACTCTATGCAGCTTGAACACTTGCTGCATGCCATTCATCCTGATGGGAGCAGGAAGTATTTCCACACAAACGTGACCGTGGCCATGGAAAGTTAGTGCTGTGGTGCAAAGAGGTTCTGCGCCTCTTGATAGCTGTCTAGGCTTTTTGTTTTTTAAGTGGGGGAGGGGCAGAGGGAGAGGGAGAGAATCTCAAGCAGGCTCCACACCTAGCACGGGGCCCAATGTGGGGCTTGATCTCACAACCCCGAGATCATGACCTGAGCTGAAGCCAAAAGTTGGATGCTTAACCGACTGAGGCGCCCCTAGCTGTCCAGATTTTTACTTAAGCAGTTTACATTGTAACTGGAAGGAAGATCCTGGTGCCACAGCCTCTCTAGACTCAGGAATTTACTCTTCTTTCCTACAGGTCTGTACTCCAAGGGCAGAGGGGAGTGGGGAGAGCAGGGGAAGAGGTCCAGGCCTGATTCCCTGCCCACCACATCGCAGCTGTGTGGCCCGGCCACCCTGTCTCTGTCAGTGCCTCTGGTGCCCCATCTGTAAAATGGGAACGGGAGGGCTTGCGTGCGGTAGCAGCAGACGTGGTGCTTGGTACCTCAGTGCTACCGGGGGGTAGCTGGTGTTCTAATTCTGAGATTTGTGGTGGGGGGAGGATGTGGGTGCCTAGTCTAGTAGATATGAACAGGGTTGGGATTTTTGCATAGTTTGAGGAATGGTTTGATAATAGGAACTACCAGGGGAGCCGAGCTGCCTCCAAAAGTCATGCATGTTCTGAGTCAGAGTGCTGGAGCGGTAATTGGCTACCACATGCTGAGAAAGGACCCTCTTGGCCCAAGTGGGAGGGAGGCCGTACCTGACAACAGGGAGGTCCTTCCACCCAGGGCGGTGGGGTGAGCAGCGGCCGACTGTCTGGATGAGAAAAGCAATGAAAGCTATATGGAGGGGCGCCCCCCACTTTGAAAAGTTTTCAGCTTGGTCTCTTCATGAAACCTGGTAGTGGGGCCACACCGGGGGCCGGTATATTGAGGTGCTCATATCTGAGCTGAATGGATGGTTGATAATGTGTTGGGGAAAGTCACACTTCTAAGAGGGGTTGCTCCAGTTCCTCTTCATTAGCTGCCTTAAATACAGTAGGAGGAGGCCAAGTCTTGGAGGTGGAAGCAGATGTATTTCTGGGCTCCGAGGAGATAAAGGGGTCCAGGGGCAGAGGGAAGGTTGGACGGGGGTAGTGAAGACGAGAGAAGCTGGGGCCAGGGGTGAGGCCTTACCTGTGCTTGGGCAGATGAACAGGAGTGGGGTGGAGGGAGGGCTCTGTGACCAAGAGGTCCTTGGTCCAGAAGCAGAGGGCTAAGCTGTGGTCCATCCTCACCCCATCTTCCCACCAAAGTGTGTCAGCCCCTCAGCTTTTGTACAGGGACCAAATCTGGGCACTATCTGAACTTAGTACATTGTGAGCTAAAAATGCTGCCTTTCTTCTTTCTTAGTATCCGGTGGAAATCAGGAAGTATGAGTATGACCCAAATTTTGCAATTCGTGGACTTCATTATGATGTGCAGCGGGTAGGTTTCATTGTTTTTCTACAGTTTAATGGTGTTTGGGAATAACGTACTCTCAGTGCTTTTCTTTGCTGGACACAGAAGTTGATTTTAAATTCTATTCCTTGGGGCTGCGGAACTGAATTATTAAAAAACGTCTTTGGATAAAGTCTTTTGCAAAAGACTATTAGAAAAAAATGAATGCATTTTGCTATTTGGAAGATACTCTTTATTTCTAGAAGTCGTTTTTGGTGTTTTGAGGAGTCAGTTGTCATATTGTTTTTACAGATCAGTCATTTCCTTAGACTGCACAGTGCTTTTTTTTTTTTAAGATTTTATTTATTGAGAGAGAGAGCAAGCAAGTGAGAGAGGGAGAAGATGAGCAAGGGGGAGTGGGAGAGGGAGAAGTAGATTCCCCACTGAGCAGGGAGCTTGATATGGGGCTGTATCCCAGGACCTTGAGATCATGACCTGAGCCAAAGGCATATGCTTAACCGACTGAGCCCCCCAGGTGCCCCCACAGTGCTTTAATCAACAGGCAGACCTGTTGGACACATGCAGTGTGCTTGTTTGCCACATCACTGGTGCTGATAGGGTTTGTAATGACACCTGAAATTCTCATTAGATATGCAGCTTGCACATGTGCATTATTCACCTGTGTGTGTGTGTATGTGTTTATGTTTTTGAAGGCAGTATTGATGAAGATTGATGCTTTTCATTACATCCAGTTGGGAACCGTCTACAGGTAAGACTAAGAGGAGGTAAATTTAATTCACTCATAGGAACGAAGTGGCTTTGGGTGACAGACCTAAGACCTATTGACTGCTTAGTTATGAAGAGAGTTGTAGTGTGTGTATTTGTGATTTATTCACTCATTCATTCAAGAACATTTATTGGGGCCTGTTATTGCCAGACCCGAAGGGTTTGGCTTACACAGATGCCCCAAGGAGCTTGGAGTGTAGGTTGGCAGCCACATAAATTAACCAGACTGCAGTCCATAAGGGACCAAGGTGATGATGGTGTTTAGACCACTGGGGGGTGCTCTGGGGAGGCTCTAGGGGAGGACGGGCTCTCTAGAGGGTCCCGTCTGCCGCCGAGTGAGGGTCCTGGAGCCAAGGTTTTGGGTGGGGAGGGAGGCTGGGGTGAGACAGCGGGTTCTTGTTCCCACCATGACAGTTGAGTAGTTTGGATACTAAGACCCCCCTCCCGTTTATTAGAATTAGTAGAAGCACTTAGCTCAGTCCAAAATCTTTGTCACTTTGAAAATGAAGGATTTTGCCTTTTCTAATTCTTGAATTTGGGGGAGGATTTAGGAGTATGGTCATTATACCTTAAAAAAAGAGATGTGCCTATCTTAGGTTCTTCTTTCACAAACTCTTTATTAAAATTAATGTTTTTTTATCCAAGTTAAACATGCACACAGTTCCGATCAGATAGTGCCAAGAGCGTGGCGGCGGACTGCAGTAGCCCCCTGTCCTCCCCACCCAAGCCCTTTACACTCTTCATTGTTTTTCTTCCAATTTTTCTTTTCTTTCTTTTTTTGTTTTTCTAAAGATTTATTTATTTATTTATTTGACAGAGAGATAAGAGAGCACAAGTAGGCAGAGCGGCAGGCAGTGAGAGAGGGAGAAGCAGCCTTCTGCTGAGCAGGGAGCTCGACGCGGGGCTCGATCCCAGGACCCTGGGATCATGACCTGAGCCGAAGGCAGCCGCTTAACCGACTGAGCCACCTAGCCGCCCCTTTTCTTTCTATTTCTAAATAATGTGCTCATCCTTCTGTTTCCTTATTTATTAATTTTGGACGCTGTTTCTGCCATGGGACAGGACTTGGTGCACGCACAAGCCCCTGCTTCTCCGGGCTTGTTCTTCGAGCCTCGTGCGGATCTGTGTCTGCGTGTTTCTCCATCCTCAGTCGTTGTTTGCATCCTGACTCTGCAAGTCTTGTTGCCTCTTACGCCATGTCGTGCACTGTGACTGCTTTCTTCTGTGTACTGTGCTTGCTTTTTCTTAGATTTAATAATATCACTTTTTGTCTGCTTTGTTTTCTGTAGAGGTGTCCCTAGTTTTTTCTAAATCCTCCATCACCAGTATCATCCATGTATTTATTTCCCAATAGTTCAAATGTTTTAGATACTCTATCAGTTATTTTTGTGTTTAATTGACTACACCTTCTGCTCTGACCTCTGATGGCTCATCCTGGGGCTTGGGTTTGCCTCTCTCTGTTCCCTGATGCCCATCTTTTCCTCTCTTTGGCTTTACTCCCTCGTTCTGCTTTAGCATATCCTCCAGGAGCTCTCCAGTGCCTCGCAGGGCTGAGGCTTTCTGGGGGGCTCTGGCCGCTAATCAGTTCTTCGCGTTGGTGTCCCCATGCAGGCCCCTATTCTCAGCTTGCTAAGCCAGGAGCCTCCTTTTCATCTGCTATTTGTCTTCCACGAACATGTTGAAATGTCTTGTCTACTGATGTCTTTGCTCTCATATCCTTTCACTTTTTGAGTAGTTTATTCTTTTTTTTTTTTTTTTTTAGAGAGAGAGAATGTGCGTGTGCAAGTGGGGTGAGGAGTGGCAGAGGGAGAGGGGGAGAGAGAATCCCAAGCAGGCTCCACACCCAGCACGGAACCCAACGAGGGTCTGAGTCTCATGACCCTGAGATCATGACCTGAGCTGAAGTCAAGAGTCAGGTGCTCAACTGACCGAGCCCTCCAGGTGCCGCTGAGTAGTTTATTTTTTTGCTGTCATTTTAATGGTGTTTCAGGAGGGAGAAGAGATGCTGGTGTTGATGAAAATAATAGTAGTAATAATAAATAGCAACGAGCAAATACGAAGTCTTGCTACAGCACAGACACTGTCATAAGGGTTTTATTTGGGTTAACTTATTTGATCCTTGAAATAACCTTATGAGGTAGGTACTGGTATTAGTCCCAGAGATGTTAAGTGACTTGTCCAAGGCCACAGAGAAGTGGAATTCAGACCCTGGTCGCCTGGCTCTGAGCCTGTGCCTTTGACCTATATGCAGCATGGTTTTCGTGAACGGATTAGGTTAATGAAATCCTTCACCAGAACTTTCGGATCTGTCCCTCCATCTCTGTTCCTGCTGTCAGCTCCCTGGCTCAGAAACTTAATCCTTTTCTCTTGGGGTCTTGTAGTTTTCTGCAGTGTGGTCTGTCCTGGACACTGTTGCTGGACTGATTCATCTAAAGCATTGCCCTCAACAGACTCTCTCTTCTGAGATCCTGGCTAGCCCCCACTGCCTGGAGAATGGAGCCCAAACCTCTTAGGTTTCCCACCAGACTTCTCTAAACCCCTGTCCTACTCTTCTTCCACACACAGCTCTTTCATCTCCTGATTAGTGACTGAACCCCGACTCAGACTGGGTTAACCAGAAACATAGCATTAGCTCACCTGTTGTGCAATCCAAGGGACAGTGCCAGGTATAGGTGTGGCTGGCTCCAGGGGCCAAATTGATGTTGTCAGAACTCCTTCCATCTGTTGGCTCTCTCCCTCTGGGTTTGCTCCAGGCAGGTCCTTCCACATGGAGACCCCTGGTGACACCCCTGGCCCCGGGTCAACAGGAGCAAGGGACGGTCTCTTCCTAGCAGTTACAGCCAGTCACGGCGTGCATGAGGCAGGTGCACATAGCACATGTATTCCTCTCCTCCGAGGTCTCCTTTCCTGCTGCTCACCATCTGCTCATGCTGGTGTTCTACCAGGGTGCAGTTTTCCTTCCTTGCTGCTTCTTGAAATCTCATCCATCCTTCCTTCAAGGCTGACTGGTGCTGAGGCCTCACCCACCCCCCCAAGTCCCCCTCAGCCCGACGTGGTCTTTCCCTCCTCTTCTCAGACCACATAGTCCTACAGCTCCTAATTGTCTTGTTTCTTCTTCTGTAGGTCGGTTGTCCACCATGTTAGGGAGTATGGACAGGGCTGGGCGGGAGAAGCCAGCCGAGGCATTTGAAAGAGAAGGAGTGTCAGGTTTAGGTCCTGGGAAGGCCGCTGTGGCCGCAGCGCTGAGGGATGTGGTGGGCTGAGGCAGCATGGGTGCGTGTGTGGGCTCTGGAGTCGCACTTCCTCAGCGTGGACCCTGCCTCACTGCTTTCGTGTGTGTGGCCTTGAGCAACTCCTTGACCATCTCAAAGCCTTGGTTTGCTCCTCTGTAAAATTGGCATGATTCCCCTGGCTGCCCCGGGGGTGGCTTGTCGGGTAGACCAGAGTGTGCCTGGGGCAGTAGAGGCACGCAGAATGTCACTGCTCTTGCCTTTCCCCGAAAAGAGGAAAGTTCTTGGCAGGGCAGAATGCCCCCTCCTCAGCCTTGCCCATTTCTGAGACCTGCCGTGGGTCCCCAGCTCCTATATCAGGTTGAATTTTGTGTTGTGGGCTGTGCGAGCGAATGCCACAGGCCAGAGGGGGAGGCAGACTGGCTCTCACTACAGTCCCATTTGGTACCCACGATTTAAGTTCTGGCTAGGGACCTGGTGAAAAGCTGCGCTTGTTCTCATCACAGGTACACCAGCAAAGCTCTGTTAGCGCCTGCCGTGTACTCTTCTCTGTATAGTAGCTCATCTAATCTCAGTTATGCCAGGAGGCAGATACTATTATTGTTCCCCATTTTAAAAAATGACACTGAGACCCGAAGAGGTTCTATTGCTTGTCCGGGTAATATCCCTACTAATTAAGGAGGCTGAACCCTGGGCAGACACTTGAGGATCTGTGCTCCTAACCTTTATATTTCTCACAACCTCACGGGGCCACATTAAGTAGTTTGCATTTTGATCCTCGCCCTGTGCGGCTGGCCGTGCCCCAGAGCCTATGGCCGAGGTCCTGTGGGGTGCTGTCCCTGCTGGAGCCGCCTCCTGCCGAATCCGGCTCCCTGGAGCCGACTCATCTCACCGCTGCTTTTGAGCTCACATTCAGTAGTTACTGGGGCAGCTTGGGAGGCTGTGAACCTGGCAGGGCCTAGTGTGGGGGCAGGAAAATGACTCACCCAGCAGAGTTCTTTCATTTTTTTTATAATTTCTTTCTAAGTGTTAGAGTCTTAGGCGGGTGCACACCTGAGCAGGAGCTCTGCCTCAAGGTCACCGCCCAGAATGATCGGCTGAATGATAAAGGGAAGTGCAAGGCCTCCTTTGTTTTCAAAGGCTGGAAGTTGTAGCAAGTTAATGAAGATGGGGGGTGGGCAAAATACTAACGAATCCCCTTGGGTATTTTTGAAAGTTATATGAGGGCGGAGAACAGAGGAAAGAGGCTGAAATTATATTTTCATTACACTTACATATCAAATATAAATTATATTTTATATTTGTGATTTTATAAGATAAGCAGCCTGTTTGTATTAGTAACTGAGACTCTCAGGGCATTATTCATACTCCCACTGTAGGTAGCACTGGGTGGACTTCCCATCATCCATTCTGTGGTCTCCTCACCACTGGTGCCTTGTTTCCCAAGCACCTTCCCCACAGAAGCGGCTGGGGAACCGATGTTCTTCTTTGTGACACTCTAGAGGGGGCAGTGCTAGGTGAGGAAATACAAGACCATTAAATCCCTGGTGAGAGCACCTGCTTAGAGCGCTGGCGACGGCGGCGGCAGCAGAGGTGAAAGCCAGGTCGCTCTTTGCTCTGACTCCAAAATTTATTTTCCCCTTTGTGGAGAAGCTGGATTCGTTTGCAGATTCTGCTGTGGCTCCCAGAGGCAGGCAGGTGGCAGATGTTACCTTGGCTTTTTATAGATGAGGAAACTGGCCTTGACTGTCACGTTGCTTCCTGCCTTGTGTCACAGGGTTTAGTCCACCCGAGCCTCATGTGTGGCTTTTCCTGCCTCAGCGCTGACCTTTTTAGGCCCGAGTATCAGAGGGCAGGAGGATGATAGAGACAAAGCTAGCCTTTCCCTCCCTAATCAATTAAAAACATAAAAATGGAAACCTAAACCCACCCCCAAAGCAAACCCTACTCCCAAAGCAAGGGAAGGCCTTGTACCTTGTTGAACGAGGCTGTGTGACATTAGTGGTTGAGGAGCCTGGGCCCCTAAAGCCAGAAAGCCTGGGGTCTGGTCCTGTCCCACCACTTCCTACTTTGGTGACCTCAGGTAAGATACGTGACCTTTCTGGGCCTCAGTTGCCTCTGCTGGGAAATGGGAAGATGTTAGTGCTTCCCTCCTAGGATTGCTGAGAAGTAAGGGAATGACTGCGTGGAACTCACACCTGCCAACTCTCGTACGTGTTATTTTTCCTGCCCTTATTACCCACAGAATGCTGTTGCTGGTGCTGGTGGTAGTAGTAGTAGTAGTAGTAGCTTCTTGCCTGTTACTTGTAGCAGTTACCCGTGGCACATCTCACCTCCTTGTGACAGTGGCGTCTTGCCCCTGGGCTGAAAAATCCCAGCAGTTGCCAGAGGTCAAAAGTCACTGCTCTCACTAGTTGAGTCTAACTGCACTGCCTGTGATTTTTTCCAGAGGCCTCAGTGTTGTCCCCGATGAAGAAGTCATTGAAATGTATGAGGGGTCCCACGTGCCCCTAGAACAGATGAGTGACTTTTATGGAAAGGTAATGAGAGATTATTTATTTAAAGCAGCTTGTCAACAGACATGTCTTGGTAGATTTAGGATCTCTCTGAGTGCTCCTATGGAACTGACAAGGGCATTTGGGACTGTTTCGAGAGGCCCTGGATTTGAGAGAGGCTAGTATGTTGGCATCTCTCCTAGGCCCTTCATGATTCCCCTTTCTGAGCTCTTTCCTCCCTATCTGATGAAGGTTCTTTATACCTTCCTTGCACCCACCCCTGTCTACAACCCCCCACCCCAGGCATGTCCCCACTTTCTGGATGAAGTCAGGGCGGCTGTGGTTGCCTTCCCTGAGATCGAGGACAGCAGGTCACCCTGTGCTTGAAGGGAAGCCTCTGCTTCTCTGACTTTTGTGGTTCTCTTTGCTTTCTGAATTTTTGCTTGTCTTATTAGGTGCACTCTTATTTGCACTGTCAAAATGCACTGGAAAGATGCCCTGTCAGCTGGTGAACTTAGGCTTACTAATTGCCGGCATTCAGAGAAAGGCTCTTTTTCAGGCTCACATATGGCTGCGTGGGGGCACTCACATTCAGGAGAGTTATGTGGCTTTTTATGCCATTCCATGGGCAGTAGTCTGCTTGCCAGCTTTCCTCTGTGTTTGATGGGAGATTGTGAGCTGGAAGTTAGAGCTCACAGAAGCATGAAAAAGTGGTTAGATTTTTTGGGGGCGGAAATCAGGACATTTCCTTGGATTTCCCAGTTGTGCGTAGAGTACATCATCAGCTGTGCTGGGGATGATAAGAAATAAGGCAAATGCTTCTACTTTGTTCTTGTTAAAATTGTCCTTTTCTTGGGGAGAGGGATCCAGATGTTGATGACCAGAATCCCTCCCCGGGTAAATGTCAAGTCTGGCTCTGCTGTGGTGTTGGTCTCTGTTTCTGACGCTCTCCTCCCTGCCTGCAGAGTTCTCATGGAAACACCATGAAGCAGTTCATGGACATCTTCTCCCTGCCGGAGATGTCCCTCCTCTCCTGCGTGAATGAATACTTCCTTAAGAACAACATCGACTATGAGCCTGTCCATCTGTACAAAGACGTCAAGGTGAGAGGCAGTGGTCCATGTCTCCCAGAGGGTTTCAGCAGAAGGGACAGCATCGTTAGCCTCCTTGGGTTAAGTATTTGAAATAGTCCTTTGCCTGGGATCTCTTTTATTTATGGTTTTACCCTGAAAATTTTTAAGAAAGGTCTTACGTTAGGAAGATCTGGAAGAAGCTGGAAATCAGTTAAGGAAGAAGGTGCTCATATTGTTAATCTGGATTTCTAATTCTTCCTGACCAAAGGCCAGGGCCAGTACATCTGGTCAGAGGGGCGGGTGGCGGCTGAGGTCCAGCCTGACCCAGCTCACCACTGAGCCTGCCTGCAGAGGGGGTGACTTCACACTCAGGCTGCAGCCCGTGCAACTGCAGTTGCCCAGAGCGGGCCTTTCTCTTGTACGTGGAGGTTCCATGTAGGCCTTTCCAGCCCTGCAAAAGCTGTATGAAAACCCAGTTGGAGAGGTTTATAGACAGCTGTGAAACTTACATGCATATATACGTACATCATTGATGTAGCTTTGTATTTATATATGTTGATTTATGTTCACATGTGTTTATATATATTCTTTAAGCTTTCTAAACTTTTTTCAGTACTTAAAAATATGTTCATGTATTGACATATACTTATAATACATATATCATATACATAGGTTTATAAGTATGTATATCTATGTATATAGTTATGTAATATATATTTAATAAGTACTCAAGAGATCTATATGTACTACAATGTTTTTATTATATCCTTATGATTAATTTTAAATTTCGACTGCTTTAAATCATGGGTTTTAGGAAGGTGAAGGATGAATTCTAGTTTCTCAGTATTAGTCTGGTATGATTTGAACTAAAGTTAAATATTTAGTTTCTTTTCTCCTTTTATGTGCACAAATGCTTTATCTTTAAGAATCTTTAAGTATCACTTGTAGTAAAAAATAAATGAGCCACTTGTAGTTATATAACCCTTGCAGTCATGAGGAGAGATGTCTATTTGATACCACCAATGGAGAGCACTGAGGTGTATTCCAGGCACTGTTTTTCTGAGTGCTTTCTGCATATTAACTCATTAAATCCTCACAACCATGCCTGGAGGTAGGTACTATCATTACTCTCATTTTACAGATAAAGAAATTGAGGCACTGAGAGGTTGAGTCACTTGCCCAGAGTCACACAGATAGTAATGGCAGAGCCTAGATTTCCGGCCAGGAAGTTTGGCTTCGGCTTGCTCTGAATCCCTGCCTTCTGCCGATGTGAAGCCTGTGCTGGAAGGTGGCCGAGGTTGAGTTTATAGTCCAGAGGTGCTCACTCTTGATAGAAATCTCCTACCAGTTTTCTAAGGCTTATGGCCCAGTTTTGCCTGCAGCCCAGTCCCCTGCTGTAGGCTCCAGAAAGTTTCCGTGTGCCTCCAGGAGAGCCACCTCTGTGGTGGACCTGCTTAGTGCCCCCTGAGGGTGGGGCTGCACTCTGACACCTGCCGGGCATCAGGCCGCCACAGCCTGTGGCCTGTGAGGGGCTTGCGGCCTCCTCATCCTCACGCTGGCCCGAGTTAGCATCTCACTGACTGCTCCTCGCCTCGCTGAATGGAAGAGCCTGTCATTGGTCTCGGCCTCTTTCTCTGGAGTAGAGAACCTGCTCTTGGGGTCTAGGGAGGGGTGCAAAGATGAAAAAAGCAATAATTCCCTTTGTCCAGATGCCCTGGAATCGTCTGTTCGTGATACTGCGTAGAAATTGCCATTTACCGTGTGGAATTTTATTCAGAATTATTCACACAAGTTATGTCCCCCCAGTGACCCTTCTGAAAACTTTCACTGTCGCCATGGAAACCTAAGTGTTGGCTGCCTGTGTGAAATGGCCCAGCGCTGGGATTTCATTTGGTGCTCGGACGGCCAGGCCTCTAAAGGCGGACATTGTTGTGAATGCCATTCCGCTTGTCCTGGCACGCAGGCTGTCTCACTGACCGCGTCACTGATTGGAAACCTCTCTTTCGACAGGATTCAATTCGAGACGTGCACATCAAAGGAATCATGTACAGCGCGATCGAAGCAGATATTGGTACGTAGCAGCATTATCGCGAGGGCCGCTTCAGCCTGTCCCTTTGCCCGGCCACGAGCCGGCCGTTATTTTCATTCTTGGTGCCGAGCCGGCGCCCAGTACCTCTTCCCAGTGCAGCGTGAGGACCTTGCTTCCTCGCACCTCAGACGTCTCCCTCCCCTTTGTCTCAGAGCTCCACCTAATCCTGACCCCAAAAGACGGGCGCTGGCCACGGCAAGCAGGCATCTAGTATGTTCCCTTAGACCGAGGGGGTGGAGTCTTGGTTCCTGATGGACCAGGTACTGCTAGGCCAGCCTGAACCACGCTTCCTTAAGACTTGCCTTCTCCCAAGGGCCCCGGATGCACTGGACCCACAGGTTTAGGGAGCCCTTGCAGACTGACCGACTTCATGCTGAATCCGTCTGTGAATTTGTCTCTCGCTCTTAGAAAAGTACATCTGCTATGCTGAGCAGACCCGTGCAGTGCTGGCCAAACTGGCTGATCATGGCAAGAAGATGTTCCTCATCACCAACAGCCCCAGCAGTTTCGTGTAAGTGGCAGCGGGTGTCCCTGCTGGCTTCTGGCTCACATCTTGTCTGGTGTTCGCATTTATGTTCACAGTTGAAAATTTGAAAGAAAACATTGCGAAGGTAGTGAATCCGTTTCTTGTTAGACTCACCCGGCTGACCTGTTGTTTCAGGGACAAAGGGATGAAGTATATTGTCGGAAAAGACTGGAGGGACCTGTTTGATGTGGTCATCGTTCAGGCCGAGAAGCCAAACTTCTTTAACGATAAGCGGAGGTGAGCGTCTGTCTTTCTGGGAGAACTAGATCGTTGTCCTTTGCTGCCGTGAACATTTAAGACGTGTGACTTGGTGAAGTCTAGTTGGAAAATCAGAAGCATCTGACATCGTAGCTTTTGATTTTGAGGACGGCTCACACCTGTTGAGATGGTTCTCACTTCAGCTGGGGCTACTTCAGTCCTGGGGGTCAGGCTCTAAGAAAAAGATAAAAAAAAAAGAAAAGAAAAAGATTGACAGCCATGAAAAAGCCACACTTAGTATTACATCATAAGTTAGACCTCTTGATGCAGACGCGTTGTGAAGTGTAACAAGACAACAGGAACAGCGAGCCACCTGGCGGGTATTTTGGTACGTAGGGCTCTCACCGGGGCATTTAAGATTACAGCTGGATTTTGCAAAACTCTGCAACACAGGTTTTGTGTCAAATGGAGTAAATCTCTACCAAGACTTACATGGCGTCTTCCCGCCATGGGGAATAAAGGAGCAGGGAAGTTTTGGGTTAAGACAGTGACTGGGGTGTGCTCTTAGCATTAGTAGGTGGGGGTCAGGGGTCCTAAAATACTTTTTTTTAACATTTAAAAATGTTTTATTTTTTAAAAGATTTTATTTATATTGAGAGAGAGAGAGAGCATGAGCAGGAGGGAGGGACAGAGGGAGAGGAAGAAGCAACTCCTCTGCTGAGCAGGCAGCCCGACGAGGGGCTCGATCCCAGGACCCCAGGGTCATGACCTGAGCTGAAGGCAGATGCTTAGCTGACTGAGCCACCCAGGCGCCCCTAAAATGTTTTGCAATGTGTGGAACAGACCTCTTCACCAAGTGTCATCCCCTCCCCCGGCACCCATTTATTTTGTCTTTGTTCTGCATGCACGGAACACCTTCATTCCTCCCTGTGTTATTTATAATGATGAAGATCAGAGACAACCTAAAGGATCATCCATGGGAGGGGGTATTATACAGCCATTAAAAATGATGTATTTGGGGGGCGCCTGGGTGGTTCAGTTGGTTGGGCGACCGATTCTTGATTTTGGCTGAGGTCATGATCTCAGGGTCACGGGATCAAGCCCTGCATCGGGATTCTCTCTCTCTTTCTCCCTCTTTTCCTCCCTGCATGCGCACGCTCTCTCTCTCTCTCAAAAAAGAAAAAGATGTATTTGGGAAAAAAAGCAATGAGCATGTTTTATGACTGTTAAAAACACGTATGAAAGAATTTGTAATCACATGGGAGATTGCTCGCAACATTAGAGAAAAAAGATACAAATCAGTATACGCAGTGATCCTCATTTGTGTTCATAAAAAAGAGAAAAATAACAGATGCTATCTTTATAGACTGAAAGACACCTACTGAAATGTTAGGTGTTTATACCTGGGCACTGGGATTAGGGGTCACTTCCCTTTTTCTTCATTCTGTTCTGCATTTTCCAGATTTTTTGCAGTCAGTTTAAATTTTTCTGATTAGAAAAACAGTCCAAATAATGTTACCTTAAAAAAAGGCAAACAGACCCCCACATACTTTGGACTTTTATTCTTTTTTTTCTTTTAATTTTAAAGATCTAATTGGCTTTATTAATTGATTCATGAATTAGGCTGCGTCCCATCTAGCAAGTAGAGGGGAGCTCCCAGAAGCCTTTATTCTTATTCCCATTCTCCATCATAAAGTGATTTGTCTCCTCCTCAGATTTGTTTTGTGTCTAGAGTGGCTGGATTTCAAGCACCGAGTGGGACACGTGTACTAAGGCGGTTTTTCCATAAGCTGTTTTTGTGAAGCAGATTTTCTGTGTGATCGAATACATTTTGGGAAATCTGGGCTAAAGAAAGTTTCTCTCCCGGGAGGGCTTTTTAGAGTCCTCGGTGACTTTTTAAGAGGGATGTAAGTAGTGCCTAGTGTTTTCCAAATTTATTTGACTCTGGAGTTCTTTCCTCATTAAATACCTTTTGGATCCTGGGGTCTGCAGTTTGGGATGTGTGCACTGGGCCAGGGGGTGTGGTGGTGGAGTTTGGGCTCCAGGCCTTTTCCAGGTTTGTGCGGTCCCTTTTCATTCCCACTGAATAACCGTGTGGTGTTTCCTAAGCAGACAGCATGCACTGTTCCCATGGGTTATGGTGTTTTCCCCTTTTTGTTGTTAGACCTTTCCGCAAGGTGAACGAGAAAGGTGTCTTGCTCTGGGACAAGATCCACAAGTTGCAGAAAGGCCAGATTTATAAGCAGGTACCTCATGACTGATTTTTCCTTTTTGTTCCTTTGCTTTGTGGTCAGTTATAATGAAAACAGCCAACGTTTGTTGAGGCCTCCTGTGTGTCCGGCATAGTTCTGAGTGTTCTGCTTGAATTGGCTGTTTATAACATGGCAGCAAAATTTAAACTTAAGTCAGTATATTCTCAATGTGTTACGTCTAAATTAACTCAGAATTGAACAGTCTTTAAAAACAAAATTTAAAGCATTACTTTTATAGTATATATAATTTAAGATGTTAGTAGTAAACCTTGGATATTTCTCTTGAAGCAGCATTGAATCACATGATGTATTATCTTAAATTAGTGATTATTTCCTGATGAGCTGTGTTTTATATACAGTTTTGATATATTTTGGTGTCAGTAAAGCTCTCAAATGTTTGAATAAGTGATTGAATCACTGACCCTTCTTGTGTTACTGAAGTTCGTTTTATCTCATCCTTTAAAATTGTTATATTTCTGTAAGATTTATAAAACACATGAAATTATAGAACAGTACCACACGGTTAAAAAAACTTGATACATTCCTGGTGGATTTATAACACACTGCTGATTTGGCAGTAAGTATGTTTTCTAGGCCTTGAAAGATTTGCTTTGATACAGCCATCCCACTACTAGGAAGTTAGACCAAGGAAATTATTAAGATGTAGCTAAAACTTTGCTACAATAATATTTACCATGAGTTACAAAATAGATAACAAGGTAAATGTCCAACATCAGGGAATTGGTAAAAGGAATCACAGTATTTCTCAGCTACTGAAATGGTAGATTAGTACTTACTGACAGGATCATAGACTGTTCAGTGTAAAAAGATAATTACAGAGAGGTATATACAATATGAATCATTTTCGGAAAGTGCATTTGACTTAGAAGAAAGGTCTGAGAGATTTCACGCAAAGGTGTTTTTGTCTTTTATGTTTTGATACTTAAATTATATATTAAAGCAAAGTTTTTGTTAAGTTTTTAAAAATAGATATTTTGGGCCACAGGTTATATAGGCTTCTATTTCAGATGATATAATATCTATATTTTTCTATTATTGTAGGGCAATTTATATGAATTTTTGAAGCTTACTGGATGGAGAGGATCCAAAGTGTTGTATTTTGGTGACCACATATACAGTGACCTGGCGGTGAGGAGCCTCTTTTTCCATTTTTTTCTTGGGGGACAGATGTGTTAGTCTCACTTCCTAAGGAATTTCTCTTTAGTTTAAGACCATTTTTATGCTTTCATAAAAATGAGGACTAGGTCGCCTTTTTTTTTTTTTTAAAGATTTTATTTATTTATTTGAGAGAGAGAGAATGAGAGATAGAGAGCGCGAGAGGGAAGAGGGTCAGAGGGAGAAGCAGACTCCCTGCTGAGGAGGGAGCCCGATGCGGGACTCGATCCCGGGACTCCAGGATCATGACCTGAGTCAAAGGCAGTCGCTTAACCAACTGAGCCACCCAGGCGCCCCGCCTTTTTTTTTAATGTCTCCTTTTTTACCGAACAGAATGGATGAGAGGTGTAATAACAAAGGTAATTTTTTTTGAAATGATAGAAATTAGTAATTTACTCAGGATTTATCAGAAAAATACTTCCATTTAAGTAATGGTAAGAGATAAATGCCAGTGTTCTTTTCTTTCTTTTTTAAAGATTTTATTTATTTATTTGACAGAGAGAGAGAGACACAGTGAGAGAGGGAACACAAGCAGGGGGAGTGGGAGAGGGAGAAGCAGGCTTCCCGCTGAGCAGGGAGCCCGATGCGCGGGGCTCGATCCCAGGACCCTGGGATCATGACCTGAGCCGAAGGCAGACGCTTAACTGACTGAGCCACCCAGGCACCGCAAGTTCTCTTCTTTTTTGTCATCTCATTAAACATCAGAGGCAGACGAAGAAGAATTTATAAACATTAGTCAGGGCTTCTTTTGCAAGTTCAAAAACTGGCATTTCCAGGAAACAGCTATTATAAGAAAGTGAGGCATTTCATGCCCATTGGAATAACGAGAGCAGCGTTGCAGGACTTGAATTATGATTTAATCTGTAATTGGAACAAGACTGAGTCAGTCACGTTTACTGCCATGCTCGGCTCCTGGTGCAGTGAATTTCTATTTGCTCAGTGAGCCCAGGCTAGTGGCACCATGCACGATTTGCAAAGCCTGAGTGACGCCCAGTGTCGGCAGTCACCAGCGCGGGGGCGTGGCCGGCAGTCGAACTCCATTATTGGTATTTCCGAGCATTTGGAGCCACTTTAGAGTGGTCTCATGTTTCTGTCCCTCTTGTGTCCACCGGCCATCCAAAGCAGTGAGCTGGAACGGGCTGTGCAGTAGGACCTCCTGGGATGCGTTTTCATAGCACATGTGCTGGAGTCCGAGGTCTGTGGCCTCAGACTTCAGACAGTCTGGGGGAGGGGGAGGGGGGAAGCGGGGGGGTGATTCCAGTGTCTGTCCGGAGGCACTCTTCCCAGGTGATTGCAGCACATGCCCCGCATGGTCATGTCTCCAGCGGGCTGAGGGTCCAGTGGAAGGAATCATGGGCTCAGAACTGGAAGATAGGTTTTCACTTCAGCTCTCCTGTTTTTAGCTGGGTGACCCGACACACGTCCTCCAAGCCCCGATGTCCTCATTTGTGAGAAGAGTGAAGTAAGATAATGTGTGTAAAAGTCTTAGTGAAGTGCTACTATCTGGAGGTTGGCACGACCAGAATGTTTGGCCATGGTGTCACAGACATTTGCCTCTTGCCAAGTGGAGTCTTGGGCCTTGATGAGATAACCATGTGCTACCCATGAGGTTTGTGGGTACAGGGCCCTGTGAAGGCACACACACGCATACAGGTCTTAGCATTGTGAGAGGTGCTCACAAAACAGTAGTTTCTTCAAGTGTGGTCCCTGTGACATCAGCATCACCTGGAAAACTTGTTAGAAATGCAGTTTCTCAGGCCTCACATCAGACCTGCCGAGTCAGAAACTCCGGTGGGGCTCAGCTGTCCATGTTTTAAACAGCTTTTCACATTAAAATTTGATGTCAGGGTAATATTGCCTCAGAATAAGTTAGGAAATGATTTCTCTTTTTCAGTTTCTGGAAGAGTTTGAGAAGGATTGGTGATAATTCCTCTTTGAATGTTTGGAAGAATTCACCAGTGAAACCGTCTCTGGGCTTTTTATTGTTGGAAGGGTCCTGGGCTTTTTATTGTTGGAAGGGTTTTGATTACTGATTCAATCTCCTTACTAGTTAGAGGTCTTTTCAGATTTCCTCTTTCTTCGTGAGTCAGTCTTGGTGGGTTGTGTGTTTCTGGGAATGCCACCTAGGTTATTCAGGTTGTTGGTGTACGGGAATTGGTAGCTTTTATAATTTTTATTTCTGTAGAATTGGTAGTATTGTCACCACTTAAATTTCTGATTTTAGTAATTTGAGTCTTTTTTTTTTTTGTCAAGCTAAAAGTTTGTCAATTTTGTTGTCAATCTTCCCTTGGTTTTTTTGATTTTTTTATATTGTTTTTCTATTCTCTTTTAATCTCTGCTCTGATCTTTGTGATTTCCTTGGTCTTAATTAGCTTTCAGATTAGTTTGTCTAGTTCCTTATGGTGTAAAGTTCAATTGTTAATTTGGGACCTTTCTTTTATTTTTCATTGTAAGTGTGTATGGCTATAAATTTCCCTCTGAGTACTGCATTTGCTGCATCCCATAGGTTTTGTTATATCGTGTGTGTGTTTGCATTTAAATTTGGCACAGGGTATTTTCTCATTTCTCTTGTGATTTCTTCTTTGACTTTGAGGGTGTTTTTTCATTCCCATATGTTTGTGAACTTTTCAGTTTTTCCTTCTGCTGTTGATTTCTGGCTTCACTCCTTGTGATCAGTAAAGATAGTTTATGTGATTTTAAAATTCATTTTGACGTATTTTGGGGCCAATTGTAAGGTCCGTCCTAGAGACTGTTTCATGTGCATGGAGAAAAATGTGCATTCTGCTTTTGTTGGGTGGCGTGTTCTACATATGTCTGTGAGGTCTGGTTGGTCTTCAGTGTTGTTCAAGTCATATTTCCTGATGCATCATCTTCTGTCTGGTGGTTTTTCGGTTATAGAATGTGGACTGTTGAAGTCTCCTACTGTTACTGCAGAGCTGACTATTGTTTCCTTCAGTTCCGTTAATATTTGCCTCATATATTATGGAGCTCTGATGTTTGGTGCATATATGCTTGTAACTGTTATATATTCTTGGTGAATTGACCTTTTATCATTATACAATGTCATTCTTTGTGTCTTGTGACAGTTTTTGATTTAAGGTCTATTTTGTCTGATATTAGCATAGCACCCCTGCTCTCTTTGGGTTACTGTTTGTATGGAATCTCTTTTTTAATCCTTTCAATCTATGTGTGTCCTTAAATCTACAGTGAATCTCTTGGAGGGATGCCTGGCTGGCTCAGTTGGTGAAGCATGTGACTCTTGATCTTGGGGCTGTAGGTTCGAGGCCCACATTGGGTGTAGAGATTTTAAATAAACAAACAAATAAATTGAGTCTCTTGGAGTATATAGTTGGATCCCATGCCAAAGTTTGAAAACCACTGTTACAAAGTGCTAAGATCCATTCATTAACTAACATGTCAGAAATTATGTGGCAAAGCACATTATCCTTCAAGGGAGTCACCGTGGGAATGTAGCTACTTCTAATGTTGGTGCTGTTTCTCAAAAAACATTTGGGTGCCCCTTTTGGGATGGATTTGGGAGCCAGGTTGAGGCACAGGAGAGAATCAGTTTTATTATTAGTAATTTATTATCATATATAGTCTTAGGAATGTTCCAGATGACTTTTTACTTATTTTTGGAAATAAAAGCCACCTTCCAAAGTTTGCCACCGTTGGGAGTATTTGAAAGGTTGTGCTGTAGGTTTTCATATATTATAGGAGAAGGAGAAATACTGAAAGGTTTAAAGAAATTCAGTGGGTGAAGATGGTAGGCATCCTTAGCACTTACGGAGCAGGGATTCTGGCTTTAGGTGAGTAGTCAGTGAACTTTTAAAATTGTAAACCTTATACCACTTTATTCCTTAAAACCTCAAAGCTTTCCTTTATTCTTCAGAGTAAAAGCCTGATTTCCTACTGTTTCCTACAATGCCCTGCTTGATCTATCCTTCTCCAGCCTACCTCTCTGAAGGCAGGACCTGCCTCTGCCCTCTCCTACTCTGCTGTAGGCTCCCTGCCTGGCTATTCCCTTATAACTCTACCTCCACGCCCCCTACCCCAGCATGTTCCTGCCCTAGGGCCTTTGCACTTACTGTTTTTCCAGCCTGAATTGTTCTCCCACATATTTCATACTTTCACTCTCCTTCCCTTCTGATCTCTGCTCAAACATCCCTTCGTTGGCCTGGTTTTCCCAACCACTTTATATACAATGGTAACTTTTTCCCCTCTTATTCCGCTTGATATTTGACCATTGTATTTATCACCACCTGCCTTTGTATATTTACTTATTTTTTGCCTGTATTTTCCATGAGGGCAGGGTTTTGTCAGTTTTTGTTCATTGTTTTATCCTCATTGTCTAAAACAGGGCCTGGCAGAAGTATTGGATAAATATTTGCCAAATGAGAAAATGAATGACCATTTAGTATGGTGATTGTATATCTTACATTTCCCAGGATATATCTTTTGGCAGATATTCTGGCTTATTGTCAAATCATGAGGTTACTGTATTTGGAATGAAGAACGTGATCATGTATGTCTGTGTTGTAGGATCATTCCAAGTCTGAGATTCTATAATTCCCCATAAACCACAAGGCTCGGCACTTGGTAGGTGCTCCCTAGTGGTCTGTGGACGAATTGAATGAAGACCTCCAGTGGCTTTTCGGTGGAGCCTCTTTCTGCCCCTGACCTGTTGTTTTATAGACCGTGGTTAATGATTTCAGACCCTGCATTTCTGCGGGGACTGTGATTCACCACAGTTATTTCCAGAACAGAAACTCTTTTGGGTGTAATGGTCAAAGCCTGGGGCTAACTTGGTTTTAGTTAGATGTAATTCATTGAATTTCCTTGGTTAATAACTAACCACTACAATGAAGAAGTAATTCAGAGAACACCTGTTGCATCTGAGAAAGGGAATGGAATGGTTTAAATTCTGTCGAGATGAATGTGGACTTTTGGTGATCTTATGATCAGGATTTGACCCTGAAGCATGGCTGGCGGACTGGTGCGATTATCCCGGAGCTGAGATCCGAGCTCAGGATCATGAACACGGAGCGGTACATTCAAACCATGACCTGGCTTCAGACCCTGACCGGGTTATTGGAGCAGATGCAGGTTTGCGATTTTTTTCTCTCTCCTCCTTTTTCTTTAAGTCTGAAGTTAGTCTGCTAATCAAAGTTATTACATATATTTTCTTTTTAATTGCAGTTATAAAGCATGAGGTGTAAGGCATCCTGCAGAATAACTCCTGGGGTTATTTTGCCCCTGAGAGAGTTTCGCCAGTTTCCCTGAAGAGAACTTTGAAAGTGCCCGCAGATTCATTTAGAGGAAGAGCTTTGCGGGGCCGTGTAAGCTCAGGGGTCTGTGTAGGTACCTCGGTCGGTGGAAATCCCATGTCCCCACTGAAGCTCTGTTGGGAGATGTCCTGTGGGGGAGTGGGATTCAAGAACCTCTGCTGATGTGTGGGGCTAGTCCTGCCTCTGCCTTGGGCCTGCTGTGGGATTCTCCATTCTGGGCCTCAGTTTCCCCATCTGTAAAATGAAGGGTCCTGTGGAATGAATACCCCAGGCTAGGCATCTGGCTTTACTGGAGAGGGTCTCAAAGCAAAAGTCAGTATCTCTGCGTGCAGCCTCCACTTGATTGTGAACATAATACCTATAGCTTGCTGGCTCACTGGGGTTCAGTGGCGGTTTTTTCTTTGTGTAAGTTACGTAGCCAGTTTTGGACAGTTAGTGAGGAATGTTGTTTTTGGTGATTTTCCAACCCGAGAAAGCTGCCCCTCGCTTGTCGCTGTGGCCCACTCCTAGTTCTCCTGAGACGCCTTGCTTCCCGCTTGGTTCAGCTGACCGGGCCTGCGGCTTTCTGAGGATAGGGAGCACGCTGCCCGCTCTCTTGGCTAACACACCTGTAGCTTCTGGCCCACAGCCCGCCAGTCCGCTTTGGGAATGTGCGGGGGCCTGCCTCGCCTGGCCCAGCTGGCGGTCCTCGTGGAGGCCGCTGTCAGCGAGCTCAGGCAGAGCTGTGGGGAGTGGCCAGCCAGGCCCTTGCTCCGGGGCCCGCACGTTCCAGAGCCTGGGACCTCGCACGTCCCCCGGGCCTCGCTTCCAGTGTGCTCTGCCCACGCTGGTTCTTGGCTGATCTGTGATGAGGATTTGTGGTTTCCCTTACTATGCTTGTCTGGGAGGTGCTTTTCTAAAAATACAAGGCATCAGTTCTGGGTTAATGTAGCTTCAAGTCTGTACATAGGTCAGACAATAGTAGTAGTGACTTTTCGCATGCCAGACGTCGTGCCGAGTGCCTATTCTGCACACATGAGTCATGAATAGTCCTGGCTGTCCTCTGCAGGCAGGTACAATTTTGCCACTTTCGAATAAGGAGACTGAGTGTTTGAGAAGTCAGGCAACATATCTGAGGTCGTAAAATGCCAAAGCAAGAACTTGAACTTAAGGCTTGTGTGATGCCCAAGTCCACTCTAGAGTCTTAACTTCCACACCGTCACCTCGGGCTCTAAGAAATAAAATGAAACCCAACCCAGTGTCGTTTGGAGCCAAGTCTGATGAATTAAATGTAAGTATATAATTTTTGCTTTGAGAAAGTAGCTGTAAAGAATAAAGATAGTTTTGTTAACTAGCCTCGAAGTGCAGTCCAGTATGGTGTGGTTGGTGGTGGTAGACAGTCTTCCCGGGTTATCATGTCACAACCACATTTAGCTCAGGGGTTGGTTGGTCAATTTCTGCCAAGGGCCAGGTCAGTCAACATGTCGTGCTGTGTGGGCCAAGCCATCTGTCACTGCTACTCAGCTGTGCTTGCAGTCCAGAAGCAGCCCTGGACAATGTGGACAATGCGGAAACGACCGGGCATGGTTGTGTCCTGTGGCTTTATTGGTGGACCCTGAAATGTGAATTTCATACCATTTTCGTGTGTCATAAAATTGTTCTTCTTTTGATTCCCCACACCTCCCAACCATTTAAAAAGGAACTTATTCTTCAGCTCGGAAGCCGATAGGAAAAATGGGTGGTGGGCTGGACGTGGCCTTCCCTGGTAGAGGCTGGGGGGCTGGCTGGATTGCAGGCCCTGCTCACACTGGGCAGGAGGGCTGGTGCCGCAGACGGAGCGTGATCTACATTTTTGCTCTCTCCTGTGGAGCTGATTATGCTAATTAGTGATGGGGCCAAAGATGGCATCAGCTTCTGGGGTGGGCTTCTGCTGAGTCTTTTCTGATGTTAACTACCCACCCTAGAGTGCGTGGTTTCACTTAAAGATTAGGTATCACTAATGAGCACACCCTTCTTCTGAAGTAGTTTAAAGTAGATTTCAGATACCTCAGACTTGTTTAAAATTTTGGCCTTGGAGGAGGAGCAGAGCTGGAGAAAGAAGTGTGTCAAGGAAAAAATAGCTTTTTTTTTTAAAAAAAAATTTATTTGAGAGGGAGAGATGAGAAAGAGCATGAGAGGGGAGAGGGTCAGAGGTCAGAGGGTGAAGCAGATACCTGGCTGAGTGGGGAGCTGGATGTGGGACTCGATCCTGGGACTCCGGGATCATGACCTGAGCTGAAGGCAGTCACTTAACCAACTGAGCCACTCAGGTGCCTCCCCCCACCCCGCTTTTTTTTTAAATGGGAGAGACTTGAGCATGTGCAAATGCTGATGGAGGGGTGCCAGGTGAGGAGGCTGAGCTTATGGCAGTGATGGTAAACGGTGGAGACAGGTTCCCAGGAGGGCAGAGTGGGGCACATGATGTCTGCTCCATCTCTAGAAGAGATGAACTGGGAGACCCACCAAGATGGCCCTTCAGGTCTGCAGAGCCTGCCCTGGGGTGGGGGCCCACCTGCAGGGCAGGAGTGGAGAGGAGAATTCACATGCCGTGTGGCAGCAAGTTTCAGAAAGAGAGCGCAGGTAGATTCACTTTGGTAATCCTTATGCCCGTCCCCGGAGAATTCTCCCGTGCTGCATTTATGGGCCGAGTAAGGAAGCAGGCATCCCTGCCTCCTGCTTAGACAAGGACGGAGGTGCCCAGTTCGTGGGCTGAGAGGGGTGTGTGGGCAGAGGTGGGGGGTTCCCGCTCACGGACTGACTCCTCACTTTCTGTGGTGTCATGTTGTTTTGTCACAGTCTGTTTACCTAGGCGTACCCCCCATAGGGGCCTCTGTCTTGTCCTCTCTTGTATCTTCAATGTCAAGCACAATGCTGGGGATATAGTGGGTGTGCAGTACTGATGTGTATGTACGTGTTTGTGTGTGTGTGCGTGTGTACAGAAATTTGTTGTGGCTCCCTACACATTTTACCTTTTCTGATCTAGTCACGTATTTTGTAGAGCCTCAGTTCTGTAGTGAGTAACTTCTTGATTAAAATGTGAAAACTAATTAAAACCATGTTCACAGAACCTCTGTCAGCACCCCCAGAAGCGCTGGCACAGTCTTCCGGTGCTCCCAGTAACACCCAGCCAGTGGTTGTCCAATGGCAACTGCTTCCCACTGGTGCAGGCAGTGGTGCTGGGCCGGACGTGCAGGTTACAAGCTCAGTCCGCACGGCTTTCGTGTGAGTGGTAGAGGTTCTAGCAGGTGACTGCCAGTCAAGCCGTTGAGCTGGGCAGAGGCAGTAAACAGAGGGCCTTGACTCCCACATGGGGAGCTGATGGTTTGCTTGTTTGGTATCTTCCTCGGGGCTCTAAGGCTCCCCTGTGAGCATGAATTGCAGGGGGCCCACCTGTCCCTGCACTCCCATGCGCCTCTGACCCTGGCGGGGGCGTTTCTGTTCAGCCACGAGAGACTTGTGAGATTTCGGTTGTTAGGTTGTGGGCAGTTGTTCTTTTTCTTCTTGCCTTTTGCTCACGTTTCAGCCCAACTGGAAAATTCTCTGCTTTTCCATCTGGTTGAGGTGCTCTACCTTCTTGTCTTTCCCCAAACAATTATTTATTTTCTCTTGAACACTTTAGAAAGGATAATATAACATCAAGGGAAAACATTAAAACCATTTACAATCCTACTTCCCTTGCACAAATTAAAGAAAAATTTCCATGCTCATTGCCAAATATATGCACATATTTTGACATGCTTGCAATTAGAGATGTACCGTTAAACCTGCTCGCTCCACTTACCTGCCATTTTTATGATTATACTTAACCTGTGATCTGTGTAAAAGGGGGTGCGTGGTAAGTGTGTGTTTATATACGTGGTACACGTGATAATGGACACACTGCACACACATATTTTATGTGGATATATATGCATTGTGTTTATACATAGTCTTTACTAATACTGTCAGTGCTCCAGTTTAATAGGGGCCTTGTTTAATAGGTTCATACTGTTCCATCACCATTTGTTAAACCACGTTTCTAGTATTGCGCATTCAGAAACTTTTGGTGAAGAAGTCAGATCTGCAGCCGGGAATCTGAAAATGTGTTATTTCATGCAAACGCCTATGTCTTCGACCTCAAGGAATGAAATTCTTCCGAGGAGAGCTGCCTGTTAAAAAATTCTTATAACCTCATGAGCTTCTTTGCAGCTCGAGCAGCCTCAGTGATTAGCTTGTGTCCTGCAGGTTCACAGAGATGCCGAGTCCCAGCTGGTTCTGCAGGAGTGGAAAAAGGAAAGAAAGGAGATGAGGTAAGAGGGGCCTATTTTGGGTGTGGCGAGCCCGCCACCCTGTCGCGCCCCTCCCAGCCCGCGCAACGTCCCCAGCACTGGCCTGAGGCAGCCCTCCTGTGTTAAGCTGCCGGGTGTGAATGGGACCACAGCTGTCGTAGCTACAACTAGGCATGGCTGCCACTAGCGGGGGGTGGGGGTGGGGTGGGACACACGACACGTGGGACATTTCCTTGAGCAGCAGCGACCTTTCTCAAACCTCCTGCCGTTGCCTTTGAACGCCAGGGTGGAAGGAGCGGTCCCTTCCCGCCCTCTTCCCTGCCCGCTTGACTTGCCCGTTTGCGCAGCCGGGAGCCCAGAGTGGCTCCTGGGACGGCGTGGGGGGCGGGCTCGGAACTGCCGTGAATTCTTAGGGCTCCTACAGCCCAGCTGCTTTTTTGTCATCAGGGATATGTGAGCCTATGTAAACATGCCAGGATCAGAATGTTTACTGGTGAGGAGAGCCCACCTGCTGTCTGGGAAGTTTGGCGGGTGGGCATCTTAATGGAACAGTTGTTGGAAAGAGGCCCAGGACCGTCGTGTTTCCTTAAGAACGATGCCGTATATGCAGACGCTGTTTATATGACCGTTCCCCTTCGGCTGGGTTTGGGAGCAGTGGTCGCTGCGTGGGTTCTGGCCTCTGAGCAGTGCACAGCCTGCTTGGGGGGAGCGGCGTGGAGAGGGGACAGTCATCCTTGGGGGCTGCAGAGGCCACAGCCGTATTGCATTCAGTCCTTCCTCCTCCTCTTGGTGTTGGCTGCCTGGGGCTCATTCTGATTGGAATCTTATTCTCATGTTGGTATAAAAATGTTGCATGACTTGAGAGGGTGAGGGGAGGCGTACGGGGGGTTGGACTTCAGGCCCCTTGCCCCCAAAGGCCAGGCCTGGGCACTGCCCCAGGAATCACAGATCGTCCGATGAAGAAGGAGCCACTTCACCATCAGAGATCCTGTTTTGGATTTAAGTCTCCAACAACCTCACATCTTAATGAGATTTTTCACGAAAAGTGTAAAAACCATTTATGTTGCTCCACTTGCAGACCTAGTGGAGTTTTAAAAATTTTCTACTCTGGTTGTCACAGCTCCTGCTGTCACCATCTACTGGACAGACGGCTGCTACCAGCTAGTGGCTTGTGGGTCACACAGTTGTGTATGTGGTTACATTTTCTGCTGTGTTTGTGACTGATTTATTAACAGTCAGGTGGTATTTACCCATTTTGCTGGACTGTTCTGAGTGGAGAGGTCCCAGCCGTCAGATGGTGTGCACATCCTGTGTGTGTGTGTGTGTGTGTGTGTGTGTGTGTGTGTGTGTGTGATGGGGTGTTGGTTTCCACACAGATGCACACCTGCAGGGGTTAGAGCCTGGGGCAGGGGTGAGAAGCCTTGCCAGATGTTGTCCCCTGGGCCGCGAAGAGGCAGTGAGGCGCATGGATCTGTGTAATGGATAGTGGAGATTTATTTACATCACTACCAAATAATCCTTCATTCCCCAGACATCAAAGTACTTAAGAGTGTCTCATATGCCTTTACTTCTCTTACCGAGTTCTCACGATAACCTTGTAGAAAGGGGGTCTTGATCCCATTCTGTAGATGAGGGCGGTTGGACGCTGAGAACATTCTGCATCTGTCCGTGTACCCCTCTCCTGCCTCCTCTGTTTTGGTTTGGGAAACGCGATGCGTCCATTTAAAGGAGCATCCCCATTGAATCTGGAGCCTTCAGCACTGCTCTCTGGCTGGCCTAAGTGGGAAACGTGATCAGAGCCATGTTGATGAGTGGATGGGCAGACCGTTTTCCTGAGCAGGGCTTGGGGCTGCTCTGGGCTGATTTTCCTTTCAGATGAGTCCTATCCAAATAAGGTGATTTTGATTTCTTTAACTCAAAAAGAGACTTTTCTGAATCGTTTTCTGTTGCTTTGCTCTTTCCTGCTGCTTCAGAGAAATGACCAAAAATTTCTTCAACACCCAGTTTGGAAGCTTGTTCCGCACAGACCAGAACCCGACCTACTTCCTGAGGCGCCTGTCGCGCTTTGCTGACATCTACATGGCGTCTCTGAGCTGCCTCTTGAACTACGATGTCAGCCACACGTTCTACCCACGGAGGACTCCGCTGCAGCACGAACTTCCCGCCTGGTCGGACAGGGCCCCCACCTTCAGACTCCCCCTCCTGCAAGAGGCCCACGCCAAGTAACCAGGTGCCCACCTGCGGAAAAAGCCAGAAGCAGGGACAACCCCCAACTGGCTGGACGTGATGGGGTTGACTTGTGTGCAAATGAGTGTTGCTTTTGGAAAAGATACAAATACGCCTTTTGGTATTTATTACCTTATGGAGACTCCTTCCACGTTGTTGAGACAGAAGCAGGCAGCCCACCAGTTCCGCTTTTGCGTTTCTCGTTGGGGCGAGTGGCAAGCTTCATGTCGAAACCCTGTGATCAGCCTTTTTGTTTACCAAGGTACTGGAATGGGTGTCTGTGTTTCCGGGCTAGGTGAGCCTTGTTGATGCCATCTCTCAATTCTAGCCGCTGAAGTGTCGCAAGTGTTCTTGACTCTTCCGACAGTGAGCTGACCGTTCACGGGCAGTGCTGTTGGGGACCGCAGGGGCACAGTGCCAGGCGACAGTAAACAGCTTGTGGAAAGCTGATGGATGAGTCTGTGAGCTCCATAATAACATCCGTAACAGTATTGTACGTAGCCTCCAGTGCCCACATCATGTGGTACTAGGGCTGTGGCATCCTGGTGCGTCACTCGAAGGGAGACTCAGCGTCCCTGCAAAATCTTCTGTGAAAGAACAGAGAAGTTGCAAGTCCTTGACTCGTGGTTGTCCTCAGCTGAGGCCACTTCCCGGGGTCTGCCCCATGCTGGGAGCACCTGTGGGGTCGCGGGTGATGGGTGCGTCCACTCCTTCTGCGGGGAAGGAGGGTGAGGAGACCAGAGCTCTGCTTTACTGCAGAACCCAGCTGCGAGAAACAAGCAGGTTGGAGGAACCAGCGCATTTGTGCTGGCCCCCCGGGAGTTTATCCCCCCTGAAAACGCCACCCACGTGTTGGTTTGATGTGCCCATTGGAGGACAAAAGATGAAGCAGGCACAAAAAATGTCCTTGTAATGAAATGCCCCTCCCGGACCCCTGCAGGGTCGTGTTGGAATCTTGTTAAAACATCTGCATGACCAGCAGGGGAGGAGGAGGTGGCCCAGTCACTCACTGCTTAGCTTCCCAGCCCCGTCCTCCCCCTTAGATCTCCTCCCTGCCACGTTGATGTGGCTATTTTGGGAGCCTGGGTGGTTTTCCTGAGGTGTGTATTTAAGGTGGGAGAGGATAAAGGGCGATGGAAGCTAGGAGGAAGCTTAGGAACAGCCTGGCTCATCAAGCGTCTCATTCCTTTCTAAGGACAACTCGAGTGGCACGCATGCTTGTCCCCAGCGGATGCGGGTGGCAGGGCCTGAAAGGGGACTTGTGGAGAGTGCTCGCTTATTCAGCATTTTATTGCGATTAATGTATCGGAACCAGCTTCTGATGAAATTTTAGCTTGGCATTTCATAGAGTACCTGCTGCAATGCACAAATGATGTGAGTTACACGGTTTCTTCTGTGATGCCGTTCGTAATGCCCTTTAGACCCAGGAGGCCCGATTTGGCCCCTTTTTTTACTTCTGAATTTTGTTACAAACACAGTAGCCCATTCCTTTTCGGGAATGGGGTAGGCATTTTGTTTGCTGTGTGTTAGCTCCTATGTGGTTTAAGCATCAGAGGGTATTGCGGATGGGCATTTAATGGGTGCATGTGGATGCCCAGGGTGCTTGGTGTTGGGGTCCTCGGCAGACAGGCTGTGCTCATGGCTTTAGAGTTTCTGCCTGGAAAAGCTGAGTGAGGAAGTAAAAAAGTTTTTTTTTTTTTTCCTCTCAGTTTTAATCTAATCAGATAGTCATTGATGTCTTCTTGGTGCCAGTTACAAGGTGTCTTGTTTACTCAAGAATAAAGTAGCGCTGTTTTTAAAACTGCTTTTATGGAGAACTAGGTTAGGTGACCTGAGCCTTGGGGGAGAAATAGATTTTTCTTGGAATGAATAATGAATTTTACAACATATTACCCATTAAGATTTCAGTCTCTGGGCCACTGAACGTGGCAGTATTGAGACATGTCACGTAGCATCTGTCTGAGCCGGGCCCACGGAGCAGGCACCTGGCGGGCGGAACCCACACCAGGGCCAGCCACACGGGTCGGGGCGACCGTGTCCACGTGAAGGACAGACAGAGGCATGCTTCCTGTGTGTGCTCAGTCAAGATAGATTGTAACTGTCGTGACTCAGTTGGGATTTGGCACACGGCACCGGGCATTTTGTTCTTTCCAATTCTCTGTGGTGCACACTGAGAGAAGCACAGTGGTACAAGGGAACGGAGTCTGTTTTCTACCGTTTAGAAAATCAGTTTGGGAAGTGAACAGAAGAAAATGGATCTGCACGTTGCAAAATATCTCCCGTTTTTCGCATTGGTTAGGCAGGTGGTGCAGGGACGGTCCGGCCGGCCGCAGCGGCTCAGCAAGGCTCATGGTACCTGGAGCAGACTGCCGTGGAAGGGCCCTGCACAACTGGTTTTGCAGTTGCTTTTATAGACAAAACTCGGCTTTTAAAGTATTTTAGGAGTTTGGCTTAGAGCTCCCTCTTTCCTCCTGACATAGCCTTTTTTTTTTTTTTTAATTTTTAAAATTCTCTTCAGCTCCATTTTCTGCCATCACCAGGAATGCTATGTAACATACACCACTTGTTACTGATTTGGGCATTTGTCAGACTGAATTACTAGTTGTTTTGAATGCACTGGCCCTCTTAATTATTGGAAAGGAGAAAGGAGAAGTAATCTTCCCTCCTCACTAATTTAGCTTTGGGGGAACTAAATGGCTTTTCCTCTTCCTCCCAAAGGCCCTTTAAGCAGTAGAATGTGCTAAATATTGGACTTGATTCCCTGTGCCGCAGGCTCATTTGCTGCCAAAGACCCACTCGGGGGCCCTTGTCCAGAATGGTTTGAGACTACATTTGCCCGGAGGCAGGGTTCCTTGATTACTCTATTCAACTACTAGGGAGCCTGTATTTTGCCCTCTTAAGACTAATTTCCTTTTATACCAATTCTCTCTCTCTCCCTCTCTTTTTTTTTGCATTAGCATTTGGGAGCCTGGCCTCAAATTTAGCTAACCTTTAACACCCTTGTGGGTTAAGGCGAGACAAGGGAGAGAAGTTTCTCTCTTGCAGGGTTCTGCTGGTGTTGCCTGTAAAAGGGCCAGTGAGGAAGCACTTGGAGCTTTGCGGGCCATTTTCTGTTGCTAGGGCTCTGGGAACGGGCACGCTGTGTTCCACACAACCTGATTTACAAAAACAGCTGCAGGCTAGATTTGGCTCTCCGGCCATAGTTTGCCCACCCCTGCGCTAGCGGCTTGTGTTGGTGGCTACGGCACCAGGACCTTGCTGAAAGCACGCAGATGAACCAACTCAGAGCTGGGTGTGGCTGGGAGAGAGAAATTCTGTAGGTGAGTGCGCCACACTCCCCTGCTCTCTGGGCGTCCATGCTTCTGTGGCCACTGTTTCTGGCACATGGCGTAACCGCTGTGTGTAATTGAACTGCCAGGCTCAGGCACTGGTTGGCCATCCCTCGCTGCACTGACTGGTGATTGTGCTCGTAGAGCGGAATGGGCTTGGTTGCCCACAACACCTTTCAGAACCGAAGGCCTTTCCCCCGCAACTGCTGGGTCAGCTGCTGGCTCCCCATCCTCAGCTGGTGGCCCTGTTTGAGAGCTTCCCCCACTGAAAGCCCTGCAGACAAGGTCACGCCCGCTTCCTTGGAGCCTCCAACTCCAGCCCTGCTTCCTGCCCTTCTCGTTCCTTCTCTTCCGTTCGCAGGTGTTGTTCCCGAGAACACTCGCCCGAACTCGTCCCGCATGCAAACCTCACTCAGTGTCTGCTTCCCGGGGCAGCCAACCCGCTACAGCGCTTCTGTACTTTTTTTTTTTTTTTTTTTTTTTAGCACCACAGGCTTGAACCCCAAGGAAACCGTGTTCCAAGTATTTTAATAGAATGACGGAGTGTGCCTGTAGAATGGTCTCAGGTGCCATATGTGCGAACTAAGTAGACTTGCTATTTATTCTGGATGTGAATTTGCTATTTATTCTACATGTTGATTTTATGTGATAGGATTGAACTTCTTGCCAAATAAAAGTTTGAATTGTGTCGTCTAGTTCATTGTAAGTCGTCTGTTTTTGTGTGCCTTAGCGGCAAAACCGTATCAAATTCTACTGTACCCAAAAAAGAACACCCCGGTGAGAAGGGGAGGAAGATGTGTGGTTCATTTCTCACCCCTTTTGTCCCAGCACCCCAGCAAGGCACACTTGCTCGTTTGCAGAGCCGGAAGACTGTGTAGTGAAGGTGCGGATGGAAAGTGGGCACGAGCTCAGACTAGGTAGGCCCTAGATACCCCCCGGAACTGTTGTTCCCCCACAGGTGTTCCTTCTTTGACAGCCAGGAGAAGATACGGTCACCTACGTGTTTGCAATCAAATTGCCAGGAAAGCTAAAAATTGGAAGCTGTGTTTTAAGGGAAGAAAATACTGAATAATACTAAATTAAGAGGAAATGCAATGAAGTCAAATCACTACTGGGTTTTGGATAAATTTATAAATATTTTGAAAGGCTTATTTTTTAAAAACCGTGTATGTGTGTGCACGTGCATGCACATGTATTTAGCCTCCTTAATGTCCTTGATGTCTCGATGTGCCAGGACCTTTGTCTCATTCACTCCTTCCATGGATGGCCTGCTGGTCTTCCTTTCAATCGCTTGCCTTTTTGTCCCTGTGATGGTGGTACCGGAGGACTCACTGGGGAATTTGTCTCTCGTTCTTTATGGGTATTGATCTCCCGGAAACATGGCCTTGCTTTCATCATGGCATGTTGTCCCAGAGGAGATGGTAAGCTGTTCCTGTGCCTGAAACTGGGACTTCTTTTCCTTTCCTGGAGTTGGGAAAAAGCTTACAAGACACTGGAGCCTCGAGAATGTCTCACCTGACTCAGCAAAAACCCTGAGGACGTGGAACAGTTATTGGGCCAAAAGGAGAGTCAGATGTCTGCTCAACCCAACCTTTTACTTCTCTCTCCCAGCAGTGATTCCCAGAGCTGGCCAGTCCTGCCCCCTAGGGACCATTTGGAAGTGTGTGGTGGGTGGGTTGGAGGGTGTTGGTTGTCACGGTGATGGAAGGGCACTTCTGGCCTTTTGAGGGCAGGGGCCTGGTGTGGTAGACATCCTGCACTGCTTGGGTGAGTCGTGCACAGTACAACACTGTCCCGAGTCCACGCATCACCACTGGAAAGTTCTAGAACCATTTTCATCACTCCCTGTCCCTGGCAATCACTAATCTATTTTCTATGAATTTGCCTATTCTGGAAATTTCATATAGATGGAGTCATACAGTATGTGGTCTTTTGTGTCTGCCTTCTTAGCATATGGCGTTTTCAGGTTCTCTCTGTGTTGTTGGCATGCATCATTAGTACTTCGTTCCCTTGTAGGGCAGAATGCGATTTCACTGGAGGGATATACCACCGTTTGGCTATCCATTCAGAAGATGACGGACATTTGGGTTGTTTCTACTTTCTGGTTATTATGAATAATGTTCCCATGAGAACACATATATAAGTTATCACGTGGACATGTTTTCCATTTCTCCTGGGTATATACTTAGGAGTGGGATTTCTGGATCACATGGTAACACCGTGTTTAAGTTTTTGAGGAACTGTCAAACCTTTTCCATGTGGCTGCACCATTTTACTTTCCCCCCAGCAACGTGTGAGGGGTCTGATTTCTCCCCATCCTTGCCAACACTTGTTATTATCTGTCGTTGTGATTCTAGCTGCCCCAGTGAGCGTGAAGTGGGATCTCACTGTGGTTATCCTGTCTTCTTAAACACAAACAAGCAAACGAAACAGAATTGAGAAAGAAGACTTTTATAAGGCAGGTGTTAGCTAAATGAAAAGGCCCTATTTAGCCCCAGTAAGTGAATTCTACCTGCAAACTTTGACCCTTCCTGTGGTAAACAGTATTTTTGTTTCCCCAAACACCAGATTTGTTCTGTTGACTTTAATTCTCTTCCATAAACATTTATTGAGCACATTGCATGTACCACATCCCGAGATACAAAGATGAATGAGGCAGGTCCCTGCCTTTGGGTGCTTACAATCTAACAGGGAAAGGAGATAAGGTCATAGTGTTGGGGAGAATGTACTTAAGTGCCGTCTAAAGGTACAAAGGAAGGACAGTGGAGGGACAGTCCCCCGGGGTTGGTGGGTAGGTTTAACGTGGCCCCTCACCCACCGAAACAAAGTAATCCCCCACATTAACCAAAGAGATGAGGTATGGCTTGAGTGCTTCATACTTTAAAGTGTGAAAGGACCTTACTTTCCAAAAAGCAACTGGTGCTGAGGATTCACAGTTGACAGCCTTTTTGAGGAGGCTCGGGTGGGTGGGCAGATGGCCGAGGTGGGTGGCTGGCCGCAGCAGGTCTGGGCCCTCACAACGCCCCCAGGGGGTCACTGTTGTCCAGCTGCTGGTCTTCGGCGTCCTGGAAAAGAGAGGTCTCTGAAACACTGGGGGCAGGCCCTTCTGCTTGTCGGATCTTTCTAGGCTGAGCATTCCTTCTGGCCCCTGGTCTGAGGCTTTGAAGGGGTTCAGAACATGCTATCCCCAAATATGGCACCTTGGCAGTTTAAATATCTTAAAACTGAAGGAATTTTTGAAAAAACAGCAGAAGTAGGATGGTCACTCTGACCCTTCCCCACCTCGCCCCTTTTCCTCCGAACAGGTCATAAAACCTTCCCTGCACCAGGAGGAAAGAAGACGCTGATCACCTAAGAGACAGGAATTTGGGGCCCGGAAATCCATACAAACAACCTGGTTAAACTCTTTAGCTTCCTACTTAGCTCACCATGTACTCCCCCAAGCCCAAACCTTTGTCTTGTCAATTCTCCACAAATGTGTCGTTTCTTTGTATAAAAGATAGAAAAGGTTCCTGCTCTGGTTACTTCAGGTCTTCATTCTCTCATGAAGGCTCCCAGGTACATGTAGACCGTCCATAAAGTTTATATGCTTTTTCCCTGTGAATCTGTTAGATTACTTTTCAGATCCAGCCAGGGACCCTCTTAGGGTAGGGAACGTTTTCCCTTTCCCTCTTAGGGAAGAAAACGTCTTCCTTCCGCATAGCCTAAAATAATTCTTCTCCAAGTGCCCTGGGAACATGTGTGTGGTAGGAGTGTTGTGTTGGGGGCAGGACGGTATGATGGTTCTGGGGGTGGTCCCTGCTGCTTGAAGCTTATGGGCCCCAGATAGATCATTTCTATTCTTGCTGTTTTTCCTCATCTCTAAAGGGCCATAATAATATTTTCCTCACAGGGAAGTATGAGGATTAAATCAGATACTGCATTAAGGAAGGTACACGCACCCTACAAAAGGTGGCTGTTAATATGATTACAAAAAACTGCTTTCAAGTTAAACATTCTTTGTCAACCCAGGGTGGCTCTTGAGCATTTGAGGGAGTCCAATCAGAAACCGTACTCTGGAGGCAGCACCCACGCCCTGTGCTGTCTGCAGCTCTGATTGGCACCGAAGTGTTGCTACTTTGCATAAGGGATGTGTTCTGGATGTCTGGATTGGCCACAAATATTGTATGGGCACCCCACCTTCAACATAAAAGATAGGAGAATGGAGGACGTCCCTCTGGGGATGGCACCCTCAACTTAGGACTTCTGTTCCTGGAACATTTTTGCCTCCTGGTCTGATTAGAAAGGTTCATCTGACTCCTGCATTTGGGACACACTCTCTCCTGCCTCAGGAGAATCCTTCCTGCGTGGTGCGGACAGAGCCCTCAGAAGAGGACAGGCAGCCGAGAAGGTGTGAAGTGCACAGAAGGAGATGGAACTCCCCACCCCCCGCCGCCCCCTGCCCCACCAGCTTTTTAAACGAGGTTGATTTCAACATAACAGTGCTTGCAGAAATGAACTACTAGTTAATAAATGCACAGCTAAACTTACCCTTTCAATTTGGATGGGGAAACTTTTACATGGTTTGATTAGAAAAACAAAATAGGATATGATCTGGTTATTTTTCAGTCTATTGCAAAGATATTAGTTCTGCTACCACGGGCGCCGAGAACACAAGACATTTACGTTTGGTTCACTGCAGAAGAACAAAAACGTCTGTTGCACTATACGAGCTGAAAAATGGCGCAATAAAATATTTCAGCTTTGTGCCAACTTGCAAGAATGCGACAGCCATAATAAAGTCTTGAGGGGCGGGACAGCATATGTACATGCATAAAACAATCCCAGCGGCTCTTTGGCTTTGGTTACTTTTTTTTTTTTTTAAGATTTTTATTTAAGAGAGAGAGTGTGTGAGAGAGAGAGCAGGAGCGGGGTGAGGGGCAGAGGGAGAAGCAGGCTTCCCGCTGAGCAGGGAGCCCGATGCGGGGCTCGATCCCGGGACTCCAGGATCATGACCTGAGCCGAAGGCAGGCAACGCTTAACCGACTGAGCCACCCCATTACTTCTTTGTGAGGGTTCTAGACCAACAGCCCAGATTCAGGTGATTTCCTTGAACCTGAGTAATGCTGTCAGCTCAGTCTGCTGAGGTACATACTAGCTGTCAATTTTTCTTCGTATAAAAGGAAGAATTAAATGTTACTCTTAGCTTCTCAGTCCAGACCTGGTAATAGGCTATGGGCAGGGTGTACCTTCCACCTTCGGTGTGAATGGGGTACCCTGCTGTGGGCTCCCCCTGGGTTGAAGTCAGTGGAGCTCCATCCAAGCTCAGGGATCACTAGAAACAAATGGTTATTTCCTGGAACACCAGAGCAGAACATGTCCCTCTAGATATAAAAGAGCTGATCAGACTTGCCATTTGCAACGACGTGGATGGAACTGGAGGGTGTTATGCTGAGTGAAATAAGTCAGTCAGAGAAAGACATGTATCATATGACCTCACTGATATGAGGAATTCTTAATCTCAGGAAACAAACTGAGGGTTGCTGGAGTAGTGGGGGGTGGGAGGGATGGGGTGGCTGGGTGATTGATAGACATCAGGGAGGGTATGTGCTATGGTGAGCACTGTGAATTGTACAAGCCTGATGAATCACGGATCTGTACTTCTGAAACAAATAATGCAATATATGTTAAGAAAAAAAAGAAGAAGATAGCAGGAGGGGAAGAATGAAGGGGAGTAAGTCGGAGGGGGAGACGAACCATTAGAGATGATGGACTCTGAAAAACAAACTGAGGGTTCTAGAGGGGAGGGGTTGGGGGGATGGGTTAGCCTGGTGATGGGTATTAAAGAGGGCACATTCTGCGTGGAGCACTGGGTGTTATGCACAAACAATGAATCATGGAACACTGCATCAAAAACTAATGATGTAATGTATGGTGGTTAACATAACAATAAAAAAATTATTAAAAAAAAAAAAAGAGCTGATCAGAGTGAGACAGGGAAACCGAAGAACTCTGTAAAAATCTGCTTTTGCTCGTTTTCCTGCTTCTGCTCTCTCTAGGACCTGCATCCCCACCGCACCTTACACATGCCTCGTAATGCGAATAGTTACGTCTTCCTTGGAAGGGACAAGGAGTTCATGATTTCTCTAGAACAGATAACATCTAAGGAAGGACCAGGTGAGAATGACCGGCCTAAGTTATCATATGTGCCCTCCGGGCCACCAGCAGCTAGACAGCTCCAGGCCAAGGCCCCCTGGCTCTAAGGACTAACGCCTGGGCCCTGGTCTTTATCCTAGCCAGTTCTGGGATGCCTGAGGGGACATGTACACCAGACCACTGTCCTCAATAAAAGCTCCAGACCCAGAACAAAGACAGGACTCATGCTCCTTTCTTCTCCTTTCCGAGTGTCCCAGGCGCTCCATGTGTATCTGCCCTCTCTGTATCTTCAATAAACCCTGCTCTCACTTCCCGCTGGCTTGTGTTTGATTTCCATCCTGCTTGAAGCCACCGACCCTCTTGGCTGGTCCTGTGGGAGCCCCTCTGGGTCCTTGGACCCAGCCTGCTGCCATCAAAAGGAACATAGTTCCAAAGGCAAGAAGCAGCTCTGACGATGGGCAGAAAAATTTTGGCAACCATGTAAAGAAAAGTTTATTAAAAAAAAATTTTTTTTTAAAGTAGGCTCCATGCTCAGTGTGGGTCTTGAACTCATGGCCCTGGGATCAAGAATTGCATGCTCTACCAACTGAGCCAGGCAGGGACCCCAACAATGTAAATATAAGTTTAAAGCGTAACATAAGGAAAAAAAAACTTTTTAAGGCCTGAGTCTTACTTTGCACTGGCTGCCTCATAATGTTTGCAGCAGAAGGCAGCCCAAGATTTCTTCGTGTGACAAACCACTTCTCACCTGGTCACGAGGTGGGGGGTGAGCTGCCTCTGCCCGCCTATTACCTCTGATTATTGGAGACGTCACCCCAAAGAACGCAGGGACACTGAACAGCCACATGGCTTCAGTCAGCTTGCGATACTGACTTTTAGGCTTGTTGCCCCGAGACACCATCTGGAAATGTGCTTTCCTTGGTGCAAAGCTTTCCAATTGGATTTGCTGGAAGAGCTCATTCTCGTGCTCCCCAGCTGCATCTGTGCCTAGGTAAAGAGGCAAACTCACCATGAAGCGGTCGCAGGAAGGCTCTGGGGGAGCGGACGGGGTGCTCTCATACAAGGGGTTTGGTATATTCTCAGGCTGCTGCTTGCCAAGAGCCGCGACGTGGATATCCTCCTCCGACTGCTTGGGAAGACGAGCACAGGCTGTGTCCCCAGGGCAGGAGAGGCTCATCCAAGCTGGCGTAAAGCAAGCCACACCCCACCTCCTCCTCTGGGGGCCTTTTCTTCATTTGCAATAACCACGTGTGCCCCTCTTAAGTGCTGGGCTCAGTGACTTCCTATGTCCATCCAAGCATGACGGCCACCCAAACCCGCACACAGGGTGTTTCCGTCCCCTCCCCCTTCCCCAGGAAGCGTCCTCACGCCCATGCCTGCAGGACCCCATCCCACCCAGGGTAACTGCTCTTCTGACTCCTATCACCCTGGAGTGGCTTTGCCTGTCCTTGAACTTAGTAAGAAAGGACTCCCACAGCATGCACACTGTGGTAGAGATGCTGGAGCTTATGAATAGGCATCTGCTCTGCGAGGAGGGAATGGCCTGGGGGAGGCAACTGGAGGAGAGGCTGGGTGGCGTGGGGGCGGAAAGCACAGTGGGGAGGGTGCTCAGCTGCTGTGCTGCGGCCACACCCGGCCCCCGGGGGTCCCCCCTGCTCAGCTGAGACCCGCTGACCTCCACGTGGGCTCACCCAGCCCCCGGGGGTCCCCCCTGCTCTGCCGAGACCCGCTGACCTCCACGTGGGCTCACCCGGTCCCCGGGGGTCCCCCCTGCTCAGCCGAGATCCACTGACCTCCCTGCGGGCTCACCAGTTTGAGGCTGGCTGCAGAGGGAGGCCTGACCGTGCGGGGTCCCCGACCCTGTCCTCCACCCCCGCCAATCAGAGCGGGTGCCTGTCTCAGAATCCTCCAAGGTGAGGGGGCTTCTGGGCCCCTGGTGAATATGCCTCCAAGCCAAGCCCCCAGCTCCCCGGGGGTGAGCTCTGTGAAGCGGCCAGTCGAGCTGGGCTTCAGTCTCCCCCGTCACCATGTTCCCATGTCTCTCTTACCTCAAAACGCTGGAAGCCAGCTGTTCTTCGGTTTAGCCGAAAGTAAGAATATGCAGCCAAAGCGGCAGCTCCAAAGACCAGGACGGTGGCAAAGAATATCCCTGTTCCCACGCTGGTGTGCACTGAAGCCTGCCCGCAGAAAGGGGAGGGGTGATACTTAAACCTGGTGCCTTGCCCAGAGAGGAGAGCTTTCTGGAGCCCACTGCACTCTTGCTGGCCCGAGGCATCTGCGGCCGGTTGGGATAAAAATAAGGATAAGATAGCTAACATGTATTTAGCCCTTCCTACTGCCAGGGTCTGTCTAAGCCCCTTCCATGACATAATCCAGTTAAATCTATAAGAGCCCCAAGAGATAGGGGCAAGTATTACTGTTTCCATTTTTATATGGGGCGACTGAGGCCCAGAGAGGGTAAGTGCTTTGCCTAGTATCACACAGCCAATGAGGAGTAGAGGTAGGTGGGCTCGGAAGCCAGCCTGGCTACGAAGCTGGTGCACTTAACCACTATGCTATGGAGCTTCCCAGAAAACAGCTGGGCTCACTGCCCTCACCCCCCCACCCCACCTTTTAGAAAGCAGGATACTAACACCACCAACCAACCCACCCTCATATAGCCCGTACTGTGTGCCAAGGACTGTCCTAATTATTTTATATTTATCGACTCATCCTCCCAAGAACCCAGGGGTCGGCATTACGACCCCCCATTTTGCAGATGAGAAAAATGGGGTCAGAGACTTGTCCAAGGTTGCACGGCTAATAAAGTGGAGGGGACACACCAGAGCTCAGGATTTCCTACTCCCCTTCCAGTGGCTTCTCTAATGGCCCATTCACTCAACAAATATCAACAGCGACAGGTGTTGTGTTGCTAATGCACTGGAGCAGGGGTGGGATGAACCAGGGCCTCAATCTCTGAGGCCACCTGTGGGAGGCTCCTCCTGTCTCCAGAGGAGAGGAGACAGAGCTTCTTGCTACAGTTTGCCTCTTAGGGAGTAGACATTGGACCCCTGCCCCCAGGAGCCCTGGATACTCACCAGTGGGACAGGGGGTGCTCTTAAAGGCCTGGAAATAACATGAATGATCCCATTGGAGGCAAAGATGTCCCACTGCAGAATGGCTCTTCCATCAACAAACCTGGTCTCCTGGGGAAATGAGAGGGGGGCTGGTGGAGATCTGTGGCCATCTGCCTTTTTGCCCCATGTGGGCAACCCCTCTATGAAAGAAAGTTGCTCAGTTTCTCCCAGGTCCTGCAGCCCGGGTATCAGGCCTATTGTTACCGATGGGCAGCACAAGACACATTAGTTGCCCTTGGGCTACAAGGCAGGTTGAAGAGCTGCAGGGAACCCAAGGGGCCATTCTGTCCCACCAACTTGTCTACCAGATGAGTTCAGAAGGAAAATGGCTTGTCCAAGATCATGTAGGTGGCAGATGGCCAACCCTAAGCCTCTGGACTTCGGGTCCACTGCTCTGAACAGCACACTGAGCTGCTAGAAAATGGATTTTTAAGTGATCTTATCCCCTGCTAATCAAAGCGTGATCTACTGTCTTGTGGTTGTGGGCATCACCTGAGAGTTCATTAGAAATACAGAACCTGAGGTCCCCATACTCCACCTGCTGAATTATTTATGATCTGCATTTCAGCAAACCTCTACCTGATTCAAATGCATGTTAAAATTTGAGAAACACTGGTCTAAACCACTAACCTTCAATAAAAAAAATCATCGATCAGGTAAATATTAAAAAATAATACTCACTTGGCACTTGCTACCGAGCACGCACTGTTCTCACATGCCACAAGCATGGAGGCACTGAACCCTCACAAGTGCCTATGATTCTGACAACGTGGTTGTCATGGTCATCACTGCCACCACCACCATCACCGTCATCACCATCACTAACATCACTCTCACGATCGTCAGTATCACCATGCCTGCCATCACCAACAGCATCACCACCACCACCACCGTGAAACAGAGGCGGAGAGTCAGAAAGCTTTAAAAATGGTTTCATGTGGGGGTGCCTGGATGGCTCAGTCGTTAAGCATCTGCCTTCGGCTCAGGTCGTGATCCCAGGGTCCTGGGATCGAGCCCCGCATTGGGCTCCCTGCTCGGCGGGAAGCCTGCTTCTCCCTCTCCCACTCCCCTTGCTTGTGTTCCCTCTCTCGCTCGCTCTCTCTCTGTCAAATAAATAAATAAAATCTTTAAAAATAAAAATAGTTTCATGTAAAGTTCCTCATTCATCATTACCAGTTTCCGGGGCTGGTGGTCACCAGTGGTTTCCTCCCCAAGGGGTAGGGGCTGCCTAACAGCATGGTGTCCTACGGTGCGCAGCTAACACCGTCCCCGGACTGCAGGTATAGTGTTTACTTTCACATTATAATAGTTGCCATCTATTAAGCCCCTACTGCACGCTGAGAGCTTTGCATGTATTCTCTCCAGTTCTGCAAGTGAATCCAGAAGACTTCTCATACCGGTTGTTGCTGCTTCTGGCTGGAGGTGATGAGCAGCTGACTTCCCAGCTTAGTCTGCAGGACGGTACCGTTGACAAGGTCATTGTAAAAAAAGATGCTGACATTGGCAAGGTGGTGCTCAATGTCCCGCCCAGACAGCGTCTGAGAGGAAAGGAGAAACATAAGAATGGTCTGTAGAAGCCAGGCAATTTTATTTTTAATAATAAGGATGACACAGAAAAAAAAATCACTTCTCATGGCTGTGGTTTTCTGCCTCCACGTGGAGAGAAGGAATGTCAAGCTTCTCTCAGACTTTTGGTTGTCTGGGCCCTGCCAGAGGTGCACCTGCAGCTAGCTTGTGGCACTGAGAGTCGTCCTCAGGAAGGCTGGGTCTTGAGTGGGGAACTGCGGGCAGAGGTCCCGCTCCTCTCAGCCCTCGGGTGGGACAGGGCTTGCGGCTGCCAGAGCCTGCGGTCAGCCACCTGTGTGGAATTGCCATCCCCTCCGCGTGCCCGGATGTGAAGAAGGCTAGTGTGGTGGACTGCCTGCATCCGGGGCTCTGCTTCTTCACCCCTCCTGCATTTGTGCCCTTTGCCATGTAACTCTGAGTGCTTCCCACTCTGACTTTGGGCTCAGCCGCATGACCTGTTGGACCAGTGGCCTCTTAGCCAATGTCACCAAATGGGGGCTTGTTCCTAATTACCACTTGCTGCCAGCACCATGAGAACACGCCTGGGTTAGTTTTCTGGAGGACGGGAGGCCTCCGTCGGCGGACAGCCAGGCCATCACGGACCCGTGAGCAGGCCTGGCCAGGACCACAGCCGTGTGAGCTGAGTCCCTGTGTAGCCACTGGGTTTTGGGGTGACTTGTGGTGACAGATAACAGATCCTGGTGAAGCACGAGTCTGGAGCACAGACAGCAGGCCCCCGCCTCACCTCATTCTCCCCCAGCCCGCTGTTGTGTGGCACAAAGAGGGTACTGCGGATCGACAGGTCCGTCAGGTGGTTCAGAAATGCCCGGCCTCTGGCTGAGCTGTTGGAATAGGCCAACACTTCCTGGGGAGAGGAAAGAGTGATCAGCTCTGGTGTGCAAGGGTTGGGGTGGCGGTGGGGCGGGGGGATGGGGGGGGTCGGGGAGGGCGGTCACGGGGCACCACCCATCCGGGACTCTTCCTGACGTTGGCCCCACCTCCGGCTGCTGTTTCTTCTGGCCGCCTCTTGGCAGAATTTGAGGAGCACTTTTTCTTTCCTCTACGAACCCTGCCACATCACAGCCACATCACAGAATCAAGACCATTCTTCACATGGCCACCTGGGCAGTCCTTTGAAATCTAAGTCAAATTTTGAGTCTCCTCTTGTTGAAACCTCGCAACGGCCTGCACTTCACTCACAGGAAAACCAAAGGCCTTACAAGGAATGGCCCATGAAGCCCAAACCACCTGGACCCTGTTGCCCCGCTGCCCCCGGGCCCTTCTGTCCCTCACTCGGCTCCAGCTGCACTGGCTTCTTTGCCATTCTTCAAACTTGGGTGGCCACTCTTGCCTTTCATCCTTCTGCCTGGACTGTTCTTGCCCCACATCTGCATGGCTAACTCCCTTGCCTCAGGTGTCCTCTTCTCACCCTGCAATGGGAGCCTGTGGTGGTACCCCTCCCCTGCTCTACTCCACCCTTCCCCTCCTTGCCCCCCCCAACAGGACAGATAATCACCTCCTAGCATTCACTACTATGTACTTATTTATTCTGTTTATTAGTTTGTATATGTGCTGCCGAAGCGAGCACTCTGTTTATTAGTTTGTATGTCTGCTTTGCTTACCGATATATCTCAAGCACGTAGTAGGTGCTCAATAAATACTTGCTGAAACAGTTTAAGAAATGTCACTATCCAGTTCGACTTTGTCGTTGTGTGGACAGGGCCACTGAAGCCTAGAGAAGTTAAACTGCTGAGGGGCACACAGCCAGTGGGTCTTGTTCCGACACTGTTTTTTTCTGAATGCTGTCACAAGCCAAGCTCCCGCACGGCAGAAGCACCGGTTTGAGTGTTTGTCTTTAGTGTGTTTACGGTAACCCTGAATTTTAGAACAGTTAGAGGGATACTTCGGTCTGTGGATAAAGTCTCACCATTTTGGAGCCCTTGGTTTAACGTCTGCCCTGATCCTGCAAGCCCTATACTTATGCCCAGTTCCCTCTCTGTGGCTGTGCCCTTGACCTTGGTAAGCCTCAGTTTCTTTATCTACAAAGTGGGGATAATAGCAGAAGTGACCTCATAAGGTTGCATGAGAATTTATTCCTAGTAACAAGTGTTTATTGAGCACCTACTATATGCCAGCCACAAGGCAGAGAAAATCCTTTCCCTTAGGGAGCTTACATTCTGTGGGCTGAGTTATAAGTGCTCTGACGGGGTTCGTGCATGCACAGTGCAAAATAAATGCTCAAGAAATGTTATTCTTGATCTGGTTGTTATTATTAGCTCAGTTCTTTGATCAGTCGGCACCAAATCCTTCTCCAACTGGAGCTTTCTCTTCACGAGGCATAACTTGTAGAGTATTGAATTGACTGTAAGGATGGTGCTAAGTGCAGGTTGACTCCACGTTGATAACTGTCTGGTCACGAGGCCCGCCCAGCTAACTGTGCCCCACCCGGTCTGCAAAGACCAAAGAGCGTCTTGTTCCTGCAGATCAGACCCTCAAGCTGCTCTAGATGCAAAAAGAGATGCTCCCACTAGCTAGCCCCAATGTGGCCGTTTCCGCGTGTGGCCACAGGTCTAAGTGCTTTTCATTATCATAATCATGCTAGGAGCCTGGGGCTGTCATCCTCTCCATTTTACTGGGGAAACTGAGGCCCAGAGAGGGAAGTAATTTGTCGAAGGTGGAGCCACAAGTGGCAAACCCAAGCTTCAAATTCAGGCAGTGTGGTCCACTGCCCATGCTCTTAACCGTGACTGTAAGCATGGGGCTTCTTTCAAGGACTCGCCTCTGGAATCACAGCCTTGAGGCAAGCGCTCCTTCCCTGAGGCAGAACCAAGCAGATGGGGTACAGGGTACGTACCATGAGGAAGTTCGTCAGCGAGGGGAAGGACATCAGGACCTGCAACAGATTTCCGCTGCACGAGAAGCCATCTCCCACGAAGCCCACCTTGCAGGTGCAGTTCACATCTGGAAGGCAGGGGCACACAGGGTCCCACTCTGGTGAGGGAGGGGCCTGGGCTTCTCCAGCTCTCCCTTGGAGGTTGGCTGGCCAGGCTGAGGGTGCTCAGCAGCTGCGTGGCCTGGAATCCGAAGCGTAGCTGGGGTAGTTACCTTTCATCCGATAGCAGAAGACATCCCACATTTCACTCTTGTTGTTTCTTTGTCCATAGTCTATTATTCCAACAATGCCGGAGCCACAGTTCTGGGAGGCATAGGCTGTGGGGTAGGCCACCCGCCCACTCTCCAGCCAGCCTGCTGAACAGAGGTGGTACTTGGCCTGTAGGGACACAGACAGGGCCATGGATCGACTACAATTTCCTATTTGGTGTGGGCTCCTTTAGTTCATGTCTGATTCTCCCATCAGACTGTAAACTCCATGGAGTCAGGGTTATGGCTCATTTTGTCAACTGTACCCCTGTGCCTGGAACATAGTAGCTGTTCATTAAATTTTTCTTGATTGATTCATTGAACAGATGAAAGTGGTACCCTTTTTTTCTTTTGGTGCCCAAGTCCTTCACACTCATTTCTGTGTGTTCTCAAATTAAATTTACTCTTAGCCATCTACTCCTGGGTGCAAATTCTTCTGTCTATGCATTGATAGAACTCGAATTGATTTTCACCACCATGAACATCACCATCATCACCATCACCATCATCACCATCATTATCACCATGATCATCACCATCATCATCACTATCATCACCATCATCACCATGATTATCACCATGATCATTACCATCATCACCATCACCATGATCATCACCATGATCATCACTATCATCATCCTCATCACCATCATCACCATGATCATCACCATCACCATCATCACCATGATCATCACCATCATCACCATCACCATGATCATCACCATCATCATCACTATCATCATCCTCATCACCATCATCACCATGATCATCACCATGATCATCACCATCACCATCGCTGTCATCACTATCATCACCATCATCATCACTATCATCACCATCATCACCATGATCATCACCACCATCACCATCATCATCACCATCATCATCAGTATCATCACCATCACTGTCACCACCATCATCACCATCATTATCATCATTGCAATACTTATTGAGACCTTACTCTGGGCCAGATTCTATTGTAAAGGGCTTTCCCTGTGTCAGCACTTTTAACCCTCACACCAACCCTATACAATAGAAACTTAAAAAAAAAAAAAAGTCCCTATCTCATAATTGGCAAATCTGAGGCAAAGAGGAGTTGGTAACTTGCTCAAAGTCAGACAGCCAGCAAGTAGTTAAGCTGAGATTCAAGCCTGAGCAGTCCATTCCAGAGCTCTTAATGTTAGAAACTGAATGTACCCGTCACTGTGCCCTATTACCTTTAGTCCTATACAAACATGCCAAGTAGCACAGAGGTTTCCATTGCCTGATCAAGGCTACAAAATCAGCAAGCAGGAGAAGCAAAAATTCAGACCCTCCAATATGCTGGGGCCTGGCATCAGAGGTTTTGTTCCTCGGTAAAGAAATGCCAGGTCTGAAGGAAGGCAGAGACTGGATGGTGAGGGAGGCTGGAGGAGCGGCCCTAAAATCATACTGTATAGGCAGTCACCTCCTCTGCACCTGCTGAGCAATTGCTAGCTGGTAACTCCAAGGTGCTGGCCTTTCCAAATAAGCAGGGCTTCTGGTTTTTGGGGCCAAGAGAGTAGCCTTCGCTAGAGCTCCATCTCCGACCTGGTTGCAGCCAAGAGCTGGGGCAATCCCCATTCATGACCTTCACAGCCCCTCCAGACATTTCAGAGAAACTCAGCTGTTTTGTGGGTTCAGGGAGATCCTAGGCCTATGGTGATGGAACTCCTTCTGGTTTTCAGCTGTGAGGCATGCACTCCCAGTCTGTGCTTCTGCCTTGGCTGTTGACTATCATGGAGTAAGGACTGCCTTTGAATACTGGATCTGCCATCTCTTGCCTGGGTGACATTGGGCACATTACTTAACCTTTCAGAGCCTCAGCTGCCCCGTCTGTAAAATGGGAATAGTGACGCCTACTTCCAGGGATGCTGTAAGGATGGACAGGGTTGTCAACAAAGCACTGGCATGGTGTCCGACACACAGGACATGTCTGATGGATGCGACGAATTGCTATCATTGCTCCAGGAGCACCCTCCTTCCCCTCCAAGAAGGCTACAGCCCAGGTCTCCCTCGTGTTAAGAAGAGGCTGCCCCTCGTCCCCTGCAGACCCTGCCTGCATGGTGCTGACTAACTGGGGACCACCTTCTGGGCGTAGGAGAGCTGGTTGTAGGTTGCCATGCTTGCCGCCTCGTTGGCGCAGGCCTCTCTGGCTTTGTCAAAGGTCAGCTTGTACTGGCCCAATGGGGAGCGGAGATGGAACACTCCGACGGTGGTATCTAGAAGGGAAAAGAGAGCAATTGTCCAGGTCAGTCCGGCTGGTTGGCAGGGCTCCCAGCAAAAGACTGGCAAAGCAGAAGATGAGCTGTGTCCCAGGGTACAAACCATTTCCCTTCAAGGTATGTTGAAGCACATCATTTAAAATATTTATTTATTTTCTCATTATAAGAACAGCACATTTCATTGTAGAAATTTGGGCAACCCATCAAAGTAAGAAAAGAAATAAACAGAAATCACCTATAATCGTACTCCCTGGAAATAATCATTACTCCAGGGCTAACATTTTGGCGTACTTCCCCTAAAGAATTTTTACTTTCTTTTTTGGTAACTTTTTATTATGATATAATTTCATACTTTTCTAGTCTTTTTACCTCTTCCTTCACATGTCATATACATTATAAATGTGGCAGCATCTTGCATATAGAGTTTTTAGAAATCTTCTTTTAAACTTAACATTGAATCATTATTATTCCCCCATATTATAAATTTTCTCCAGCAACAGGATTTCCCCCTCACTACTTATAATTGAATAATTTTTGTGAACTTTACAGCCATGAAAAAATACTTTAAAGAGAGTTTTCGCCAAGGACTCTACGTTTTCTGATCACCACTATGCCCTTCAAGTTTTCTAGCCATTTCTCCCTTAAGATACTGAAAGACTTATCATTTTTTCCTGGCTGAAATCTTTTTTAGCCAGACAACTGAAAGCAGAGACCAGAAATAGTTCAAGAACTGAGTTACATTTTTACATTGTCAAGTTCATTACCAAATGCCACTAAAAGGTCACTTTCTACACCAAAAAAGAGCTAAGCTCAAGATCTTTGACCATAGTCCAGTAGAATATTCCACAGGTTGTATGATCCTGTCAGCCCTATCTAAAATGCAAACACTTACCAGCATAACAGTTTGGGGAAGGATGGATAGATGTTTTTCTTTGTCTTCTTGCTAAGGCAACATGATTCTTAATAGTGCATTTGAGTGGATGTGTAACAGTACATTTGATCATCCTTGACTGTTAGATATGTGTAATTTATAATCTTCTATGATACAAAGTAATGCTGAGATGGTATGTTTATCTTTATTCCCTTCTTAGATTGTGTGTCTATTGGATGGGTTCCTTGAAATGGAGCTACCAGGTCTTGGCGTGAATTATTTTATGGCTCTCAGCACACATGGTTAAACTGGTTGCCATAAAGGCTGCACCAGTTTGCCTTCCTCTGAACTGGAGGAGTAGGCACTTCCTCCGGAGTGTGGGCTGGCTCCTGTATCCGTGCCCACAGGGAAAGCTGGGGTCTTATCCCAATGCCATACTGTCTTGCTAAGGGTAACCACTCAGCTTCAACAGAAGGTGGGTTCAGTTATGATGCTCAGTCACTTAGTAAAACTCCCAACACTTTCTTAGCATTCATGAGACAGAAGAAGAGAAAAGCTCCCTGGAAAAGAAGAGCTGAATAGATTTCCCCCTGTGAGTCAGCTGTGGGAACAGGCAGGACTGGCTGATGGACCGTGCCCTAAAGAAAAAAGCCAAAGACTTCACACTCTTTGAGGCAAATGACTCACAGATCAACATCCCTGTTCCCAGCTGCTCATTTCAGCCCCCATCCTAAATAGCAACTGCCTATAGAATCCCTCTGCTTGGTAGCCTCACCTTGAGCACAGAATGTCCCCAACCAAGCTTTCTAATGTTGCGCCATGTTCCCTCCCATCTGCTTTAACCCAACCACCATGGGGTTTGCTCTCTTGAGACAGAAAGAGAGCACCACCCTCTCTGCCCATAGGGGTGCCCTGGGCTCACCCTTCTTCCTAGTTGAGACCCTGTTACCTTGAGGTCTTTGGCTTGACATCTTTTGAGTCTCCACCATAGTCCCAGGCCTCTATTAGGCTTCTCTAATGAGTCCCTCTCTCATCTTACCCAGAGATCTTTCCCATCTCCGACTATTCTTCAAAATATTTTTTTTACAGTGGTAAATATACATAACATACAATTTACTTTTTTGACCATCTTAAGGGTAAAATTCAGTGGTGTTAAGTAGATTGACAAGTTATGCAACCATCACCACTATCCATTTCTAGAATGTTTCCATCATTCCAAACAGAAACGTGGTCACCATCAAATCGTGACTCTCCATCCCCCTTCCCACAGCCCCTGGTAATCTCTATTCTACTTTCTGTCTCTATGAATTTGCCTGTTACATAGATCCCTTGCATATGTCCACAATATTTGTCCTGTGGTGTCTGGTTTATTTCACATGGCATAATGTTTTCAAGTTTCATTCATGTTACAGCACATGCCAGCGTTTCCTTCCTTTTCCAGGACCAGATAATATCCCACTGCAGGGATAGGCTACAGTGTATTTATCCATTCATTTGCTGATGGACACTAGTGTTGTTTCCACTTTTTGGTGGAACATGGGCGTACACGTATCTGTTCGAGTCCCTGCTTTCAGTTTTTTTCTATGCTTGCTCTCTCTCATTTCAGGTGAACCATCAGCACGAGATAAACTGCTGTCTTCTGTTTTGTGATTTGCCTTTCCTTGTCTTCTCAATTTAAAAAATTTCTTCAGCTACAGTGGGAATCCCCTTGCAAGGAGACAATGTCATATATCCTGTGCATTTTCCTTGCTTACGCTTCTTCTATCTCATCCCCAAAAGGGATTTGAGGTGTCTTAGGATTCTGTCCATGTTATGGACTGCATGTTTGTGTCCCCCCAGATTCAAAGGTTGAAATGTTAACTCCCAATGTGTTGGTATTAGGAGGTGGGGCCATTGGGAGGTAATTAGGTCATGAGGGGAAAGCCCTCTTGCATGGGGTTAGTGTGTGTGTGTGTGTGTGTGTGTGTGTGTGTATTTAGAGTAATCTCTACACCCATCATGGGGCTCAAACTCACAACCCCAAGATCAAGAGTCGCATGCTCTACTGAGCCAGCCCCACGTCCCAGATTAATGCCCTTATAAAAGGGACCCCAGAGAGCTTCCTAGCCCCTTCTGCTGTGAGAAGACAGCAGTCTGAACCTGGAAGAGGGCCCTCCCTAGAAGCTGATCATGCTGGCATGCTGATCTTGGACTTCCAGACTCCAGAACGGCGAGAAACACATTTCTGTTGTTTTTAAGCCACCCAGTCAATGGGAGCAATCCAAATGGATTAAGACAGTATGTAACAGGTGTTAACTCAATAGTTATTATTGAGATATGTAAAAACTGCCTCATGAGACTTACCATGTCTCTAAAACAACCCCATATCAGTCAGAGACACGCAATAAACCCTGATTGCCCATAGCACGTAATGCCTCGAGTCGCTGTCTGAACCCCTGCAGTCCCTCCCTGCCCTGGCTCCGAATGACGTCCCTGGGTCCTTCGTGGATTTCCTCCATGACGTTTCAAGATGCCCTGTCACCTGCACCTCTGCACGTCCCATTTGGCTTTCTACTTTGTTGTGTGTTGTGATTCCTAGTTTTATGACCCCTGTGGTTTTATTACAAGCCATTCAGATCAGCCTTGGAGGAGAATGCCCTACCTGCCTATCAAGTTGTATTATCAAAACAACTGCTGAGAAGTTGCATCTACACCTGGCAGGTGCTTCCTCTTTCTTATTTAAACCCTAAAGTATGCTCCTTAGATTCAGTTCCAATCGATGGTTGCTAAGCAACTTGGGGAAAGCATGTATCAGGAAAATTCACGACAGATGACCTTTACGCTCCCTCCTGGTTCTAAGGCTCCGGGTCCAGATGCGAGTGTTTCCAGTCCTCTGCCATTGAAGCCTGCTCCCCCCTGGGCACGGGGTCCTGGGCAACGTGCGGGCTGTTTGGCCTGGTTTTTAATTCCGTTCCTGTTCGCTCTTGCAGGAGTCCCTTCCCCAAGCCTGAAGGCAGCCCCCAGCCACACTGACCTTGGAAGTGGAGGTCGGCGCAGTTGGCATCGGCGTGGCACTGCCCGTTGTCCTGCAAACAGCGGTCGATGGGCCGCTGCTCCGGCTCACAGTCTATCCCGTCTCCCACGTAATGACTTTTACATTCACACTTGTGCTTGCCCTGCGGGGAGAGCCGAAAAGATGAGAAGCCCCTTTTCCAGGACCCCAGGACCCCTATGTGCTCTGTGGGCCCCCATCTAGTTCGGGAGATGCTCTGAAGCACCAGGAAAATGCCTCGCCTGTAAATAGTAGCAATTAAATCACGGCCACGTCTCATGTTTGTACAGGCTCATGACGAAATGTCCTCTCAGCTCAAATTTCGTTTCCTCGGAGAGAGCGTCCCTGACCCATTAAATAAAGCAACTCTCCCGGTCCCTTCTATCACACTGGCCCAATTTATGTTCTTCCTGACTCTTGGTGCTTTCTGGAAGTATCTCCTGCACCTATTCCTGCACAGAGCATTGCCCCTCTCCCCACACGTTTCAATGCTACGTCCCTGGCCCCGACAACAGTACATAGCAGGTCCCTGATGACCCCTTGCTGAATCAATGAATGATCTCACTTAATCCCCACAACAATTCTATGAGGGCTGTATTATTATTAGGCTCACCTGGCAAACGAGGCAACGGAGGCTCGGAGAAATCAAGTAGCTGGCCCCAGGTTAGAGGGTAAGTGTGGGAGCTAAGACTCAGAGAGTGACTCCAAGTTCACACTTAATGACCGTAATGGACATTATCTTCCACCATCTTCTCTTCCCAACAGATAAACTGGGCACCAGGGCACTGATCCTATTCTAAAAAGACTTGAGTGGGTGCCCAAACCTGCACTTTCCCCCCACTTCTTGCCGACATTTTTCGTTTTAATAAACTTTTTACTTTGGATAATTCTAGATTTAGAGAGGAGTTGCCAAGATAGCAGAGAGAGTTGCCATATATGCTTCACCAGGTTCCCCTACGTTACCTAATCATAGTATCTTTGTCAAAACTAAGGGGGGTGCCTGGGTGGCTCAGTTGATTAAGCATCTGCCTTCGGCTCGGGTCATGATCCCGGCGTCCTGGGATCCAGCCCCGCATTGGGCTCCCTGCTCAGCGGAAAGTCTGCTTCTCCCTCCCTTCTCCCTCTCCCCCTGCTCTGTGCTCTCTCTCTCTCTCTCTAATAAAAAAACAAAACAAAACAAAACTAAGAAATGAGTGGTGGCACATTACTATCAACTGAATAATAGACTTTATGTGGTTTTCCCCAGTTTTCCCGCTCATGTCCCTTTTCTGCTTAGGATGCCACTTGGCATTTAGTCTGCTGACCTAACAAGACATAAGAGTCCGGTGGGAAGGAAGCTGAGGAGAAGGCCGAACGGTAAGCAGAGTGAGCGAGGCTGAGCAAGGCACAGAACTGCTCCCAAGTTTCCCTGGGGGAGGAGAGACTCACCGGGCCGGTCATCTTGCAGGAGGCATGCTCATGACACCCACCGTTGAGGCCATTGGCACAGGGGTCTATCTCTGTGCAGCTGTGGCCGTCCCCCTTGTAGCCCTTCAGGCAGCTGCAGGACACCTTTGTGCCCTTCTGGGAACACCTGGCCACCTTCGCACAGCCCCCATTGTTCTGTTTGCAGAAATCCACAACTGCAGGAGCAGAGGGGAGAGGGCTCATTGAACCACTGTCTGTGGAATGTGGGCTTCAGGCGGGGGCATGGGTCACCCTGGGATGAGTGGCGTTGGGGAGAAAATGGGCCCCAGCATGTTGGGGTCTTCTCTCCCCATTCCCTATAGCCCCTGGGCTAGCCTTCGCGAACACTAGAATCCTGTGGCTGATAGCCTCCGAGACCAGGCCTGATGACCCCTGTGCACCTCTGACCCCCTTTGTCACATACCTCTAGGCTCCCCTTCAGTAGTTTTTGGAATGAGTTTGGGTTTTTAATGTTAAGACAGTTGTGTGTGTGTTTGTGTGCGTGTGTGTGTGTGTGTGGAGTTACAGTACTCCTGAGCACTTCATGAGATGGGCGTCGTTACCCCCATTCTACAGATGAACAAACTGAAACCCAGAGTTTAACTGACCTGACAAAGGCAAAACGGTGATTATGTGGTGGGCCTGGGATTTAAACTTGGTTTGGCTTGGTTTGACCCCTAAAGCCCATGCTTTCCCCACTGTGTTGTGCTACCCGATAGGACCTTTGTTTTCATGATCTCCCAAATTTCAACCCAGTACTAGATTAGCTCTAGCCTCAGGAGCAGCAGGGAAGCCATCTGATGTCTCTTGCCTGGCTTTTGCCTGGAGTCATGGCAGCTGCTTGAGATTTTGAGAGAATAAACATGAGGACAAAAGGCCTCATCCAAAGGAGAGCAGAGTGGAGAGAGAGAACCTGGGTCTTTGCTGCAGTTGTTGGTCAGTGACCTAGTTCTGGACTGCTTTGTAGCAGATTACAAAACAGCAGGTATAGTGAGATCTCATTTCTGTAAAGAAACTATGTATCTTTATTTGCGTATTTATTCATGAAAAAGTTAGCAAGTACATGTGGCATAGACTGGTAGGTTTCTCCCAACATCTATTGTCTCCTTTTTCTATAGTAAGAGATTTTTAGTGGGCTCCTGGTTGCCTAAATGAAGACTACATTTCCCAGACTCCTTTGCAACTAGGTATGACAGATGATGGGGCTCCAGCCGATGGCATGGGAACAGACAAAATTTTTAACGACTTCTAGGTGCATCTTTAAAGGGAAGGAAGTTTGCCTCCTTCCTCACCTTCCTGATCCTGCTGCCTGGGTTGTGCTGATGGTACTGACCGTCTCAGGCCAGGCAAGTGAATGGTGGCAGAGCAACAAGATAGAAGGAGTCTGGGCTCCCAGATGTCCTTTCAGAGCTATGTTAGCTTTGGATGCCTCCATTCAAACTACTATATGAGATAAAAATATACATCTAAACATTTGCCTTGTTTATGCCACTGTCCCTTTGGGTCTCTGCACGGGTGAACCCATGTCTTAACTACGAACTACAGACATGGCAGTGGTCAGAGTGATTTTCACCAACTGATGAAAGTAACTATTGTTTTTTTTTTAGTACTATAACGTATCTTCTGAATTTTTTTTTTTTTTTTGAAGTAAGGCTGGATTACCTGGAGAGTTACAAAAACATTATACAATAAAGTGCATCACTTTGAGCGTGCAAAGTGATTTCAGAGCAATGACCTGGGAGGTAGGTGGGTCAGGCATGGGCAAACCCACTAAGGAGACAGAATCACAGAGAGGGTAGGTATTGGGAAAATGGCCCAGGCAGGAGTGGAAGGGTCAGGATGAAGTCCAGGCACTCTGACAAGTCTCGTTCTGCTCCTGCCCTGCTCTATTTCACACGTGCCCCAACGGCACCTACCTGTGCACGTGAATCCGTCCCCTTCATAACTCAGGTTACATTCACACGTGTTGTTTTCCTTACACGTGGCATGAACAGAACAAGGAGGCGTGCACACAGGGGGCAAGGCTGCAAACAGAGAGGTTACCGTTCTTGCTGTACCTGTGGTGTCAGCACGTGGGATGCACCAAGACTCACTGTCTAGTCTGTCCCCGTGTTTCAGAAGTGCCCCTTCTGCGGGAGGATAGGGTGATTTGCTAAGGTTCCTCCCAGCCTGGAGATTCTGAGATTCCAGAATTACTCCATAATATTAACACATTAACTCTGCAATGTTAGTCATATTAAACGGTAATATGTAACCTTTATGGGCAACCAGTTAAAACTTTATACCTCAACAAGGATACATTTGGCAGATTAGCTCTTTGGCCCTATGGGTATGGGGTCCCCAGAAGGAGACTGTTGAATTGGAGGAGAAATTCCATGGCCTTCTGAGGGCACCGCTCAGCTTGGGAGAAGTCTGGAGCTCTGGTGAGTGAATGGGGTGGCCCAGTCAACCAGCAACATGGAGCCACGGGGTGGTCAGGGAGGAGGGGAGGTGCAGGGATTCTTGGATCTCAGGTTGCTTAAGCCCAGAGGGAGAACTTAGTCATGCCCTCCTGCCCCTAGTGGTTCACAGTGGGTAATTCAACCTTCACATCTTGGACATTCCACCAGAACTCAGGGTTCAGGGTGTATGGGACGCCTCAGAAAACTGGCTGCTCAGGAAGGATCTAGATTGTGTGATGAGGATCATGAGTGACAATGATAATGGCAGCTCTTGTCAGCGCCTCTTCCCCTGCAAAGGGTGGAACAGGCACTTCCTTTTTTATTTACTTACTTATTTGACAGAGGGAGACGCAGCGAGAGAGGGAACACAAGCAGGGGGAGTGGGAGAGGGAGAAGCAGGCCTCCCGTTGAGCAGGGAGCCCGATGCGGGGCTCGATCCCAGGACCCTGGGATCATGACCTGAGCTGAAGGCAGACGCTTAACGACTGAGCCCCCCAGGCACCCCCAGGCACTTCCTTTTGCGGATGAATGCATGGAGGCCCAGACCCAGTGGGCCACCCAGGGCCATTCATCTAGTTAACTAGCAGAACCAGGGGTCAGATCCCGGACTCCACAGAAGGGTGCATCTTCTGTGAAACCACTCGGCCTCTGTGTTGGCACATGTCTGGGCCCGGGACCACGATCCTGAGGGACCACTCCTGCCCAGCCCTGTACTGTCTGCCTGAGCTGGGTCCTTCCGTGATTGCACAGGACTGCATGCTTGTTTCGTGGGTTTTGAGTTAAATCTTTTCAGCCAGTTTTCCCTCAAGTCCCCAAACCTCCTGAGGCCTGGGGCCATGTATCCAGATCGTCTTTTCCGTGTGGGAAAGGAAACGCCTGCTTTGTTGGTTTTTTCCCAGGGGTCGCGCAGACCCCCCCACCCTCAGCTGGGTGCTCTGGGAGGCCCCGCCGCAGTGCTCCCGGGACAGACCTGTCTGAGTGTCGCAGAAGCGGCCCGTCCACCCCGTTTCACAGAAGCACTGCCCGGAGCCCGTGGTGCTGTCATCACACTGTCCGTGGGCTGAGCAGCCGCAGACTGTAAAGCAAATTGGAGGGTGATGGGCAATCAGTGAGCAGGGATGGAAATCCAATCAGCCAGCTCACTGACCACCTGTTGGCTGTGTTGTCAGTGTGGGAGGACCATGCTAACGTCATCGTTTTCATTCATTCAAAATAACACAGTCAGTGGCTAGCATGGGCTGGACACAACTAGGCAATGAGCTTACCGTGAACCACATAAACCATAAGGTTCCTGCTCTCACGGGGCTTTCAGTCTAGGAGGAACTGGCTTTTGAACATGTAGTTATAAACTTGGTGAGTGTTATAAACACAGAAGCAGAGGGCATCATAGGGTATGTAACAGAATACGAAGAGGACAGAACCTTACCTGGGGTCACCTAACAGAGAAATCTATTTAACAGTGAAATCTTCAAGGTATGTACCAATTCTTTCTCTTCTTGCCACCCTGAGCACTATCCCCCTGGCCCAAGGCACCACTGGCTCTAACCTGTATTGTTGCATTCAGTTCCCCAGAGGTGGCCCTGCTTCTGCTCTTGCTCTCTGACCATATGTTCGCCATGGGGCAGCTGAAGCAATCCTTTCTAATCTGCTCAATGCGCTCCCCCATTCACAGTCCTCCACTGGCCACCCATTACACTTAGAATAGATGAAGAGCTGTCTCTGGCCAAGAACCTTTTATGTTACCTGGCCCCTGGTGGCCTTCAGATTTCATTTCCTTCCTTTCTTCCTCTTTGCCCACTCTGCTCAGCCACCACCAGCGCACGGCACGCCCACTTCTGCCTCAAGACCTTTGCACTTGCTCATTTCTCTTCTAGGAAAGCCATTCCTCTGGTCTGCACTGCTCCGTACAGTAGCCCTTGCTACATGTGGCTATGTAAGTTTAAGCTAATTAAAATTAAAAAAATCAGTTCCTTAGTCACACATTTTGAGTGCTCAATAGCCACATGTGGCTAGTGGCTCCCATTCCTGATGGGAGAGTTACAGAACGTTTCCAGCATGACTACAAATTGGTTTGGGCAGAGCTGCCGTTGGAGATCCCCACACCTGCCCCCACCTCTTTTCAGTCTCGCCTCAAAAATGCCCGGTGTGAGATGTCTTCTAAAACAGTGCCCCCCTGCCTTCCACATCCCCTTCACCTGCTTCTTTTTCTTTATACCTTTATAACTACCTTTGTTTCTGAGCGTATGTTCCTTGAGAGTTGGGATTTGGCCCCCTCCCAACACCACTGTATCCCTACAACTTAGAACGTTTCCTGGCTTTTGAGCAAGTCCCTTAGCCCCTTTGTGTCTCAGTTTCCACATCTGGTAAGTAGGGATAATAACAGTACCTCCCACAAAGGGTAGTTGTGAGGATTAAATGATAAAACATATCTGCCTGGCACATAGTAGGTGCTCCATACACATTAACTGTAAACATGAGCTGTCAATACGAATAAGGACTCTAAATGCATGTTGGTTGAATGACTGAATGAGTGCTGTTCAGCCACGGCCTGTGTGGATGGCTGCAGGGGATGTGCATTTCACTTCTAGAGATGGGGCTCATTCAGTGGATGGCAACTGGGAATACATTCAGGGAAGGAAAAAGCATGTAAAGGCAGGTGGACGGGAGGTGGGTGGACGGGAGAGAGGAAGAGGGATGCTTCTGGGTCAGGCAGGTGATGAGGACGAGGACAGTGAGCACATGGCTGGACAAGAGGCTAAAGCAGGGGCAGTGGGGGCCACTTACGCTGACAGTCAGGCCCGAATCTCCCTGGCAGGCACAGCTCACACGCCGTCCCGTTGAAGCCCGTGTTGCATCTACACTCGCCTATGCCCGAGTACTGATCGAGGCACACACCATGGTTATTACAGGGGGCATCCGCTCCTCCAGGGCAGGCTGGAAGAGACGAAAGAGCAGTGACTTAACAGTCTCCCAAGACCCAGCGCAGCTCAGTACCTTTGTTATGTGCTGCTGATCAGCCCTCAGTTGCAGGGCTCATCTGCATGAGCCCAGAGAGACCGTGGCTCTGGGGACACACCCACAGAGTGTCACCAGAGGCTTAGGGCAAGCCAGTGGCCTTTGGAGCACGAACTTAAATGTATCTGATAGGATTCTACCGTGGCAGAGCAATATGCTGAACCATGCGTTGTATTTGGGGGTTAGAGGGCTGGATTTGAGTAGATCTGGGCTGAATTTCTTGAAGCTTCAGTTCTTTTAGCTCTAGATGATGATGATGATGACCTAGACCACATTGTGACTGAGGATCGAATATGTTACTGTAGGGCGCCTGGGTGGCTCAGTCGGTTAAGCATTTGCCTTTTGCTCAGGTCATGATCCCAGCGTCCTGCATTGGGCTCCCTGCTCAGTGGGGAATCTGCTTCTCCTTCTCCCTCTACCCCTCCCCCCTGCTAGTGCTCGCTCTTTCAAATAAATAGCATCTTTTAAAACAATGTTACTGTAACTGAGAGCACTCTGAAAACATAAAGCGTTGAGCAAATGTTAAGGGACACCACCGATTTTTGTGCACACTTAAGTGATGGAGTGTGGGTACTCGGTGATCCTGTGTACTCCCAGCCCAGAATTTTCTCAGCTGGACCACAGTGAATGGAGGACACATGGTGGTTAAAACCATGGCTTCTGGGGACACTCTGCGGGACCTTGGGCTTGTTGCTTAGCCTCTCTCTGCCTCGATTTTCTCATCTGTAAAGTGGGGATAACAATGGAACCTCTACTTCTTAGAGGTTGTTGCCGGTTTAAATGTGTTGTTATATATGGGAAGTGGCATGCAATAAATGTGCTTAATTAAAACAATGTGTGGCCGATGGGAAGTGCCATGGCATTTGTTATGATTGGCCATAAGTTCTATCTATACACCAAGATTTCAGGATGGGCCTAAATGTCTTTTGGCAAGGAGCCCTTTCCTGGTGAGGCAAGAGAGGGAGGTGATGTCATACATCCCATAATGGGGTGGGGGGTCAGGGAAACAATGGCCCCCAGACCTCATATTAGCATAACATCCTGCCAAGGTAGAATTCTATGCATTTAAATTCATGTGCTCACCAGTATCCTGGACTAGCATCAGAAATGAAATACGGTGTTTCTAGCACCATGGGAAATGTCTGATGCTATCATGTTGAGCAAAAAAGCACAACACAACAATCAATACACAGGAGGGTCTCAGCTCTGTAAAAAAACAAAATACGACACAAGGAAAAAGTAGAAGGAAAGCTACGCAACTCTTTAGAATGATTGCGGATCTTCTCTTAGAGGGGTTACTGGGAGCTATGCATTCCGACGCCCCCTCCCCCACCCCTGCTTTACAGCGTCCGTACTTTCAAATACTGCCCAGTGATCGCACAATCCTTTCAGAATCGCGAGGTGGTAAGAGGCGCCCTCACCCTGACAGTCTCGCCCGAAGTAGCCCTTGCAGCACCTGGGGAGCCGTATCACCATGGTGCACTGCTCCCGGCAGCCTTCCAGGTACCCTTTGAAGGACATGTTGTATCGACACTTCTCCTTCACGCCCTAAAGGAAGAAAGCGCACTAACCCTCCGCCTTCCACCGCCCGGACTTGGGCTCTTTGGCTCTAGTCCGCCCCCAGCGGAGGATCCTGGGTACTGCCCAAATTGAGAATGGCACTCCATGGCCCCCAGAGCCCTTTACAAGGAATTCTTTTCTTAGGGGTGTAGATAGGCAGATGGATGGGGGAGGCGGCAGAGCTAGAGTCCACAGAAAGATTTCTCCGCAGTCTTAAGAGGAAGGACTTGCTGACCCTTAGAGCTGTTTGCAAAGGGTGCGGTTTCTTGGGGATGGAGTGGGGGAGAGATGGTTTCCACGGGGGAGGGGCTTCTGTGGTAAGGCCCGCAAATCATCAGTAGGGAAGGAATAGTTCCATTTTGTTTGGCAGGGGTGGTTTTTTGTTTTTTGTTGTTGTTTTTTTAATTCAAGGGGGTTTTTGTTAAGAGGTTTTACTAGTAGAGTAGAGGGAAATTGGCTTTGGGATAAATAAAAAAGCGATATTTAATGAGTGCTTACTATGTGCCAGGCTCTGTACCCACATTTTAAAATGCACTTTTCCTAATAGCCACACACAGAATGGTTATTAGCTCCATCTTACTGAGAAAAAACTATATAGATTATGTAATTTGCCAAAGATTACCCACTGGAATTGGATCCCATAGCCATGGACTCCAAATTTCACTGGCTTAACCATTACTCTTATCTTGCTTTCTGGGCCCTAATTCTAGCTTTGCTCCTTATTAGCTCTGTGGTTTTGGCCTAATTCCTTACCCTCTCTGAGATACATTTTTTCTTCATAAGTGGAGGAAATAATAGCTTCCTATGAGAGTTATAATGAGGGGTAATGTATAAATAAATAAAGGGCCCAGTGCACAGCCAGGGACAGGGACAGCAGCCAACAAAATGCAGCTATTATTTGTATAAGTATCATTATCTTTGAAGTCCCTTTTAAGTCTACAATCCACGATTTTTCTAGACAGTTCCTAGAAGGTGGGTACTGGGTTGACAGGTTGCCTGGGCTCAATGAGGCTAAGGATGCCTGGTTTTCGAAAGAATGAGGCTAATTGCAGTTGTACAACAGACCCGCAAATGCACACCCATGCACACACACTCACACCAACCAGAACACTGGGGTCTGATAATGGAACAAACATTGTGCTCCAAACATTATCATTGCATTCATAATTACCTTTGGTTTACTCCACCTTGGGCAGCTGGGGGTATTGGTGCAGCTCCAACAATCTCCCTAGTATGCAAGAAAAGAAATGTTTAAAAATCAAGAATATTGGGCAAGCCAAGGATATGCCCCTGGTTAATGCTTTGGAGAGTTGACAACTTAATCTTGATTAAAATTCTGGCTATGATCAAGAATGCAAAAGCAAGCACACTGTGACTTTGCCATGGAGAATTCTGAAGGTCTGTCTTGGCCCTCAACTCCTTGGTTTTTGTTGTTTGAGGTGAAGAGTTCCCTGCTATACAGAGCTGGACCAGGGCGGGCAGTGTCCTTCAGGCATCTGGTCCAGTGGCAGTGGGAAATGTGCACACTATAAACCAGCTAGGATACTTCTGGCCAGGCACATGCTTTGACCCTCAGTTTTCTGATCTACAAACTAGAGACGATGATTCTCGCTGCTATTTGGTCTTCAGAGGACTGCTGATGGAAACTATTAACTGCAAAAATGTGTGCGGATATACTTTGGAAGTTAAGAAGGCCACAACCTCTACGGCAGAAAGGACAACTGGTTTTTCATCTCCTACTTTGGCTGCCTGGTATCTCAAGAACTTGGGATATTTCTTGAATCCCTAGAAGTTGCCAGGCACCCAAGCCAACCAGTCACAGAATTGGCCATGCAAACCACTTCCCCTCTTTGAGACTCAGTTTCCAAATCTACATCACAGAGTGGCTGATAACAACTTCTATTGTTGGGTTCCTTTAGGGGTAAGATGAGCATTGAGCCAAATGGCTGGCTCCAAGGTAGTACTCTAACATGATACTGGACAGATGAATGAGTGTGAAATGACAATGCCTCATACAAGCAGGGCCCAGGGCAGACATTCAATCACTGTTGTTAAATGAACGAATGAATGAGTAAATCAATGGTGGTGTGGGTGGCATATAATACTAGGTTGAACCCTATGAAGTTGCCATTTTTGTAATCATGCCCTGCCAAATATGGCAATTTTATATGGTCTCATCTGGCAGAATAGCAAAAAATGTTTGTTGAATGAATGGGCGAATGATTGAAGAGATAGGTGGTTTTGAAAAGAAGGAGCTTGTTGCAGGATAACGGGCATGCAGTTGGTACCCAGCAACTCTTTCCTTAATGGCGAGGGGATGAATGGACAGGTGGGCGGGTGGGTAAATGGAAATGTGCCAGGCCTGGGCAGGGCTAAGTGGACGCTTGTGGGTTCTGAGTCTGAAGAGCACCATCATCTGGCCCTCAGATCTCGTGGGCCCCAGGCTCCAGGTGGCCCAGCCCTCAGTGGTTTCATGGCAGAGACCATGCGGGATCGTGAGGGCTGAACCCCAACAGTCTCCTATTACGGTACTGTTTTGGGGACTGACCGAAAAATTGTATGTGGCAAAAGTGTCACAGTGACCCCCGAGGGTGGGGTCAATCAGGAGGCAGTCAATGCCGTAGGCCACACCCAGGTCAAACAAGAGCTCTCGCTGCACAATTCTGCATGTTTGGTCGTTGAGGAAGAGCTCGCCCTGCGAGGGGGGAGAGGAGAGAGAGAGAGAGAAAGAAAACAGTCAACAATCCTTCTCAGACTTCTCTTCTTCCTAAGGCCATCTAAGGTGGCCAGCACCTGCAAGACTCAGAAAGAAGTATATATATATATATATAAATTCTTATAGATATAAGATATACACAGCCAGCAGCCAGCATGTATTATGTGCCAAGTGATGCTGTGTACCTGTGCGCATTCCTTTCATCCTCACAGCACCCTAGAGGACAGCAACTATTACTAGGGTCCCTGTTTAGAGATGAGAAAATGGAGACAGGAGAGGGTCCATACCTTGCCCCAGGCCCGGCAGTCGGGGAGGGGTGGTGTGGGCACGCCTACCCAGGCCCGCAGCCTCTGAGCCTGCACCCGGGACCCCTCCGTCACGCTGCCTCCAACAGAGTAGGAACAGGGGCAGCGGGGGGTGACGGGCTGGAGTAGGCATGACCTGACTGTGGCTCAGGATCCACTTTGGTCATGTGGCCACTTCCTGTGCAGTAGTGCGGTTTTTTTGTTTTTGTTTTTGTTTGTTTGTTTGTTTGTTTTTACTTTGTGCTAGCTTCTAGTCAAGTGCAGCCATGACCTTTTTTTTCAGGATATACAAGTGATGGGCTGTAACTCTATAATGATGACAATGACTTCTTTTCACATGTACTAGGCATTGTCTAAATCGTGCTTTAGAGACATTAGAACTTTCTTCCTTAGGGTTAACCCAGCTAGTAGATTGTTGAATACATCTCCACCCATCCCGGGAGGAAGCAAAATGCATTTAGAAAGTTCTGGGGGGTGGGGTTGAAGATAAATCTCAGCATCTATTGATGGGATGGACACAGTGTGATTAGTGGCAAGAGCACTGGAAAACTGGTTAAATCCTCCACCTCCACTTATGTGCTATGTGACCGTGAGCGAGTTACTGAACTTCTCTGAGGTTTAATTGTTTTCACCAGGTGTATAGGATTAAGGATTCCATTGCATAGGGTGGTTATAAAGCTCAAACTAAATAATACATTGCCAAGTGCTCTGAAAGCTATATTAGCACCTGAATGAGCAGTGGGCATTCTTACTATACTTCTTTGATAGGTGTCCAGTTTGCTCTATGGAAATAGGACAGCTAATCACAAGAGGATAAGTATGTTGGAATAACCTTCTAGAAGTTGGACTGTAAAGATGCTAACATTTCTCATATTTAATTTATAAATTCAATGCAACTCCACTGCAAACAGCAAAGGGATTCTGGGTGGTCATAAGCTATAAACAGAATGTTGTCTGGCTCTTCTAAGAAGGCTCCTTGAAGGGAAAAATCTCAGCTGGGAACTGCATCCTTTTCATCCTTCCTCCTTCAGACCGGAAGTGGACCTGGTGGTTGGAGCTCAGCACTACCGCAGCCATGTGGAACCCTGAGGGGATTCTGCGGCTGAAAACGGGTCACAGAGCAAAGAGAAGGCCCTCCCCCAGTGAGCCATCATACTAGCTCATCATACTAGGCTTGGCTGCCTCCAGATTTCTTCTTAAAAGACACACGCCCTTATATATTTAAGCCACTGTCATTGTGGCTCTGACTGCCACCAAGGGGCCAGAGGTGAGGCTGCAGGGGGGCTGGGATGGAAGGCAAAGGAATGGCAGTGTGCTTTCCTGCTTCAGCGGAGTGTCTCACAGTGCAAAATAAATTCTCTAAAAAAAAAAAAAAATCAACCCAGAGCTGCTCCCCGCAAGTGTAAAGGGTGGGGGGCTCCCTAACACCTGCTACCAGGGCTTGTGCTGGGCCAGGATTTATCAGGTTCTTCGTATCTAAATACCCACTCTGAGCGTAATACCCCCAAAGGCAGCCAGAGAAAAGAGCTAGCTGTCAACCGAGGAAAAAATGAATATTCCCTTGAACGGGCAGTGGCTGGGGACTGTTGTGAATACTCACGATGTCGCCGCCAGCTCCGCACGTCACACCCAGCTCTGACCCTTGCAGGGTCTTCCAGGCAGTGGTCCTGGGGAGATCCACCGCTAAAATCTGTAGGAGCGATGGTGCCACGTTAATACGCCACATCTGGGCCGCAGAAGCACCCAAAGGAGCTTTGCCAACAAACCAAATCCAGACACAAGTTTTTCCAGCTTTAAAATGACGGCAGACATAATCAAAAGGAAGACTCATCACGGGCTCCGGAGGAAGTTGGAAATTCTTTCTGTAGGGAAAGTCTCCTCCAGCTGGGCTAGTTTCAGTCACCCCTCTGTGCTTCCTCTATGTTGGGGAGTCCATGGTAGATGCCGTGTAGGTGTATGAAGCCAATGACAGGATCAGTGGGTCAGGGAAATGGCATAGGGCGTGGTTATGGGTTGAACTGTGACCCCCAAAAAGTTTTATTGGCATCCTGACCCCCATTACCCCCCAATGTGACTTTACTTGGAAATAAGGTCATTGCAGATGTAATTAGTTAAGATGAGGTTACATTGGAGTCGGGTGGGCCCTTGGTCCAATATGACTGGTGTCCTTATAAGAAGAAAAGAGAAGAGAACGACATGTGGAAACACAGAAATACACAGGGAGAGGACAGCCATGCGACAAGAGAGGCAGACACTGGAGGGATGCATCGACAAGCCAAGGAACACCAAGGATTTCCAGCAACCACCAGAAGCTGGGAGAGAAACATGCGACACATTCTCCGTCTGAGCCTCCGGAAGGAACAACCTTGTCAGCACCTTGATTTCAGACTTCCCAGCCTCCAGACCTCTGAGGGCATACATTTCTGTTGTTTCAAGCCACCCAGTTTGTGGTTATTTATTACGCAGCCCTAAGACACTAACACAGGTCCTGTGGCTTAGCCAGAGTTAGGGCACTTGGCCTTCTGGGCTTAGACAGACTCACTCCTGGAGAGACACATGGGTCCTGGTTGAGGACGCACAGTGACAGGGTTTCAGCAAGAGCTGCCCATGTGCCTACAAGATCTTGCTTCCCTGGTCATGGTGGGTCCGTTCGGGGGTGAACCGCTGATTGCACCTGGCTGAATCAGCCTTTTGCCTAGAAATTTTGGAATTGGGGGAGAATGAGCCCACCTGGACACACTCTGGAGCTGTTGCCAAGAGCCACTTGGCCATGTGACCTGGGGCAGAGGAATGATGCTCCTGGGTACTGGTTAACGTTAGAAAAAAAAATAATGGTCGGTCGGAGAAATGGTACCTGCCTGGCACACTGTGGGTGTCAATTAACCACGGCCAGTCGGAGGAGGACAGAGTGGGACAGGGGCTGCTCAGGCCTCCTTTGCACCTCGGAGGTGGAGACACACTGACCATTCCTGGAATGGACCCCATCTGTGTGCAAACGAAATACCTTGGAATCTCGGATCACGTGGAACTTCAAATACTCCTTCAGCTTGTCCTTGTTGTCTTGGTTGAACAGGAAATCCTGTTGTTCGGGGCGTAGGGTTTGCAAGGCTTGGTCGCTGGGCCAGAAGACAGTGACCGGAGTGTGGATAGGGTCAGTGATGATGCCCAGCAAGCCCACATCCTGAAACACAGGGAGTCGGGTGCGTGCACAGCAAAGCCCGGCCACGGGGTGAGGCACAGTGTCTTCCTGAGACCCAAAGCCAGCTGGGGTTGGGGGGATCCCCTTCGTGCCTACCCTGGGGGCTTATTGGGACTCCAGCTGGTTCAAGGGTGGCAGCCTGAGACTAGAGGTCCATCACACCTCAACTATTCTGACCCTCATTTTCTTAGATTGCAAAACAGACAGTCAAATTCTGGGCTTTTGTGAGTAGAAAAAGAACCTTTAACAAGTATTTGTTTGTTTGTTTGTTTGTTTGCTACTATTGCCCAAATATTTTAATTTCTGGAAGACCCCCTTAGCATTTTCCCCATATTTCACTTAAAAAAGTGAAACTTACACAATATTGAGATACTCCTATGTATTTATAAGATTTCTAGCTCACATGGACTCAAAAAAGAAATTGCCAGATAAATGGAGAGGAATCACTCTGAGAGCCTTCTATAACCTGGGTGCATCATATACATTAGTCCTTGTAATTTTCCCAACAGCCCTATGAAGTAGGCTTTATTATTCCCTTCTACTGAGCCCCAGAGAGGTTTGCTAACTTGCTATCAAAGCAAGTTCTGAGATGCTCAGGTGTGGGGGTGACTATAAGGTTTTGGGGCTGGGTGAGCTGGCCAAGATACTTGCCTGTAACCTCCCTGGAGAGTCTCATTTTGAGCACCTTGAAATCTCCATTTCTGAAAAGGCCCCCAGAGAGTGAGCCCTAGGCCATTTTGGAAATCGCTGGTTTGTGCAGAGGTTTGTAGACTGTGCCCCAGGGGTGGGGGATGGGGTGGGGGGCTGGGACATCTCAGGGTAGGTGGAGGAGAGGGGACCTTGGAGGACTCCGTCCCTCCGATTCTCTTCTGAAATCTTTGTCTGAACAAGAAGTTTCTCTACTCAATTTGTGGGAAAAGTGTCTGAAGTCAGAAAGATATAGTTTTAAGTGCAATTTCTACTTATGCCCCCGGTGTCGATTTTCCACATCTGCACCTCGGCTTGCCCATCTCTATCATGGAGGCAATAATTCCAGATGTGAAACACCTAGTTCAGGGACTGGTACACTCTAATTCCTTTCCCTTGCTCCTGTCTCAAATACTTCAGTTTCTAATTCAGCCAATGTACACTGTATAGCCGAACAAACCCTACGCTATCTGGGGAATGGAATCGCAGAGCATGACTTCGCTCTATAGAAAATCAGGACTTCCTGACACAGATCCCAGGACAGCTGGCTAGCGCCCCCAATAAAACACCAAATGACAAAACAAAACAACAACAAAAAACCCCCAAACAAAACAAACAAACAAAAACCCTCCAAAAAACCAAACTCCTTAGGCAGGTTACCCCCTAGGTCTTTACCTGTAGTAGGTTGCTGAATTTGGTGTAGCCATGGTTTGTTGCTACTGTCGTAAGATTTTGCTGCAAAGATAATAAGAATAGGAATGACACTTTTCTTCGTACGGTTCACAAAGCACTTTAACAAAAGCTCAACGGAATAGAATGAGGGTAAGATAATGCGCAGGTACTGTGGATTGGCTCATCAGCACCCACTCCAGCTCCGATGTACCCGTGCCTTTCTGCGTTACAGAGGCTGAAGGGCTATGCACTTCATTTTCCCAGACTGCCTTGCAGCTACAGCCTCCTAGGTGACAGAGCATCCAGCAAGCACAAGGGTTTTTACCAAACTTATTGGTGGAAGGAAACCACATGAGGTGGGCGTGACTGTGAGGAGGGAGACTCTGACCGGCACACTGGTGGAGGCATCTGGTGTTCAGGCTTGCATGCTGCAGGTGCTGAGGCTGGATACAGGTCAGGACAGCCCCGTGGTAAGGTCAGGGCTCCTCCCTTTACAGGTCTCCCTGAGCTGCTTTGCTCCCAGCTGTGTAGCATCTGGCTCTCTGGCTTTCTTAGGGATTTGGTGATAAACTTAATATCTTAAGGATCTCCTTTTTGTTTAAGTTAGGTATAATGGGTTCTGTTGTCTACAATGAAAAACCCTTGCCAATACTAATAAATAACAATAAAATTCAAAATTGTCTTTTCTTTCAATTGAAAAGGAGTTTTACTCCAGGTTTGGTTTGAGTGGTATCTATTTATCTATCTATCATCTATCTTTCTTTTCTTTTCTTTTTTTTTAAGGTTTATTTATTTATTTTAGAGAGAGTGCATGTGGGCAGAGGGGGAGAGAGAGAGAGAGAGAGAGAGAGAGAGGGAATCCTCAAGCAGAGGCCCCACTGAGCACGGAGCCCAATGCGGGGCTTGATCTCACGACCCTGAGATCATGACCTGAGTCAAAATTAAGAATCAGATGCTTCACTGACCGAGCCACCCAGGTGCCCCATATCTATTTATCTTTCTACCTATCATCTGTCTCATCCAGCTGTGTAATTTCTCCATCTTTCAGTCCTTGTAGAAACTAAAGAAAAACTTATAAAATCCATTTATCTATTTAAATTAGACTTTTACCTATTCACTTCTTACTAGAATAATATTCACTAGGCTTTTAATAGTAGCTTGAGACTGAAGCAGCAAAATGAAAATGTCTCAAAATGATGGCTTAAAATCAGAATTGTGATAATAAGTTATGATTATTATGGGTCACTCTGTGCTGAGAGTATGACAAAAAGTTCACGCACCAGAATCCTTCCAGAGGCATCTTTGGGGGTGATAAGCAAGTTTTGGGGAGACAGCAATTTGTCTATGATGTGGATGATTCCATTAGTACTGATGATATCACTGGATATGATCTTAGCCTTATTATTTATATACACTGTGTCCTGAAATTAACCAAAAAAAGGAAAAAAAGAAATGAGCACAAAGAGAGATACAAAATTACTTCTTTCAGAATGCTTTTACCAACATGCTAACTCATCATGAAAATGAACGTTTAAGTAGAGCTGTGGGCAAAATCTGAAGATACTTGAGCCCATTTATTTATTATGATTATAAAAAGAAAATTGAGACAAGCCTGTAATCTCACCTGCAGAAGTTAATAGCAGAAAACCAACCACAATGGTCATTTCACTGTGATTCTCAAATATGAAATAACAAGCAGATCCAAATTGGCTCCTTTTTTCACATGTGTTCTCTATACCACCTTTTGCCCCCACCACACACTTGTTTTTCTCGGCAATGGATTCTACAGTCACCTCTTGTTTCTCTGTTGTGGGGGGCGAGGGGACCAGCATGGCCAAGTGGCTTTGGTCAAAAGTTTTCATCCCTGGCTGGCTCCTGACCAACAGCAGTTCTTTTTTTTAATTTTTTTTTTTAAGATTTTATTCATTTATTTGACAGAGAGAGACACAGCGAGAGAGGGAACACAAACAGGGGGAGTTGGAGAGGGAGAAGCAGGCTTCCCACGGAGCAGGGAGCCCAATGCGGGGCTCGATCCCAGGATCCCGGGATCATGACCTGAGCCGAAGGCAGACGCCTAATGATTGAGCCCTCCAAGCGCCCCCCAAAAGCAGTTCTGATGACCGCTTGAACCTCTGAGTTTCAGTTCCAGCTTGCATATTTACTTGCTGTGTGACCTTGGACAAGTTACTTAACTTCTCTGAGCTCAGTTTCCTAATTTGTAAATTGGGGAAAAGAATAGTATCTACATCATGGGATTATTTTGAGGATTAAATAAGTCAGTACACATCCAATACTTAAAATACTACCTGGCATATAGAAATCACTCAACAGGTGTTAGTTGTTATTACCACTATTACTGGTATTACTGTAAAGAAGAAGAGAAGAGAGAGGGGCATCTTCCTGATGCCCACCTGGTGGGTGGCCTCTCTTACCTGAGAGACGGAGATGACAACTGACTCCCCTTGGAGAGAAGTAGCATTTGGGATCAATTTCAGGTTTTCTAGAAGCAGCTGGTGACAGGCGATCACATGATAGCGAAGAACCTGGGCCATGAGACCCTGTTCGTCCCAGTCTTTAATCTGTAATAGAAGATGGCAGGGTTCCAGCCAGAGCCAGAAGGTTTTGCTGTCCCCTCCCTCATGCCCTCCAGGGGCCTTTCTCCCCATCCAGACTGGGAAGGAGGCAGTCAGGGCTGGCTGGTGGTCAGGGTTACAGGGTACAGGCTGTTCAGGCAGGAGGGAGACAGTGGCCCTCGTTTCTTTCCTGCTTCCAACATACATTCTCAGCATGGAAGGGAGCTTGGAGTTCTCCTGACCCAGCATTTCACAACACATGGGCAGGGACCCTAAGTCCTTTGAGATGCTACTTGAAAAAAGACTCTTCTTGTGAAAAATGCTGGAAAACCCCGCATAGCACCTGCCCCTCTTGGAGAGGTACCTGGGCCAGAATCAAACCTCTAGTATGGAAAAGATCACGATACTTTTCCATGTGTAAATCAAAACACAAACAATCTTAACCATTAATAAAAAGTAGAAAAAGTAATAAAAGGCCTATAACGTTCTCATTTTTCATATCTCTCTTTTGATGCTTTTTAGAGAAAAACTATCAAATGTCAACATCTTTCAAAAGGTATTTGTGTGCCTCTGCCTACCTGGTGTCTAAAATACATGCATAGAGAAGCAGTGTGCATAGTGAAGGACACAGGCTCTGGAGTCACGTTTGAGTCCTTGCTCCACTAGTTGCTAGTCATATGGCCTTGGAAAAGTTACTTCTGCCAATGTCCTGGACTGTAAAGTGGGGATAATGGCACCCAACTGACAGGGCTGTTGTGAACACTAAATGAATTAATCTAGGCCAGGTGCTAGAAACAGTGTCTGGCACACTCAATAAATGTTTGCTACATTTTTATATGTTAATGGGTAATCCAGTATGAAGAGTCCCAGTGAATGTTAGAATAGTAAAGGCTCTGATAAAGTCCGCAAGAAAAAAGACTTATTTAAATTCCTTTAACCCTTCCTTCCTTCCTTCCTTCCTTTTTTTCGTTCTTTCTTTCGTCTATGGAAGGTTTGGATCATTTAAGAGTTGTTGATCTTTTCTAACCTCCTACCCTATTCAGAAATATTTTTTAGTGAGCCTCTGGCCATTGCACCCCAAATCCACTTAAATCCTTTCCCTTTATAGGGGTCCCTATGCTGAGAGGCAGCCCATTCCATTGCTGATCTGCACTAGCTGATCCTAAATCTCCTGCCCAGAAATGTCACCAGCGTTGGTTCCAGGGTGACACCCAAAGACTGGGTTCCAGTCCCAAACCTCTTCTGCTTGCCTAGAGCTTCATGCTTACCCGAGGTTCCTCATCAAAGGCTGCAGATAAAGGTGCAAAGACGGTGAAGGGGCCTGGACCATTCAGGTCTCTCACAGAATGCTCCTGTGGGAAGGAAGGTGGGGCCACATGTCACCTATTTGACATAAATACGGGGGGGGGGTTGGTTCAAACAAATAGCAGAGAGAGTTGGCGGGAAAACTGAACTGGGCGATCTGTGTTTTATTTAGTCTCGGATTCAAAGTCATTCTGATTCTTTTTTTCTTTAATTTTCTTTATTTGTTTGTTTATTTATTTATTTATTTATTTATTTATAGAAAGAAAGAGCTTGTGAGTGGGGGAGGGGAAGGACAGAGTGAAAGGGAGAGAGAGAATCTCAAGCAGACTCCCCACAGAGGGCAGAGCCTGTTGTGGGGTTTGATCTTACAGCCCTGAGACCTGAGCTGAAATCAAGAGTCGGATGCTTAACTGACTGAGCCACCCAGGTGCCCCAAATCCATTTGCATTCTTTGTCATTGAAATAATGTTTATTTTTATATGGTTATAAAAATAACACATGCTTACTCTTTTAAAGATTTGAAAATACAGCATAAAGAAGGAAATAACCACCCATAATCCCACTGCCTAGAACTCACCCGTTATTTCTAGGTATTCTTTTCCAGTGTCTTTCTACATACAAATATTTTACATAATTGGGATAATAATACAAATGTAAGTAATAAGATGAATGACTTAGCTGTTCTAATTGTCTTCTTGCCAATGCTAAGGTCCTATGGCTACTTATATTTTCTTCTGGGTTTTACGATTTTCTTCGTTTAGACTTTTATCTTTTATGTATCTGGGAGTTATTCCGATGTATGATGTGCATAGAGATCTAACATAATATTTTCACCCAAAGAGTTCCCTGATTGCCCCAGTAATGCATCCTTCCTCCACTGGTGTGATGTTTTTTGCACACACTGCATTCTTGTGTGTCGAATGGGCCAGGGTGTCTTTGGTTCTACTCCTGCTGCCCACCTGAGGCCTGAGAAGTCCACAAATGACCAACAGGGACCCTATTTCAGAAATCCATGCTCCCAGACTTTCTTCTCCCTTCACCAGCTCCAGAGGCTAGCTACGGTTTCCTCGGATCTGGCTGGAGACCCAAGTCCTACAGCTTAGAGACAGACACACATGTACTTACCAGCAACTGGAAGAAGTACTGGGACGTTTTTGGGTTCTTGGGAAGCTCCTGGAAACAAAGACAGGGCAGGGCCACTTCATGTCTGGGATTATATGCAAGAACCATCCAGGGTTGTCACAGGACAATTTCTCTAAGGTCCAGAGTCTCTCCTATACTTTCAACTGGAAATCTGCCCTGATGGTCCTTTTTCAAACCCCATCTACAGGCTTCCATTGATGTTCAGAACGACTACGGGGACATGCTGTGAGTTCCAAAACCTTTCTGGAGTCACCGTCTGATTTATCAAAGAAAGGTCCAGAAGCAGCTGAGCTTTAGGAGCATTTTTAAAAGTTGAAATATTTTTAAAAAATCAGTTATGGGTTTATGGCAGATTTCAGTTCTCCATTAACAAGAATATTTGATTAGCCAGAATGCTCTAGTTCCTCTTTAAGCCAAATAACAGAACGTTCACTTGATAACGGGGTAGAAATCTACAAGCGTTACACTCCCTCATCCGCCATATCCAGTCAAGATGCTCGTGCGTATGCATGCACCCATCTGCTCCAACAGCAACCCACATCATGGTAATTCGTTGGAGTTACTGTGTGCTCTGTGCCGGTTACATACATTATTTCTGATAACAACCCGATGGGCTTGGTACCATTAGTATTTTTTTTTAATGGATTAGAAAGCTGATGTGTAGAGAGGTGACGTTATTGCCCAATGCCACATTTCTAATTGGCGGAGTTGAATTCAAACCCAGGTGCTTCTGACTCTAGAACCATCGATCTGAGAATTCCCATGGATAGATAAAATCCCTTCTCATTGCCGATGTATATAAGAACAGTCTTTCCCATTTTTGTAGAGTTTTCTAAGTTACAAAACTCTTGCACCTTCCCTTGGGTAACCTGGATTCTTAGCACAGGGAGGGATGTAGGGTTTACTTTATGGAAACATGCCTTTCCTTACCTGGTAGATGTTGCCACGGCAGGTAAACCCATCCCCAATGTAGTTGGGCTTGCAAGTACATGTCCTTTCTTCTGGCCCGGTGTGATTGCAGATAGCAAATTCGCTACAGCCGCCGTTTTTCTGGTCACATTTCCAAGGGGTGGGGGATAGGAATCAGATCAGTTTCTTTACCACCCCTGCCAGTAGTCACCAAGCAATTCTGTACTGAAATTTAGTTTTTTACTCATTCTCTAACTGACTTGTTGGCAGGATTTGCCCCTTTCCTGAACTTGCCTTTCAATTCCCTAGAGTGGTAAGGGCCATTTATTCACCTAGCCTTGTATCCCAAGATGCTCGGGTCCAACCGAGCAGATTTCCAGCCCTATATAGACAAGCCCAGAGGTGCCAAATGGAAAATTTCTTAGTACCAGGCAGTTGGCCAGAAAGGCACCAATCTTGTCTGACAATTCCCAGCTTTAGGCTTAAATTCTGATCTCATAATAGTCAAGGTAGCAGTCATCAGCTAGAAGGCAGTGGGTATAAAACAGAAAGAACACACTGTCCTTGTCCACAACGAGCTTAAAAACTGTGGAAGATGGGACAGAGACCTAAAATAGAAACAAAGCAAAGTACAGTTCAAAGCTGACATGCATGGAACACCAAGAAGGACTCTGCAGCTTAAGCCAAGTTTCTAAGTGGGGAAAAAATATGAATTCAGGAGCAAGAACGCTGATGGGGTTGACAAAGAAGGAGGTCAACAGACTTGAGGGCCGGCTGTAAAATCTTCCTTTCCACTAACCATTGTTCCCAAAGTCTTTGTGGAGCATGATATTCGGGTCCGGGAGGGACTTACTGTCCCGGATTCCTGCCTCAAGCTGACACAGCTCAGTGAACTCTCCAAGAAAGCTGCCTTCTGCAAGATGGAATCTATGATCACCCATTCTTCTTCGGTCCTAGCCGTGGTGCCTGGATCACCGACTTTCCCTCCACACCTGTCGTCATCCTCGGCGGCATCAACATCCCTGCCAGTGGTCTCCACTGTAGCTGCCGCCACTCTGCCTCCGCCACCACTGCCGGACCACCCTTGACTTTGTCCCAACATTAAAGTGGACGCTCCTGAGAGCTCTGTTTCAACATCCCTCTCTCTCTGACCACCAGCTTTTATCATCTCAACTCACCTCTTCCAATGCTGTGGCTCCAGCCTCCTTTGAGCCAAACTTCTTTCTCATCCACATTCCCGCCCACTCACTGGGCCCAGTTGCCCCCAGTTCCCCGCTCATCCCTGGCCCAGCCGCCCACAGCAGGCCTCGGCACACCACTGCCCCTGGGCCCTGCCCGACGGGCGGGGCGTTGCTGTGTGGACTCCCAACAAAGTTATCACACACACACCGACACTGCCTACTCCTCGAGCGCATTTACCTTCTCTCTCCCTGGAGAAGACACATCACTCCTTCATTCCTCCCTGCAACTCTCAACCCCTGGCCCTCACTCCCAGCAGACGAGCTCACCTCATACCTTATGGAGAAAATAGACACAGGAACCAGCCCAGCTCCCTGCCCTGATGCCCACCACCTGCCTGGGCCTGGTCACCAACTCTACTTCCCTTATTTAACAAATAAACTGACAACTGACTGACCAGTCCCTTACACACCAAGTGTCCGTCTCTCCCCACCCACCCCCGGCCCAGTGTAAACTCTTGAAGGGAAGAGACTCTGCCGCTTCGTCACTGATGAACTCCCAGTGCCTAAAATGGTGCCTGGTATCTAGGGAATGCCCATCGACCTAGATGTGTGTCATCCTGTATGAGGTTTCCCACCGGATAGGTAGGAATTTGAGTGGTCTCTATCCTCGCGGGACTCACAATTTAGTTAGAATGGTCAGACACAGTCATTTTCAAGCTAATTCACACTAAGGGCCATGAATGTAACTGGCTGACTAACAAACTGAATGACTAAGTACCCACCTGATTAACTGCCTGACTCACCAACTAACCAACTACCTGCCTGCCTACCTACCACTGCCCCTGCTCCTCCTGGAGGCTCAGCTGTGAGCTCTGGGTCCCTTTCCCCTCATCTACTCCTGTACCTTCCTCCTGTAACAATCCACCTTCCCTCCCTCAGTACCAGTTTCCTTCTTTCTACTGGATCATACTCATCAGCAGAAAAACATGCTTTAATACTACTCAAGTATTAAAGTAAGAAACAAACTTCCCTTCTTCTTGAAAAGAATCCAGTGGGTGATGGCGGTCATGGGTGCAGGGGCCATGAGTTAATGACTCTTGTACCTGAGTCCCAGGTGCATGTGTGTTCATTGCGTGAGTTGCCAAGACAAGGTGGCCATTAAAAAACAGACAGACAGACAGACAGACAGATGAAGAGGATCATTGAAGAATGGCTGTGGAAATAAAGCTGGCCATGGGTCTGGTCCTAACAGTTCCATATCCCAGCACCCCACTTTCTGCAATCACTTTATGTGGGGACGTGTTCCCCTGAGGGATTTGCCAGACTAACACAAGGGGACAGTCAGGATGGAGCTTGGAGAGGAAGGGCTTTAATTATGTGGCATCTGTGCTGTTCTCATGCCCACGGCTGGAGGCTGGTGATATGGAGAAGGGAAGTAAGATGCAGAGCCTGGTCCTCCTCTGGGGCTTGCTGCCTCGTGGGAGGAACAAGCACCCGAAAAGTGATCCAGGGCGCAGCCTTTGAGTAAGACAGACATGGGTTCAAGTTCTGACTAGGCTGGGTGCTTGCTCTATATCCAAAAGGTCTGCCCATGCCCTAAGTCCTGATGTCTCTGAGTGTGACCTTGTTTAGAGAGTCCTTGCAGATATAAATAAGGATCTTGCGATGAGAGCATCCTAGATGAAGCAGGTGGAGTCCACAGGAGTCCTTACTAGAGGAGAAGATGCCTACATAGAGGTGAAGGCCATGTGAAGACAGAGGCAGAGAATGGAGTTTCTCCAACTACAACTGGAACATGAGGGAGAGATGAGCCTCACGGCCCAGAAGCCTCTCTGAAGGAGGCTCCTCTGTGTGCCACGCCCCAGAAGGGGGGTCAGAGGCACCCCAGGCCTGTCCACTGAGGGCACCGGCCCCAGAACCATACTCACGGTTAAGCAGGTGTTGATGAGTGTGCAGACCTTCCCGTCTCCAGTGTATTTGGGCAAACAGTTACAGACCGCCTGTCCAGGAGGGGAAGGAAATAGGTTATTTCACAGGGAGATTCTGCTGGCTCTCGTGTACCAATTCTGTAATGGTAACGGTAATGCCACAAGAGTCTATATTTGGTATTGGTAAGCTCTTTCCTAGAATGATAATTGTCATTTTACATTTTAGCACACTTCACATTAGCACTGGGATTGCCTACATAGCCTAACTTTGCTGCCAAGAGACTTAATTTTTTTAAAACACTGTTACCTTAGTTGGTCCCTTGCCTCCTTGGCACTCACCTCATTTGTCACCTTGGTTGGTAAAGCCTCAGTGGCAAGGAAGCTAAGCTATGGCCCACTTGCATCTATACTGCGTTCTTGCGCATCTCCACCCACGCTCTGCCCGAGGTGCCCGCGTTGGGAGCTGCTGGAGGACAGCTTTGGAGTCACATGGGTGGCACATGGGAAAACAATCCATCAGACCCACTGGCCAAGGAAGTCAGTGGGGGCTTGAAGCTGAGGGAGGGGACACTGTCTGCAGGAAGCTGGGACTGTCTACTTCACCCTCATTTCCCTGGCGCTCTGCATGGGAGTGAGTGGGGCTGAAACTCAGCTCCGCTCTAGTTACCAAGCCGTGCACCCAGAAGAAAGGGCACTTGCTCCTAATGTGTCCACCAGAGGCGGCTTTTCCAGTCTCATGTCTACTTGTTGGAACCGGAACTGGTTGGCAGGGTGAGCCAGGGTCCAACGGCAGGTGTTCACTCCTCTGCCTCTTCCTTCATTATGGGCCCGGACCTCGGCCCCAAGCCTTTATCAAGACACCCCCAGCCGCCCCTCCTGGGCTAACGTCCTGTCTCAGCGATCAACCCTGTGTCCCTCTCACTGCCTTCTAGGTCTGGAGGAGGGTTTGTAGAGGCCCTGAGCAGTACAACATTTCTAGGTTTTCCTTATTCCGTAAGTGGTTTAAAATAAGAACTCAGTGGCAAGAGCTGAACCCCCAACTATGTCTAATTGTGCTGGGTTTTTCCAAGGCTATATGTGCAAACACACACACACACACACTTCTTTAAAATAAGTGTGGTTTTTTTTCTTATTTTTGGGCACTTGAGGCACCTGCTTGTTCTGCCCAATGGGATACCTGGCACTGAGGTCTGGGGCTCAACAAGGTCCCTAGAACATTCCCTGGGGACTTCACTTCATCATCCAGTTTCTGATACAGGTAACTTTCTCATTATGCTAGTTTCGGCCGCAAGGTTCGCCATGTTAGGGAATGAACGACTGATAGAGGGCCCAAGAACACGATCTTCTGCTGTGGCACATGGATTTCAGGGCCTCAAGCCAAAGAGAAAGTGTGGGATTCTGGACGTCAGAAAGCCGAAAGAAAGGAGAGCATTGTTGGAAACTTTCCAGGTGCAACTTTCCATGTTGTGTTGGCAGCCGTCTATGTCTCCCCACACAGGAAGCCCCTTCTCCCAAGAACCCTTTGTCCCCTCACCCCTGCCAGTTCTCATTCCCACAGAATGGCCTCTTGGGGAATTCGTTCAGAATTTCCCCCTACGGTGTTTGGTTCTGCTGCTGGCATCCACAGGTCTGTTCTCAGCTCCTGCCCCTCAGGCCTGGGTCTGAAGACCCAGGAATTTGCCCTTAGGAAAACTGAGGGCCTGGGAGAGGGGGAAGCTCACCTGGTTGGGTCCCGTCTGTGTGCACTCTGCGTTCTTGTGACAGCCACCATTGTTCTCCAAACATGGGTTGATCTCTTTAAAACAAAAAGCCAATACGTGGCATGAAAATCAAGCCTCATTTCCAAGTAAAGACATCTTGAGGAAGGAGGCAGGATGGCTAACTGAACAAGGGGAGCAGATGTCCAAGTGTGATTCAGTTTTCCGACAACTCTGAGGCAGAAGTAACCCAAAAGGGAAGGTCCCAGATTCTTTTCTCAAAGTCACCTCCTCTGGGATGGGACTGTGCCAGCAGAGGCATAGTCTGTGGGCTTGCATCTGTCCCTCTCCTGAATGAATATGAGCATTTTCAGCCAAGGACTTGAAAGAATACAGAATCTCGGAGTCCAATCCAACATGCTACGAAGGAAGAAATTTAGGAATTAAAAATTCACTTGTAACTATCACAATATAATTGCTTCAGGGAAGAATCATCAATAGATTCTCCATCTAGGAGGACACTTTGATGAGGAACAGGATCTTTGCTGGGTGTTCAAGGTTCTCCCCATTGACTGCTTCTTAGTAGCACTGGGGAAAAAGCAACAGTACCGTGGAGAAATCAGATAGCACCTTGATGAAGTGGTCAAAATTCACATCACAGATGAGAGGCGGCTGGAAATCATGAGCCTCTGGTGTGATATCCTGAGCAGGATGCATTATCGCTCCTGTGATATCAGGTCTGGAATGCTTCATCTCAATATAATCATGGACAAACATCAGATAAACCCCAAATGAAGAACATGCAATGAAAAACAAAGTTGGGGAGGTGGACTGTCTTCTTCCAAAATGCCAATGTCATAAAAGACAAAGCAAGGCTGGAGAATCATCCCCGATTCAAGGAGACTAAAGAGACATGGCAGCCAAATACGATGCCCATCCCTAACCTGGATCCTGCACTAGAGGAAAAAATGCCAAAACAGGACATTATGTTATGGGGTCAGGGGACAAAATTAGAATAAGCAATTAGACAAACGTATCATATCAGCAGTAAATTGACTGAAGTTGCTAACTGCTGCGGGTATGCAAGAATTCACACTTATTCTCAAATATGCCCAAGTATTTAAGGGTAAAGGGAATATCATATACATAGTTTACTCTCAAATGGTTTAGGAAAAATGTGTACAGACATAGAGAGGGCAAATGATAAAGCAAATGGAGCAATACATTAACAATAGTGAATCCAGGTAAGAAGCAAGTGGGCCTGCTTTTGTACTATTCTTGCAGTGCTTCTGTGTGAATATTTTTTTTGTTTTACAACTAAAATGTTAAAAGTCAGACAACTGCTACGACACACCTTTAGAGTAGAACAGTGTGTAGCCATAAAGATAATGATTTGGAGGTACGCTTATTTTCAGAGAGAGTTGTTCTTCCATATTGCTAGGCATAGTAAATATTATGTATCATAACAGGATTTTCACTCAAAGAAGTATGTATCTACATAGCAAACTGGAGTGATAGGACAATAGGAAGGGTGGTTATTTCCAGAATATTCTCTCCCAGCATATATGCATTCTCTAATTTTTCTACAGGGAGAATGTGCTATTGTGTAAAAAAAAATTAAGTGTTAAAAAAATTCAGTCACCACTATAATGTTTAACTGGAACAAGTCTCTCCCTTTTCTCCTTCCCAGGTGATTTTTGGCCATCACACACCTTCATCCCGCTGCGGTCACATTTTCACACCCTCATGCCTTCCTGCCCAGATACACTTAAAGATGAGTCCAGCAGTGGCAGGTCCTAATAACAGGACCACTGGCCAGGACTCTGATTCTTGAACCGTGGCCACTGGACAGTGAGGGACCTACCGATACAGACAGTACCTACCGAGGCACACGATGCCATCGCCCGTGTGGCCTGCCTGGCACACACACCGCCGGCTCCCGGGGGTGGTTCTCCTGCAGTCAGCCCTGGCAGAGCAACCTCCATTGCTGGTCTCACAGGCATTGATGGCTGTAGGAGAGGGGTGGGACGCCAAACAGAGCAGGAGGGAGAGGGGGGAAAAAACCAGTGACGAGAGGTGCCTGCGTGGCTCAGTCGTTAAACGTCTGCCTTCAGCTCAGATCATGATCCCAGGGTCCTGGGATCGAGCCCCGCATCGGGCTCCCTGCTCAGAGGAGAGCCTGCTTCTCCCTCTCCCACTCCCCCTGCTTGTGTTCCCTCTCTCGTTGTCTCTCTGTCAAATGAATAAATAAAATCTTTAAAAAACAAAACAAACAAAAAAACACCAGTGACGCATTTTTACTTGAGTGAGAAATGGAAGATACCTCAAAATGTCAGGCACTGGATTCAATATGAATAGTTCAAAGAACGCAAAGCACCAGAGGTCGTCCCTGGTGAATTCTACCAAACATTTAAAGAAGGATAAATAGCAAATTTTCACAAACTCTTCCAAAAACTGGAAGAGGGGAGAAAACTTCCCAATTCGTTTTATGAGGTCAGTATCACCCTGCTACCAAAGCCAGACAGAGCCAGCACAAGAAAATTACAGACCAATATCCTTTGCGAATATAAACACAAACACCCTCAAGAAAATACTTGTAAATCAAATTCGGCAATATATAAAAAGAATTACATGCCATCACCAAGTGGGAATTTTGAGGAATGCAAGGTGGTTTATTTATTTTTAAAAATATTTTATTTATTTATTTGAGAGAGAGAGAATGAGCGGGGGTGGGGGGGTGGAGACGCAGAGGCAGAGGGAGAAGCAGGCTCCCACAGAGCAAGGAGCCCAGTGCTGGACTCGATCCCAGGACCCTGGGATCATGACCCGAGCCGAAGGTAGAGCTTAACCGACTGAGCCACCCAGGCATCCCTGCAAGGTGGTTTAACATTTAAAAATCAATTAATGTACTATTGCATATCAAGAGAATCAAAGACAAAACCACATGATCATCTCAATAGAAGGAACAAAAAGCATTTGATAAAATTCCATGCCTTTAATAATAAAAACTCAACAGGCAAGGAATAAAAGGAAACTTCCTTAACCTGATAAAGGACATCTATACATGGAATAGAATTGAGAGTCCAGAAATAAACCCATATATCTAAGGTCAACTGGTTTTCCACAAAGATGCCAACACATTTCAATGGGGGAAAGATTAATCTTTTCAACAAATGATACTGAGACAATTGGATCTTCACATACAAAAACATGAACTTGGACCTCGGCCTCACAACATGTACTCAAATTAATTCAAAGTAGGTCAAAGACCCAGATCCACTTGGAGTCCCACGCTGTGACCTTGGACAAGCCACTTAGTTAATATGAACCTTGGGGTCCACCTATCGAGTTTTGTTTACAGGTTTAGAGACTCCCATCTGATCATGTATATGAAAGTGTTGTAGAAATGTTGGCTGTTCTATTAACTTGTGTCTTCTGCTTTTACAGTTTTTCCTAAAAACAGAGGGCAAGAGAAACGTTATAGTTATTGTCTCTTCCCAGTTGTTTTCCCTGGCATACTGAGCATATCCTACTGCAGGAAACATCTGGGGCCTGGGTCAGGGTGCCTCCATGCTGGGAGAATCCGCAGGGTGAGATGGTCTAGAAAGCAGGCTGGTAGGGTCATTGTCCAGCTCCACTATAACCTGGACCGAAGCCTGCCTGGACAAGGAGCATAAGAGAAAAATGATGCTAAGCGTTTCCATTTTTCTAGCACCAAATGTGTGGTGGGCCCCGTAAGAATATTAGCTTGCTTTTATTGAGTCTGCTCTGTGCCAGGGCTGTTCTGCGCACCTCACGGGGATTAATCCAGGTTATTACCCAACGGTTCAGTGAGGGAGATTCTCTTACTACCTACAACTTACAGATAAAAAAAAAAAATGATGCAAAGATCAGTCAAGCAACTTTCCCAAGGTAGCACAAATGATAAGAACTTAGACTCGAACCCAGGAGAGTCTGATGCCAGGGCTACTTTAAACTGCTGTCTCATTCTGCCATTGTACAGACAGGTCATTTCATCCCCAAACCACTCTGCAGGGGACACAGTTTTGTTCACTTCATAAGCGAGCTGAGGGGGCTCAGAACGGGTAAAAGACCCACCCAGAGCCACATGGGTAGGAGGAGGAAGAACCAGGATTCAAGCCCCTGGCCCACTCCAGAGTCCCCACACCTGGGCCACACCCTGGGTCAATCAGTCCAGTGTTTTTAAAGTTCTCCAGGTGATTTCAATTGCGGTCAAGGCCGTGAGCTGCTGTTTGGAGAAGAAAACAGGTGCAATTGACCCACCCATTCCTAAGCCAACACATGCCCGGTCCGTGAACAGTAGTTTTCTTGCCCCGGGGCCCAATCAGTGGTCCTGTTACATCCAGTTCACCCTCAGCGGCTGGTAGCGGCTGCCCAGCCAGTCTGCAGGAACACAGACCTCTCAACAGCTCGTGCTAGCCTCGTGTCCCCCAGCAGACCCCTTCCTCACTTGCCTGTGCACGCTGTTCCGTTCCCTTGGAATCCTGCTGCGCATTTGCACGAGGCTGTGCCGTCTGGATTGAGAAGGCAGCTGCAATGAGAAGGGGCAAGTGCTATTTGTGAAAGAAAAAAACAAACAAACAAAAAAGAAAACAAAAGAAAACAAAACACAAAAAACAAAAACCATATAACACCACCCTCTTCATCCCCAGCACCCAGTTCCTGCTCCCATGTGGCACTCGGAGGTCTTACCCAAGTGTTGGAAGGAGAGGCCATTCCTAGCACCGCCCCACCAGGGGCAGCTAAAACTGCAGGTGTGCATATGCAGGCATCGGCCCAGGGACAGGCGGGATAGCTACCAATCTTTAGAGAGCCACTTATGTACTTGGAGCTGTGCTTTGCACATTACTTTGTAGAACCTACACAATAGCCAATAGCCCTAACAAGCAGATGTTATTAGTCCCATTTTATAGATGGAGAAACTGAGGCTTAGAAGCATAAAGTAATTGACTCAAAGTCATGCAGACAATGAAAAGGACAGAGGCTGATTTGAATTCAGATCTAAGCCCAGTTCCTGGGCTAACTAATGAACCACGAAGCCCCTCTGGGAGTTAGCAGTATGAAGCTGAAGTCTGAACAAGTAAGGCTTGGCGGCGGGAGCAAGGTTGGATGAAGGTCAGGTGCACTGCCTATCCTTGGTTTCTATGAAAGAGTCCCTGTGGCTTGAACTGGGGGTAACAACTGGCATTTTTGCCAACAGGCCAGGTAACTCAGGGGGGCAGCTTGTTTAAAAGGCTGCATCTGGCAAGGTGATGGTGGCCTTTTCAGAGGGGATTTTCGTTTCATACTTAATTTTATCCTAAGTCTTCTGAAATGGTCTCAGGAAACGATTACCCCAAGGTGGACGCTCTTAGGAAAGGATCCCCTTTGCATCACCCCCAAAGAAAGCCCCGAGGTACGCACTTGGCGCTGGTGTGGCACGTCCCATTGCAGTCGTCTTTTGTGATCTCTGAGAAAGAGAACCAATTGCTGGGTCAGTCCTTTCATACGAAACCTACCTCAAGAACTTTCTTTGAGTACTTGGTGGTAAGAAAAGATTTAATTCCTCAGAAGTAATGATATGCATCATGTGAACCATGTAAAACTCTGTGACCTCGTAAATCCTTTTTTGCATGGGCTGCCAGGAAGCTCACAGCCAAACTGGAAGGTCAAATATACCGATGGAGTTGTCCACTGTGTGCCAGGCTCTGTGCCACACAGCAAAATCAAGGAGAGTAAAACAGTCTCTTCCCTCAGGGTCTGGGTGTTGATGCATGTTCCTCACTGGGGCCTGATTTTTTTACTTTCATTTATATTTCTTATGTTCCTTATTCTTTCTAGTTTTTCATCATTTTATTACGGAGTGATAGAAACAAGCAAAACCTAATTATAACTAATATTAAACTTTTTTTTCTTTTGCATATGCAAAAATAATACAGGGCCAGGCAGGCACACGGCAGGTTCCTATTATCTATTAGCTCAATTCATTCCTAAATTTCCTGGAATAGCATAGGCTCTTGCCCTTGGATGCCCAGCTAACAGATAGTTCCCAGCAGGGGGAGGATCCAGAAAGAAATCATTAGAGATGAAGAAAGAGTATCCTTTGGGAAAGATGCTCGTGTTAAGAGCCTTTGGGATAATATCTCATCAGAGCTGGCCGAGTCACATAGAAAGTCCGGAAAGAGAGACTTGACCGTCAAAGCGGTCTGTTTTGTGTCAGAGGGAACAGTGAGAGGCTCCAGCAGGCTGGAATGGATGCAATGCGATTTTGTGCCTTTTTGTATGCTCCTCCTTAAGCCTGGAAATCCCTTCTCTCTCCTTTCTCTATCGACTGAAATCCCAATCATCTTTTAGGTCCTCCTCTCTGAAATGAGCTCTAAACCTTCGAGCCAACTTCAGTGAGTAGGTAATGGCGACATGCTGTGCTCTTTTGAGCAAGATGTGACGCCCCTGTCTGGCCTCAGTGATGTCTACCATGAGCTTGGGAGGGGGGTGTTTGCCCCAAACAGGGGGGTTCTCTTCCTCACTCTAGCCTAGAGGCTCTTTCCTCTGTGCTCTCATACCACTAGTTTTTGAACACTATTGAACATTTATTTCCACTTCTAGGCTGGAAGCTCCTTGTGCAGGGTGTGCACGGAGACCAGCCTGGAAAACTGGGGGAGGGCCAACTGGTGAAGAGCCTCGTACTCCACCCTGCTAAGCTGTTTCTCTTGCAGGCAATGAACTTTCTCCTGGAGGCGATGAAGAACCATAGCAGGTTGTCAGGTCCTGGGGAGGGGTGGGCAATATGGTCTTACCTATGGTTACAGGCTGAATGTTTGTGTCCTCTTCCCCCCCCCAAATCCATACGCTGAAACCTAATCTCCAGTGTGATGGTATTGGGGCTGGGCCTTTGGAGATGGTCAGGTCATAAAGGCAGAGTGCTCATGAATGGGATTGGTGCCTTTATAAAAGAGATCCCGGAGAGCACCCTGGCCTCTTCTGCCGTGTGAGGACACGAGAAATCGGCAGTCTGCAGCCCAGAAGAGGATTCTCACCAGAACCAGACAGTGCTGGCACCTGCTCTCAGACTTCCAGCATCCAGAACTGTGAGAGAGAAATTTCTGTTGCTTATAAGCCATCTCGTCTACGGTATTTGTTATAGCAGCCCAAACTAAGACATCTGTGTTTTGGAAAGTTCTCTCCAGCAGCAATGTGGAAGATGCAATTGGGAAACCTGGGACAGGGGGCAGAGGGTCAGGTCACAAGTCTCTTGCTGAGGGCTGAGCAGCAGGAGGGGGCGTGGAGGTTAGAATAAGGGGGACATGCTAGTGAGGGAGTGAGGGAGCAGGCGTGGAAGGCGTGAAGGCCAAGCCGATGGTTTCTAGATTGGGTAAGCAGGTGGCGGTAGGCTGGGTCTTTCTTCCCAGTGAGGAAAGCAGGAAGAGTGAGCCTGGAGGGCCATCCTTGGAGCACATTAAGAAACATCGGTGTAGGGGAGCCTGGGTGGCAGAGTTGGTTAGGAGTCTGACTCTTGGTTTCGGCTCAGGTCATGATCTCAGGGTCCTTGGGGTGAGCCCTGTGTTGGGCTCTGTGCTTAGTGGGGAGTCTGCTAAAGTTTTTCTCTCCCTCTCCTTCTGCCCTTTCTCTCCTGCATGCTCTCTCTCTAAGATAAATAAATCTTAAAGAAAAAAGAAACATCAGTGCCGTGTGGTGGGGTTGGGGGAAATGGGTCTGTTCAGATCCTGTTAGTGGGAAATTAAATGGATATATTCTCTGAAGGACAGCTTGGCAGTAAATAGCAAACCCTTCCCCCAAAGTGCCAACCTCTGACTCAGAAATCCTATCTCTAGAAATATCAGTGAATGAATTAGTTAGACAAATGCGAAAGATGTATATATGAGACATTCATTGCAGCATTATGATGACAATAGAAAATTGGTTTTAGAGAGTGTGGTACAGTCATATAATGGAATATTATATGAAAATTAAAAATGATATTTACCGATATTTATTCACATGGAAATATATCCATGACATATTGTGAAGTGAAAAAGTAGGCTATAACACTATGCAGAGCGCAGTCTCAGCCACATACACCTAGAAAAAGCTTGGAAGCCTAATGTAAAATATTAATGATAGTTTGTTCCTGCTGTGGGAATGCATTTCTTATTTTTCTCTTTCTGCTTTTCTTTTCTTTTTAAAAAGATTTATTATTTGTTTGAGGGAGAGAGAGAGAGAGAGAGAGAGAGTGAGCATGAGCAGGGGGAGGGGCAGAGAGGGAGAGGAAGAGAATCTCAAGCAGACTCCTCGCTGCTGGTGAGGGCCAAGTGGTGAAGGGCTCGATCTCACGACCCCGAGATCATGACCTGAGCCGAAATCAAGAGTCGGACGCTCAACCGACTGAGCCACCCAGGCGCCCCTGCTTTTCTTTATTTTACAAACTTTTTGTGGCAAGTAGGAGCTACTTTGATTGCCAAAGGATGTAGTAAAGGTGTCATTTCTTTTTTCTTTTTAAAGATTTTATTTATTGAGAGAGAGATGAGAGTGAGAGAGAGGGAGACAACAAGCGGTGGGGGGTAGAGGGAGAGGGAGAGACAGACTCCCTGCTGAGCAGGGAGCCCGACATGGGGCTCCATCCCGGAACCCCGAGATCACGACCTGAGCCGAAGGCAGATTTTTTTTTTATTTATTTGACAGAGAGAGACACAGCGAGAGAGGAAACACAAGCAGGGGGAGTGGGAGAGGGAGAAGCAGGCTTCCCACTGAGCAGGGAGCCCGATGTGGGGCTCGATCCCAGGACCCTGGGATCATGACCTGAGCTGAAGGCAGACGCTTAACGATTGAGCCACTCAGGTGTCCCAAGGCAGACGCTTAATAGACTGAGCCACCCAGGCGCCCCCTAAAGTTGTCTTTCTATTTTAGGAAGACAGAAATGTAGCTGCTGGGAAGTGCGGCTAAGAACACATCATAAGGACTGAGGGGCTTGCCCTTACCAGTGTCGCATCTCACCCCTCGCCAGCCAAGTTCGCAGTTGCAGGAACCGTCACCTGAGGGTCCTTGGTTGCATCTCCCATGGACACAAGAACACACTAAGTGGAAAAGTGCCCATAAATTGTTAGCCCTCTGACCTGTGTTCCGGAACTCATTATCATTTACTATGAAGAGGCACTTCACATGAAGGGCACTTCATTCTCCCGCCTGGTTCCAGAGCACCATTGTCCTCAATGGAGGGCTGGACTCACAGGAAGGGCAGGGGCCACAGGAGAAGAGGCGAGTCGGGTCATGATTTGACAGAGACCACAGTTGTGGGACAGTGTAGCACTGTGGCTTGGTGACCGAAGCAGGGTGAGAGTGTCCCCAGCTAAGCCTATCGGAGGACTCAGGGTCGTGTGCGACGCCCTGGTACGGAAGCATGTTTGTTCCCTAAGGTCTGTCCACTAGGTTTCTATAAACCTGGGATGGCACTGCCTTCTTTAACAACATAGAAAAGCCGATGCCTTTGTTACGCAGCAGTGCTGTGAGCCTCTGAGAACTGGTTAAAAGCCTTGGATGCCTTCCCCCAGGGAAAAGCATTCAGGTTTGGGACTTCGCTAGACTCCATGAAGGTCATCTATGGATCACAGGTTAGGAAGTCCCGCACAAGTGGAAGCAGAAGATGCTTCCAAATGACAGAAAGAGTCAGCACTACAGTTGCAACTATATATTATATGGTCCAATTGTAATGATTCAATTATATATTGGTTTTGTCTGGCTTGGAAAGCTGATGACAAAGCAGTGATAGTCAGGTCCAATTTATGGTTTTTAGTGCAGGGTAGGAAAAAAAAATGCCTTGTTTTCTCATCATGGATTAGGAAATTCCTCCCATGTGTGTGTATCCTTGGGCACAAGGTCAGAAAATGCAAACAGATGATGATTTTTGTGAAAACAGCTTAAGGCATGTGGCTTACTGGGAAGGTGAATTAATAATCTTCAGGTAAAGGACTGCATGATTCAAGACCAAGTCTTTGGAGCCAAGCAAGATATGCATTCAAACCTCAGTTCTGTTTCCCACCAGGTGTGACCTTAAGGGAAGTCATTCAGCTCTGCCTTAATATACTCGTCTGTAAAATGGGTACATAATGTTCCCGTGTGGATTAAACCAGATACCGTGCACAAATGGGCATTTCAAACTATCAAGCAATGTCCAAACCTGAGAGGCTAACCATGAGGATCAGTGCGCACAGGCAAACACAGAAACGTGGTTGGTTGGGGAAAGTCAAGGAACAGGTCCAGTTAGTGATTGAAAATGTTTGGAAAACACTGTTCTATGCAAATTACACAACACAGACATTCTCACAATTCACATGATAATAGAGGTGGGCTTCCAGCCTGGCCCAAGAGCTAGGGCGGAGATGGTCCCCCCCCCTACTATCCCACAGTGGGTGGGGAGGTCATGCTGGGTGGGGAGGGAGGAGGGTTCACACCTTGGTCACAGTGGGCGCCGTACTTGCCCTCGGCGCAGGTCTCACAGGCTGTGCCCGCGAAGCCCTCTCCACACTCACACACACCCGTGCCGTTCACTCCGTCCAAGCAGATCCCATTTCCAAAGCAGACGTTCCCGGCTTTCCCAGGGCAGGGCTGGCACTGGGGACCAAAGAAGCCCGCACAGCATTCTCTCGTCTGAAACCGAGGGACAAGGCTGGGCTGGGACGAGGCCCCACCTCCATCTCCGTGGGTTCTGTCCCCGTTGAGGTCTGGAAATCCTGCTGGTGGGGCGGGCTGTGCGCCTGGAGGGCGCCAGGGGCAGGATGCAGTGGGGACGTAGGAAAGAGGGAAAGGAAAAAGGCAAGCGAGAGACTAGGATAAAGACCATCAGGAAAGGAGGCAGCAGGAACAGAGTATAGAATAATGCAGGTGATGCCACTGGGGACCCCAGCCCCTTCCTGGTATGTTACTCATTCCCATGCTGCTAAGCCAGGAGAGGCCTTTGCAGGGGAAGCCTTGAACATTTTAGAAGTGAGTCTCTTGTAGTTTAGGGAAGCCCTACAGGCTGTGCACTTGGCCTGGGCCTGCCTTTTTTCTTCTTCTTTTTTAAAAAAGTTTTAATTAAATTTTTAATTTTAATTCCAGTATAGTTCACATACAATATATTAGTTGCAGGTATACAATATAGTGATTCAGCAATTCTATGTATTATTCATTGCTCATCATGATAAGTGCGCTCCTTAATCCCCATCACTGATGCTTTTATTCTTTTTTTAAAAAAAGATTTGTTTATTTATTTGAGAGAGTGAGAGAGAGAGAAATTGAGAGCACGCGCTCGCATGCGTGAGTGCATGGGCGGGGAGGAGCCCAGGGAAGTAAACTCCCCAGGAGCAGGGAGCTCTATCCCAGGATCCCCAATCATGACCTGAGCTGAAGGCAGAAGCTTAACCCACTGAGCCACCCAGGCGCCCCAGATGGCTTTATTCTTGAGGGTACTAACACACACATGTCTACATTACTCACTGCTCAGCACAATAAGTGCAGACACCATCTGTCACCATACAACGTTACTACTCGATTACTGACTATATTCCCTAGCCCGCACTTTTCATCTCTGTCTTATTTTATAACTGGAAGTTTGTACCTCATAATCCCTACCACCTGTTTCACTCATCTCCCCTCCTCCCCCCCGACCTCCCCTCTGGCAACCACCAGTTTGTTCTCTGTGTTTAAGAGTCTGGTTTCTTTCTTTTTTTTTTTTTTTTTTGGTTTGTTTCTTTGTTCCTTTGTTTTGTTTTTAGGTTCCACATATAGAATTATTGAATCACTGTGTTGTACACGTGAAACGAATATACCATTGTATGTTAATTATACTTCAGTAAAAAATAAATGGATGAGTATGGCTGTGTTCCAATAAGACATTTCTGGATACTGGAAAACAAGACCCCAAAACCCCACAGAATCTTCTGCAGCCCCAAGCTCTGCCGCTTAAGGGCCAAACCATCTTGTTTCTGTAGGATAGGCAGAGGCTATGGCTAGTCTTCTGGGGAAGAGGCAGGACAGGAAGTTATAAAGAATGTTCCTGCAGATTCCAAAGCAGCAGTGCAGACGTGCTTAGCTCTGGGGTCCTGTTTTCTAAACAAGCAGGTGCACCTTCTCTTTCCTTAGGAAGCTGGCTGTCTCCGTCCCTGTTGTGACAACGAGGAAGTCCTCCTAGGCTCCCAGTCTTTCAGTTTCCTCACCATGCAATTGAATATTGCAGCTTTTCCCCATTTCCTGACTTCCTGCTGTCCTGAGTTTTCCTGCTACCACCGCTACCTTGCATGACGATGACAATGACAATGAGGATGATGATGAAGAGGAGGAGAGGCAGAAGGAATAGATGTGAAGGCATCTGAAAAGTGTGACATATGATAAAACTTCCCCATGCTGCTGCAGGAAGTGGAAGGGCGATTCAATCGTTATACTCACAATGATGGTTTTCACACATTTTGCCCGGCATCCAATGAACAGGGTTCGCTTGCCCATGAAATAAATGGTATAGATACATCTCCTTATCTCTTCACCCTATGAAGTAGAAATGATTATATCAGCTTTCGGGTGAGGGAAAAGTTCCAATCTCTAAGGGCAAGTAGGTGGGTGACATATTGCTGTTTCTCCCACTGAAATGTTCTGGAAAGGGAGGGGGTTGGCTTCTTGGAGTTGCTTTGTAGGGGAAGAAGACACAAAAACACAATGTTGGTTGCCAGAACCGAACAGGTGGCAAAATCCAAATTATTATACCTTAAGGTGGTACTCTGTAAAAAGAACTTTTGTCTAGAAAACTAACTCAAGTTTGGAAGAATTGTAGAGTATATTAGATAAAATTATCCTGTAATAACAAGATTAAACTCTAGTGAGAGAATCAGCATTGGTATCATCAGAAATTCTTATTTGCATGCTATGAGAGGTGCATAAGCATCTATTTTTTTGTAATGATTGGAACATTATCGGAAGTATTTTGCAATAAATAGCTACAAGAAACATTGGTAATTAATTCAAAGACATGTTTACTTCTCCCAAGTTTGCCATCTGTTTCTTAGAGTTGTAAGTTCAACTATAAAAGGAAATCAGGCAGGTGAAACTCATCTAGATTGGATGTGGTTTTGGTTATGGAGTCTGCCCTTCTCTGATAAGATTTCTTGCTCTTGTCCTCAACTGGCTTCCAGGACTGAAAGATGTAGAAAGTGAAAAATGCCTTCCTGTATTGTGTATCAACTGATGTGAAGCCCAGCTTCTATTTATGTATTAATTAAATTACGCTTTGGTCCAAAAAATGATTCAAGACTTTAGAAAGATGCACATGTGATGGTAAGATTAAATTAAAACCAAGTACAGGAATTGAGGGCAGTGCAAATGAGGTATGCTTGAAGTTCATTTTCTTTCATTTTTTTGAGGTTCATTTTCTAATTTGGACCTCCTGGAATCTGGAAACTATTTTATCAAAGCAGACAAAATACTTACTAGTTGTTTAGTTCCAAATGGGCAGACGGGCTGCTGGAGACACTTGCCACATTTTCCCTTGGTAAAACACAGAGAGGCAAAGTGAACATCTCACCATTCTTAATTTTAGTGCAAAGTGAGGCTGCAAGTATTTTACAGACCTTGGAGCTGAGGTTTTAGGATGTAGAATTGAAACTCAGAAAGCTATTAGGGAAGTTCATCTGGTCAACCCTTGGGAGCACCTGGGAGCTGAGGACTCAGCGTGGAGATAATATACACTATTATAAAACAATGAGCGCAACTTAAGAATGACAGAAATTTTTAAATGTGACCCGTTCCTAGAACAGGAGGAGGCCAATGTGACTAGTTCTTAACTTGGCCCCCACCAGACAGGAGAGTGTGGCTGTTCCCGGTTCTGGCTCTGGGGCCAGACCGCCTGGATTTGAACTCTTTGTCTGCCACTTTCTAGTTCTGTGAACCTGGGTACATTACTTAACCTCTTTGTGGCTCATTTTCCCCATCTGTAGAATGGGGATAGTAATAGTACTTATTTTGTAGGGTGTTGTGAGGACGGATTAATACATGTAACGTGTATTAACCCATATAAAACCATTATAACAGTATAAAATATGTGCAGTGCCTGGCACATAATAAGTGCCCCCCAAATGTCAGCAGTTGTTACTATTACGGAAAGACCCTACACCATCCCATGGACTGGAGTGAAAAGGCTCTGTTACCAAATCCTCTGTTACACCGAAATAATGCAGCTCCCTATTTTCTCTCCCAGTAGACCAGGCTTGGCCAATACCTGCCATAGGAGCACCGTAGCCCCCCTCTCTGCGCCTATGTCAGGCGTGGCATGTTTCCCACTGAGGAAGACCATGGCTTGAGGATCCTGCTCAATACAACCCTCCAGGGAAGTTCCCAGGCACCCAAGGTACAATTCATTGCACTGGACTGTGAGCCCACTGAGGGCAGGTTTCATGTCTCATTTATCTTTGTAGAGTCAAGTTGATTCTGCTTCTTCATACATCGGAGATGCTCGCTCAGTGTGTTTTTGAACCGAATTGAGAGGTCCCGATAGATGAACTTCATGCTTAAAAAATTTATAAAAAACGAAACCAACAGGTGCATCATTGGCCTTGGATATAACTTACTTGTACAATAGTAGTGTCGTTATTATCACATCTATTCTTCTGAATTTCCAGAACTTTCCCCAAGCCATGGATCACTCCCTTGTCAGTGGCCGCATTGGTGTAGTTTATTGGGGCCTCATTTACGTAGAGCTGTAAACAAGAGGGTTGAATGTGAGTTTGACTGTAGTGATTTCAAGGGAAATAGCAACGATAGGGATTAGAGGCTCTCATTATCCCAACAGTCTCAGAGATATTCCAGTATTCACCTGGAAGGTAGCACCCTGTAGTGGAAAGAGCTCTTGGGGAGGAGAGTCTAAGTAACAGTCCTGCATCTGGCACCATCTTGTTGTGTGACCTTGGGCCGGTTGCTTTTCCTCTCTGAATCTCGATTTCCTCTTTTGTAAAAGAAGAGGCTGTTCTAGATCATCTCTAAGGTTTCTCTCCACCCCTCACATTAGTTGGTTTATGACTGCTTGAAGAAGTCTGAATTATGATTGTTATGTGAGTCCCATCGGCAAAATGGCTCCATGGGGTGTGCTCCCTTGTGCTGTGGACTTGTGGGGGTCCTGGAGGTTTGAATGCCTTCCAAAACCAAGGCATGGAGAAGGAAACTCAATGGCCTTTCAGCACATCTCTATGGTTAGTTTGTAAGCAACCCTTAGAAAGGCCAAGCAACAGGTATTTAAGAATAAAAATAACTAGCATTTTTTAAGTGTTTTTGTTTGTGAAAAGTGTTCCACCAGATAGTATCATTTCCCAGTGTGTGGCAAGTGCTCAGAGGTTCTGCATTATATGCTGCTAACTCAAATTCAACTCTGAGTTGCAACTTGTTTTGTTTTGATTTTTTTAGGGAAGCCTACTTTAATGATTGAGTAATACAAAACAAGTGAATCCATTCATCCATTCATTAATATAACTAATATAATTGGGAACAAATAGTTCTTTAAAAAATTAGAGAGAGAGGGGCGCCTGGGTGGCTGGGTCGTTAATCCCAGGGTCCTGGGATCAAGCCCCGCATCGGGCTCTCTGCTCAGCGGGAAGCCTGCTTCTCCCTCTCCCCCTCCCGCTGCTTGTGTTCCCTCTCTTGCTGTGTCTCTCTCTCTCAAATAAATGAATAAAATCTTAAAAAAAAATAAAAAAAATAAATTAGAGATAGAGATAGAGAGAGAGAGAGTGTGTGTGTGTGTAGGTGTGAGTTGGGAGAAGGGGGAATCTTTATTGTACTAAGAAAATGTTGTTTGTGTCCAAAAAGGGTTTAAAAATGATTAATAACATCCCCAAACTCCCCACAACAGCAATATTAAAATGACTCTTTTAAGTGCTGAAATTTGAACTCCCATGGAATGTTAAAATCCCTTATGATTTACTTGGAGTCAGGTGAATTTCCATTGGGTGTTGAGATAAATCATGGCTGAGCTCCACGGAGGTCTTCTAGCATCTGTGTAGATTTGGAAAACTAGCAGGGAACCTTACAGGTACTGTCAAATGGTGGTTGCAGCACAAACTTCCAGAATTCTGAGATACTGAGCTATTTAAAAAATATCAAACTGACATAACTTCTGATGCTATAATACTGTTGATTTGACATTAAAAAAAGTCTGAATCATTTTCTTTGTGAGATGTACCCAGAGAATTATGGGCTGCATTAAAATTTTTATTTGAACACAAGCTTACTGGGTTAGAGAGCTTTTTCATAAAACTCCGTTGTCCTAAGAGAAAGTAAATGAGTTATGGATAAAAGCAAAATCTCAACTGTGAGGTAGAACTGTTTATTGTGAGTTAAAAGCCTCTAGTGTAAAATTGCTCTAGATCAAAGAATTTCCAAACAAATGGAAAATAAACATGACAGAGTTGAAATTGATTCAACTAACTGCATTAGAAAATTCATCTGTATGTGATGAAGTAAGAAATGATATGGATAAAAAGAAAAATCTAAGTTCTTTACCAATAAAAAGTTGCCTTACCAGGAAAAATAAGAAAATGTATTTAAAAGGATCTCCTCAAAGTTATTCCATAACAGGTGGGATTATTCACAGGAGTGGGAGGAAAATATTTGGAAGTAAAGAAGAGTTAGGCTCTTATTTTACCCAAGCAGGTTGAAACAAAATGTCCACAAAGCTTCACTTGTGGTTCAATGATGATACCACAGAGAACATTGTTTTAACATTGCACTTTTTAAAAGGACCAAATAATATTAATGCTAAAAAATGTCAGTGATTAAACTTTCTTCCTCTTAACATGTGCTTAGTTTATCTTAAGCAATAATTTGTTTTTATTAATTTTTCTTATGAGAATTTACATGAGTTACACTGTGAGTTTCTTGTTGAATTTTCATAAACCAATCTTCTTCCTTGATGTTTGAAATATGTCATTAGAATTATACTTGAAATACTTTACATATTTAGTCTCATCAATTCTTTTTCATGAATTCTGAACACTGAAATATTTAGTGGTTGTGTGAGATAGATATTGGGATACTGGTGTGGGGGTCAGCTGGTCCTAGGACCTCGGGTCTGTACGATCAAGCAGTCACGACATTATTCACTCGGCTGCTGGATCCCACATGTCACTTGGCCCCGTGGAGTCAGGGCCACATCCTGGGAGTTGGGTTTTGCTGCCAGGTACCCTTCTATCTTAGAGACTGCTTGGGGACTGTCTGTTGGGTTTGTTAGGATCCAGTGTCAGAGGGCACTTGTGAGTGCTGGAATTCAAATACCATGATTAGTAAAGCCACACCCATTATCTGAATGCTGGTAACAGGGAGGGTGAGCTGGGGAGCTTGGCAGTCTCTTTGCTTTTTATGGTGACAGACAGACAACTGTCTTTTGTAGATAAGGCTTAGGAAGCACCAGTGAGATTATTCCAACATGGAAGTGATGACAGATGATAGGAGCTAAGACACTCCCTCCTGGGTTTTAAGTAAAAGGGTTGCACCTGCTCATCGTGGAGAAAGAAGCCGAGGAGGTAGGAAAAGCCCAGCATGGTCTCCCGGTGCATGCCGTGGTGCAGGTCATTCTTTAAGAGTTTCTCCTCCAAGACCACGTGATACCTGAGTACGTCCTCCTCCTGGGCAGCACACAGAAGTGAAAGTCAACCCACAGGTCAGCCAAGCCCCAGTCACTTACTGGGCTGCCCCCAGCATGCCCAGCACTGTGGGAATTACCAGAGCAATAGCTTGTTGAACTGTAAGGTCTGACCGAGGCATCAGGACGCGGTAGATATTAAATACTAAATCTGAGACACATCACCTCCCACATGGCCAGTCTTCCACGTGGAATGGTCCACAACTCCTGATATGACCCTAAAACCCGGACTGAGGGCATGAAGCTTAAGGAGGGTTTTAAAGATGATTTCTTTCAAGAGAAGTGTTATGAAGAGAGAGTCCCCACACCCCAGCCTGCCTTTCACCCCAGGGACCACAAGAGGAGATGTGATGGGATGTTTTGAAGAACGAGATTGGTGGCAGATACGGTGCCCTGTGGGACTGGGGTTGTACTCAGGCCTGAGCAATCTCACTCCACGGATGGCTGGCAGGTTGATCCACTGGGAGGGCAGAGGTGTGTCCCTGCACTGAGACAGGCCACCATTCCCAGTGCCGGCTTGGGACAAGAAAGGACGTGTGTCCTGTGGGCCAGATGTGTGGCAAGGTTGCAGAGAACTGGGGCCTTAGGTTCTATCTCAGATAGCGGCCTAGCGGGACAGAGAGGCTTCCCCAGGGGAAAAGCTGGAGGTGGGTTCTGGATGCTTAGGGTCGAGGAGGAGATTGATGACTATAGGGCTAGGGTGCATGCACTCAGGTCAAGAGGACAGCAGTCAGAGACCACAGTGGTGGGTGGGGTCTCTAACGAACCACCAAAGCATCGGGGAGGCAGGAAAAGAATATTTTCCACTGAACAGGTTCACAGGGACTGGGCCAGGGCAGGGGAGACAGGATGAAAGTGATTTCTGACCCCTCCCAGGAGCCCTGCTTGTTTATCATGTCAGTTACAGAAGTGTAGGACACTGTCCCTGCCTTTATGGACTTTATAAGCTCCTTGGTGAGCTAAGGACTGCTCACTGGAAAGGACAACTTATCACACCATATAGATGCTGAAGGGCATGCAGATGGTCTGAACTCGGAGACAAGAGAGATTTTCTATTGGCTCGAGTGGTGAGCCAGCTTCCCTGAGGAGGCCAGACTGGACTTGAAGAATGGATGGGGCGATTCTGGAGGTAGTGAAGGCAGAAGGGCAGGCTTTCTGATTGAGGGGGCAGTGTGTGCATGTACGTGCGTTTGTGTGCATGCACACATGTGCACTTGTGTGTCTCTATGTGTGGGTGGATATGAACAAAGGCATCCAACACCCCTTTGGCTTATTTAGGGTCTCTGAGACCATCACTCTGGTTAGATCAGGGGGTTTCTGCAGAGAACAGGTGGGCCCAAGGACGGCTTAGAGGGACTTCAAGTCTCTGTCCACATTTTATTAGCGTCTCTGTCTCAGGCACCTTATTTGAAGATAAAAGGGAAAATAGTGTGCTCGCTGTGCAAATACAGCTTCAAACATGTCCTCCCATCGTGGGGGCTGGGAGCAGGGCAACCCCGGCTCCTAAGTGAAAATTCTGGAGCCACCACTGAATAGAAGATGAATGGCGGCCAGTTGACGGAGGCCTGAAATACCTGGGAAGGTAGCCTGAACTCAGTCCTGCAAGAAATGGGGATCCACCCAAGGGTTTTAAGGCGTGGAGTGGCATGACTGGAGCTTTGTATTCTTTGACAAAATCCTTTGACAAATTTGGACTGTCTAGCCCCAGATGTTAGGAATCAGGGAGGATAGAAGTGGGGAGAAGAGGAGGAAGACAGAGATAGCCCACTTCCTCCTCATCCCTGCCGCTGACATCTCAGGGGACCAGGGAGGCCAGGGCGGAGAAGGAGGGTGGCCAGGAGGACCCTTCCAGCTTCCTGGGACACCTGCATCCTTGCGTAGGGGCCTGACTGTGTGCTCCCAGGGGTGTGAATGAAACACACGGGCGGAGAAAGTCTCTGCGCAAGTTTACCTTAAGTATCTGCACACGGACAAGGAAGCTCTGATGAGAGAGTAGAATGGTCCCTGATTGATGGATTGAAAAACGTTGAGTTTGAATGTTCAGAAATAATTTTCCTGGTTATCGTTCCCAATACCTACTAGAGTTGTGACTTTCTTCTCCCGGATGTAATTCTCGATGGCCTCGTTGTTTGGAGCAAACACTGTGTAAGCGTCGGCTGCCTCGATCGCACTGGCCAGGTTATACTGCTGTGGGGGCAAGAGACAAAAACGCGTGAGGGAGTCCCCTGTGCAGGTACCCCGAGCCAGCAGGTCGTGCAGCGAACGTGGTACTTACAATGATGTAGCCCCGGAAGATGGAATAGTCGGGCATCTGGTCCAGCCGGGTGAGCAGGTTTGGCAAGGAGACAGATAGGCTTCTTTGGGGAACCAGAACCTGGGAAAGGAAGTCCCCAGATTCTGTTAGCATGTGTCCATAGGACTTGCTGCCCTCCGGTAGGTAGGCTCATGTCACATGACCAGATGCAATGATAAGGACCACTGCTTGTCCACAGAGTGCCTCTGCAAATTTAACAAAGGGCACATTTTCCTCTGACGGTTGGCAACACCAAACGGGGGTGCGTAGCCTGGGGAGTGAAGTGGCCTGGGGCTTAGCCCCACGCCACCCTTGGGACAGGCACGGATATGCAGGGCACGACCAGCACACGTGTTCATGGTGGCCTTAGCAAAGGTGACTACAGTGTCCAAGGGCATGTGTAGGGGGTCCTGAGGGAGCCAGTGCAACCCGGAGGCTAAGCAGAGGACTTGGACCAGTTGACAGGCATCCAGGAATCTTTTGTGGTCACATCACTTCCTCCTCAATCCAGTTACTTAACCCCGAGGAGCCTTACTCGCCTCATTTGTGAAGTGAGGACAGTCGCATCTACTGTCTTAGGGTTGTGATAAAAATCACACGAGATAATGTGACATGATATATTGTAACAGGGCTGGTACCTACTGCGCTGTCAATCATTCTAGTTACCACTATTACCGTGTACGAGACTAGGTGCCAATGATGACGAGGGACACAGAGACACAGCCCCCCCCCCAAGGATATGCCATCATGTGGGGGTCCGGGACTATACCATGAGGAAGAACTAGCAGTACGAGAGGGCACAGGGTGCCGAATGAGTTCTACACCCCTAAATCCCATGGAACTATAGGGGAGGAAGAAAGGAGTAAAACCAACATTTACTGAGGGAAAGCCTGCTAGGCAGTAGGCACCAAGAGAGAGTGAGAGAGGGTGTTGTTTCGTTCTCCCTGGGGAAGAAAAATGAAGCTCAGAGAGGTTATGTTGCTTGCCTGAGTTCACATAGCTTGCTCTGAGCTGGTACCCAGATTCTGTATGCCATCCTTGATGATATGGGCTGCAGCGATCAGGGAAGGCTTTGAGGAGGAGGTGAGACTTGAATTGGCCCCATGATAATAACGATCAGGACAGGAGATGGGTTGAGGGGCCATTGTACTAACAAGGTGTGGCCATCAGAAATGTAAATAAGGAGAGGTAATTTAATGTTTTTTAAAAAGGTTTTTCATAGGTTTTTAGTAGGAAAGCCAGGATTGGAGAAGAAAAATACCCTTGGTAAGTAATGTTCATTTGCATCATAAGAAGTCAGAAATCCAACATAGTTCCCTGCAAGTGATCACTTGCTCAAAAATGTGGTTTTCCTTAATGTTTCTTGGTAATACAAGGGAATTATAAGGTTTTTTTTTTTTTTTTTTTTGCAAAATAATGCACCCAGGCATCTTACAAATGGCTTCTCTTTTCTGCACAGAAATAATTGACCTTTTCTGTAAATTTAATCAAAAGTGAGTATAGAAGTGGCAAGTGAGGATAATTTTAGTTAAAATGCTATTAGTTAATTGTCTTTTCCAATCTTCTACCTTTCAAAAGTTCGCAATATACCCTAAATTCTAACCTTAATTTTCAATGAAAATCCTAATATAGTAACCTAAAATTATAGGATAGCTTAAAACCCCATTTCCCGCTACACTTTTTTTTTCTATTTTGTACCTTTGAATACTGTTGCATTGTGTCTTAGAAGAAAATGAAAATTTCAAAATACTTTTTCTGCCCTTTTGCATTTTTTCCCTAGGGCTTCCTTATCCCATCTTTTTAGGGTGCAATAATGCAGAAAGGGGAGAGGAAAAATAATACATAACCACTTGCCTCTCTTCCAGCTCTTGATTAAGATGTTCACATAAATCAGAAATATAATATATGTGGGCCACACTTGCCGAATATAGACTGAGTAAGTTAACAAATAAGTCTGACTGGATGTATAGAACCTCTAAGCAGTTTTAACTCATGGAGCACAACACAGGTACTCTTCCATTAGAGGTAGGTATTTCTACTACCCCCTCAGCCCCCAACACCCCCCCCCGACCTGCCCCACCAAAGATATGTGCAGGAGGACAAATAAATGAAGTCAGAAGAGATGCTGTACTTGTGGAAGGTTGCAAGCGTGTACCTTGTTGATGATGTGTATCAGACCATTCGTGGCTGCATTATCACCGTCAACTACAGATGCCCCTTCGATCGTGATATTCTGTAGATGCAAACCACAGTGGGGAGGTGAGTCTCCATAGGGTAGGAGATTCAGGGATTGAAACTATTTCTGGGTTTTATACGTCTCAAGCAGTAGTGACTTTCACACTTCTGACCATGACCCGAAGTTAGAAGTATCTTTAAATTGTGACACACTAGGCATCACACACACACACACACACACACACACACAATCAAAATGAAGTGATACTTTCCTCTACTATTTGGGAGGCCCCTGAACACCGAGTCTATTCTTTTCTACTTCATTCAAAGAGTGCTGGTTGAGGCTCACCAAAGTGATCCTGCAGTCTGAAAAGTCCTGTAGACAGTGTTGTGGGTTGCATTTGTCCTCAGTATTCATATGTTGGAGTCCTAACCCCCCCATACCTCAGAATGGGGCCTTATTTGGAAATAGGGTCTTTACTGAGGTAATCACGTTACAATGAGATCATTGCAGTCAGCCCTATTCCAACATGGCTGGTGTTCTTATAAGAGGAGGAAATGGGACACAGAGCGCGGTATGGGGAGAACACTGTGTGCGGGTGAAGAAGGTCATCTACAAGCCAAGGAGAGAGCCTGGAGCAGCCCCTTTCAATAGCCCTCAGGAGCCAACCTTGCTCACCCCTTGCTCTTGGACCTCTGGCCTCTAGAATGTGAGACAAAATTTTCTGTTGTTTGGACCACTCACTTTGTGGTACCTTGTTGTAACGGCCCTAGCAAACTCATATGGACAGTACCTGACTTTCCTGATCAGAATCCAGCTACTTTGCAAGAATATTAATTACCCAACCTACACACTCACCAGCCACCAACCAACTACAATACAGCTTGGCTCCACTCTCTCTACTTTCCTTTCTTCTCCCCACCCCTACCCTTTATTTGAAATCCCTCCTGGGACCCTCGGTGCAGAAGGGGACTTGAGTCTCACCCTGACAGCTCCCAAGTCACATCACCAGAGGCCCTGGAGAAAAAATTCCTGGCCACCTTGCACAACTCTTTTGGTCAAAGGGAGATATTTATATCAGACCCAGGAACTCATTAAAAATGTGTCTTTGGTGGTTAACTCCTCCAGGTCAATGGTCCCATTGATTTGTCTCTGACTGCATAGAACCCAGGATAAGCCTGCCCAGGGTGGGTGTTCAGTTCATGCTTGCTGAGAGAATCAGTGATCTAAAACACTGACAGAACATAACCCCATTGTCTGATATAGGTATGTAATGTACTAGAATTAGACCAATAATATGGAAAGAATCCATGGAACTGCATGCAACTCTTTTCTGCTTTCTGCAAAGAATGATCTGATGAGACACATACGTTCCGGTAGTACTAGGCATAGATCCTTTTCACAGTGCTTGCACTGATGAGTAGGAAGGTAAAAATGTTTAAGAGCAGTAATTCCAAAACATTTTTGACAGTCCACTGATGTAGCAGTTCTCACTTTCTAGTAAAATCTTCATTTTCATCTTGTGCAATTCATAGCAAGAGCTTTCAAACACTGGCCTATGCAGCAAGGCAGCCAAACTTCCCGATGCAAGACTGACTCCAAGTCCGGACACACGGCGGCAAGTGCCAGAAGCTGAGCTTCCACGGGGTTGCGGCTCTTCCTTGTGTGCCGCCCTGACTCCAGCACTTAGTGCCTGGCGCATCGTAGGTGCTCAGTAAAGATTGGTTGACTGACTCTAACTTGACATAAAATTTTAGTAACCTATAATGACTCATTAGTAGGTCACCGGGAACCCGTTTTTAGTTCAGCATATACGAATTGCCACAGTTGTGAAACTGGGCAACCTTTACCCAGAACCATGGAAAGGTTTGCCTTTCTGGATCAGTCTGTGGTCTGTCAAGAAGAGCCTTGTGGCCAAGCTGTGGGTGCAGGACCACATTTCATAGCATCACTATTACAAAGTAATGTGTGTGTGTGTGTGTGTGTGTGTGTGTGTGTATCAATATATGTTGACAGTTGTTGAGGCTGGGTGATGCCTACGTGGAAGTTCTATTCTTGGTCTGTTTTTGCTCATGTTTGGAAATTTCCATAACACAAACATTAAAAGTGGGCAGTGCAAACATAGATGACACGTTTTCACTTAACAGACAGATTACAGCACTCTCTTACCCCATCTGCCTTTGCCAGGTGAAGGAAGTTGCCGGGCAAAGACGTTGCCAGCATGTCCGAAGGTGACAGAGCCTGCAGATCTGCCACTCCATATGTGCCCAGCAGCATATGGTATCTAAAGCAACAGTCCAGAAGGGCTATCATGAAATATCAATACATGAAGGAGTATCATTGAATAGTTAAGAAAATAGGTTCTGGAGCCAGACGGCCAGATTCAAACTCTTCCCCTGCAATTATCAGCCATGACGCCTTGGGTTAGTTATGGAATCACCTCAGTTTATACATCTGTAAAATAGGTGTAATTTTAATGCCTATCTCATAGGTTGTTGGGAAGGTGAACTGAGTTATACATAAGGTAGTTAGCACAGAGTTAGCTGTCAATAATGTTAACTATTACCATCCTGGGGAAGGAGGTGAGGAATGTTCTAGAACATGCTGAGTTCCGTGGATCTCAAGGACCATGTGGCTTCCCTCTACTGAATGTCGTTCACATGGATGCCAGTGAGATATCAAGAAGAATAAAATACATAATACCTACTTTATTAGAGCTGGAATATTGCTCTTGGACAACCAAAAGGTTTTTTCGTCTTGATCCATGTCCTCAATAGCTTGCTGGGAAGGCACGAGGACAGTGAGGTTTGAGGCAGCTGACAGCATGGGTTGTAGAGAAGCATTCTGAATCACAGGAGGGAAAGAAGGTGGGCCTGGCTCACTTTAGAGGTCAAACAGGGTGGACTGAATGCTTAGCAGAGATGACAATTTCCCAGGGGAAGTAATTTCAGGGACATTGGAAGGGTCCTAGGGACCCCTTTCCCAAATCCATCCCACCCACTGGCTGGTGTCTCATATTCTCCTCTGAGACACATTCTTTTTATTTAAATGGGTGAGCTTTGTCAAAAGGCAAATTTTCCCCATCCCCCGGTCAGACTTTGAATCATTATCAGTCATTTACCCTTTAGTCTAAACAAAGAACCAGAGAATAGTCTTGATGATCCTGTGTGTGGGTGTGTGAACTTTAAGAACCCTTCCTGCCCTAGGAATAAGGACGGTGGGAAGATTTCAGGAAGCGTTTCAGCATGGGGGACAGACTGGAAGCCTGAAATCAAATTTGACCTACTTTTTGTTCTAACCTAGAGCTAGTTCTGGGTAGACATGGTGCGCTTATGTTTAACAACTGATCCCAGGAAAAACAAACAAAAAGCCCTGGTTTGTAACATTCCCTGATTTCTGTGGTGTATATCCTCCCACCATGGCTGATTTCAAGCTATGAATGTGACAGCATTGAAGGTGAGTTTGGGGAAGATGTGCTCCCACGCGTTGGCATGAGCTGGGTCCACTACCCCACTGGGCAAGTGTATGTATGTGGACTCGGTCTATACGGAAATCATCATGTGCAATAGGACTCTCGGTCCCTGCTCTTTCATGTGGTGGGGCGGAGAGGCCGCACAGGGAAGCAATCAGGAGCTGTCCCAGAGTGGTGCTGACCAGGCTCTCTTTATCTTGGCATGTGTCTACTCAAAGGGGATAAACTAGTAGTTGTGATGGCACCTTGGCCCACTCATGCAAAGATGACAGAGATACAGACAAATGGGTATAGTGGGGATTGGATTCCTCATCATAGAACTTTCCAGGGGAGAGGAAGAAGCTCCTCGGAACATGTTGGGCCAAGAGCTAAGCATCCATGGATTATCCCAGATTACAACTATAAATCCCAAATCCAACTCGGTGAATTGCAATAATGAATTATGTTGACTTTTTAAAAAGACCTCTCGGTGAGTGAAATGATACATATATATTTGAATTGGTTGAAAAGTTGACCCCTCCAGCTTAACTTGGACCAGAAGTTCTTAGCCCTGCTTGCATGTTAGAATCACCTAGGAAGCTTTTAAAATGCACTGATGCCCAGGCTACACTTCTGACCAATCAAGTCAGAGTGTCTGTGGCAGGAGCCTAGGCATGGCTTTTTAAACAGCGCATTCCATGTGATTCCATGTGATTCCAGTGTGGTCAGGGTGGAGGGCCACTGCTCTAGACAATTGCTTTCCCTCCATCCTACCAACTGCGTTTTCAGTTTTGTGGTATATGCATTCCAAATTTCTAACATTGTATACATTTCTGAAGTTCCAACAAAGGTACTCACATTTATCCACTGGTTAAATATAGCTGCCGCAGAGAGAAATGACAATTCCTTATTCATGTGGTGCAGGGGAGGGAGGGAGAGATCAGAGAGAACATGAGAGAAGGAACAATGAATAAGCACAATCACAGCGTGTCTGAGCAGCATGCACTTAGTCTTCCCGGGGCTGGGCTCAGCTCATTTTCCTGACCGACATGAATGGGGGCCAACTAGTTGAATTTTCATGTTGCCAGAGCTGCACAGATCTTTCATGCTTAGCGGCTCCATTATCCTCTCTACTCGAGATAAAGAAGTAATTCCAGAAACTTCAGATGGAATAACCACCTGAAGCTCTTCCAAGTCAGAATTTAAGGTCAATTTAAGAATTTAATTTAAGTTTTTAAGGTCATGGCCCCAGGCCCTAGGGAGGGTCACAGAGCTCAATGACAGCCCCCTCTCAGAGCCAACATTGAGTAGTGGTGCGGAATGCGGAGCCAGACCACCTGGGTTTTCATTCTGGTTTGGCCGTTGCCTGATTCCTTAGGCAAGTTACTTGGTCTCTCTGGGCCTCAATGTTCTTGCCTGTAAGATGGGGATAACAAAAGCTCCAACTGACAGGTTGATGGGAAATTTGGAGGAGTTACTGTTTTGAAGTGCTTAGAATAGAGGCTGGCATGTGGGACTTGCTCAGGAAGTCTTAGCCACTCTTCTTTTTCATCGTTCCACCGTGGACAGTGGGCACCAGTTTGGAGCGAAGAGAGGCATACGAAAGGGAAAAGATGACCTCCACTCTCACACAACTTATACTTGTTTGGGGGAAATTAAGACTCGAAGAGGTACCCACAGCACCAGTAGCTCAGTGATGTGTGCAGGTGTGATAAAGGAAGGTCTAGACCTTGAGTTGAAAAAGACTGGGTTCCCTTCCTGAGTCTGCCATTTACTGTGTGATCTTGGGTAAGTCACTTAACCTCTCTGAGAACTCAAGTCTTATCTGAGAAATGAATATGATGATGCTTTGCTTCTGGGCTTATGAATATTACACGCATTCATGTAGGGGAAAGAATTTTAAAATTATTAAACACCATGAGAATGGCAAGAGTTATTGTATGCAAATTTACACCGAGGCAATAAATCTCAGAGTTGTCTCAATTCCTTTTTGAAAGTGGTTGAGGTTATCAAATGAATTAGTAAATAGCTGTCAGATAGTCAGTGAGTAAACCGACAGGTGCAAGAGCCGAGATGTGTGAGTAATCCCTTGAAGGGAGGGATTGGTTCAAGGGAGAGGACAGTGCAGGTGGGACCTGAGCTGATGGCAGAAAGAGGGGAGGCTGGGTCCCTGGGACAGGGGAGCCGAGCTGGCAAAGGTACAGCGAGGCTAAGCCGTTGCAAGACGAGTGAGCAGCTTACTTCCTGTATGATCTCCTGGAGCACATGACTGGCATCCTAGCCAACAGCTTTTTTTTTTTTTTTTTTTTTTTAGAGTTTTGTGTCTTCATTATTCTGCATAGGAGTTCATTTTGCAGACTTACCACGGCTGCATTTCCATAGCACAGAAGGCCATCTCCTTCATAGCCCTCCTGGCAAACACAACTCCAGAGGCCAGAAGTAAACTGACAGGTTGCCTGATAAAACAGAGATAAAAGAAAGAGTTTGCCTTCCTTACAGAATAGTTAGCTCTGAGTTACATCTGTGAGCCCTCAGCCTCCATTGAAAGTGAGAACTGCAACTTTGGGGTTGAAAAGACGCTGAGAGTGACCTGCAGACCCTGCCCTATCCCAAAGAAAGGCTCCTGTCTGTGTTTGGTACAGCTCCTGCTTAATCACAATTAAATTCTTTCTTTTCATCCCTCACAGATTTAGCCTGTGGAAGTACCGGACACACAGTTAATTTGAGTTTCAGATAAACAAGTAAGTTTTAGTATAAGTATGTCCTATGTAATGTTTGGGGCCCACTGGTGAAAGACAATCATCGTATAGTTTCACTCATACGTGGAACATAAGGAATAGCATGGAGTGCCACAGCGGAAGGGAGGGAAAACTGAATGGGCAAAAATCAGAGAGGGAGACAAACCGTGAGACTCTGGACTCCGGGAAACAAACTGAGGGTCACAGAAGGGAGGGGGTGGGGGATGGGGTGACTGGGTGATGAACATTAAGGAGGGCACATCTGGTGATGAGCACTGGGTGTTATACGCAACTAATGAATCGTTGAACACTACATCAAAAACTAATGATGTACTATATGCTGGCTAACTGAACGTAATAAAAAGAAAGAATTGCCAGGTTTAACAAATAGAAAATACCAAGTTAAATATGAATTTTAGAGAAGGTCTGGGTAATTTTTAGTATAAATTTGTCCTATGTAATTGTTGGAACATACTTGTGCTGAAGGATTGTTATTTATTTGACATTCTGATTTAGCTGGGAAGCCTGTATTTTATCTGGCAATCATACGTTGGTTCTTCCAAGCTTTGGACTGGAGTGACATTTGTAAGAACATTCTGCCTGGGTACTCTCTGGGAGGAGGAGAGATTTTGTTCATTAGTAGTTCTAGATAGGAAATAAACTAGTCTTCTTTCTTTCTCAAGTAATTTTTTTTTTCTTTTTTAAGTAAGGATAAAAGAAATGAAGTAACTCACCAGTGGATGACATTTCCCAGTTTGTTCCAAGCATGAAGTTACTGCTTCACAATCAATCCCATTTCCTCGAAATCCTTCCTTGCACTCACACTCATTCTATAATTCCAAGAACAAAAGGGATTATTGAAAACAATTGCCTTTCAAGCCTCTCATCACGTGGCCTGAAAAATGAGCCACGGAAATCATAGTTGTTTGGCCTTCTGAGTTAATGTCTTTCGTTTGTTACGCTTCAGATTCCAGAGCTGTTGCTCTACACATTCTGTGTTACATTTCATCTGAGAGTTCCCTGGTACTTTCTTTTTGAACTCATTATCCCAGAAGTGCCATACGTGATTCAAGACAACCCATGAAGTTGTGGGAAGAAAGGAATAGAATTTCTACTTAAGAATTTTTATCTTTAACAATATAAGTATCATTTGCTATGTGTGCTTTATAAGATAAATGTGTGTATCTTTTTTTTTTAGAGATTTTATTTATTTAATTGACAGAGAGAGAGATAACGAGAACAGGAACACAAGCAGGGGGAGTAGGAGAGGGAGAAGCAGGCTCTCCGCTGAGCAGGGAGCCCAAAGTGGGGCTCGATCCCAGGACCCTGGGATCATGACCTGAGCTGAAGGCAGATGCTTAACAACTGAGCCACCCAGGCGCCCCTGTGTGTATCTTTTTCAAAAAAGACTTTATTTATTTGTTGGAGAGAGAAAGAGAGTGAGAGCGAGCAGGAGCACGAGCCGGGGGTGGGAGGGTGGGGATCCTGGGGTCATGACCTGAGCTGAAGGCAGACGCTTAACCGACAGCCACCCAGGCTCTGGTAAATGTGTGTATCTTAGATGCAAGTATATGTATACAGAAACACCTGTATACATCTTTATGCGGCAGGGCAAGACCTTATAAACATGGGTGTTTAATCCTTTCCACTTGGTATTGGGGTAGCACCTCCCTGTACCCCCAACCCTGACATGTTGAGCCAAACACGGTTTGTCTTACATAAATATTCATGGTAATTAGGATTCCTGCCTAATATCTAAAAGTTCCCAAGCCAACTAGTAACTACTGAGGGCAATCCTAGATATGGTCTATTTTATTTCTTATATGGCACCATTTAAAAAAAAAAACAAAACACCTTTCTCTTCCTCCATCTCCCACGTCAGGATTCCTTTATCCACAGAAAGAAAGAGCAGAGAGGGGATAAATACTGTTATGGGTTGAACTGGGTCCCGACCAGTCCCAATTCATATGTTGAAATCTTGATACCAGGACCTCAGAATGTAACTTTACTTGGAAATAGGATTATTATTATGTAATTAGTTAAGATGTGGTCACACTGGAGTAGGGTGGGTCCCCAATCCAATATGACTAGTGTCCTCACGAAAAGGGGAGATTTGGACACAGACATGCGCACAGGGAGACCGCCCTGTGAACATAAAGGCGGAGGCCAGGATGATGCGTGGACAAGCTGAGGAACTCCAGAGATTGTCTGCAAACCACCCAGAACTTGGAGAGAGGCATGGAACAGATTCCTCTTCAAGCCCTTCGAAGGAGCCAAGCCTGGCCACACCTTGATCTTGGACCTCTAGCCTCCAGAACTGTGAGACAATACATTTTTGTTGTTCTATGCTACCCAGTTAGTGACGCTTTGTTTCGGCAGCCTTAGCAAACGAATACAGAGACCAGGACATATTTTGTCTTTCTCAAATGCACTCTGGCAATTTAGGTGAGTCAAAAAACGAATCCAATTGTTTGCCAAATGCGTGGTGAGACATAAGACGGCAGTGAGCTCTTTCATGAATAGGACATTTCCGCGGCCATGGTCATGGTACAGTTGTCATCACCTCCCTAGTGTGGACTGGTTCTTGAGCAGTAGCTTTCTCTGCCTCAGTCTCCCTTACACCAGGTTAACTGAAAGTGATCACAGACTGCAGAGTGCTACAGAATTACAAAGTGTGGTCAGGTGACTAAGAGGAGTCTGGAGTCAGACTATCTGAGTGTGAATTTCACAACATGATTTATTTTCTGTAGGATGCGAGCAAATTACTTAGCTTCTCTGTGCCTCAATTTTCTCTTTTTTAAGATGGGAATAATGCTAGTAACCTATGTGGCAACAAAAGCAAAAATAAACACACGGGGCCACATCTAACTGAAAAGCGTCTGCATAGCAAAGGAACTCATCAACAAAATGAAAAGGGAACCTACTGAATGGGAGAAGATAGTTGCAAATTACATATCTAATAAATGGCTAATATCCAAAATATACAAAGAACTCATGCAATGCAATAACAAAACAACAAACAATCCTTTTAAAAAAATGGGCAAAAGATGTGAATAGATATTTTTCCAAAAAAGACACACAGATGGCCAACAGGACATGAAAAAACGCTCGATATCACTTGGCATCAGGGAAATGCAAATCAAAACCACGATGAGATATCACCTCACACCTGTTAGAATGCCTATTATCAACAAGACAAGAAATAACAAGTGTTGGCGAGGATGTGGAGGAAAGGGAACTCATGCACTGTTGGTGGGAATGTAAATTGGTGCAACTACTGTGGAAAACAGTACGGTGGTTCCTCGAAAAATTAAAAATAGAACTACTGTACCTTCAAGCAATTTCATTTCTGAGTATTTATCCAAATTTGAAAAGATAATCTGCACTCCCATGCTCATTGCAGCATTATTTATAATAGCCAAATATGGAAGCAACCCAGATGTCCACTGATAGAGGAATGGATAAAGAAGAGGTGGTATATATACACAATGGACTGTTACTCAGCCATAAAAAAGAATGAGATCTTGCCATTTGCAACAGCATAGACGGACCTGGAGGGCATTATGCTAAGTGCAGTAAGTCAGACAGAGAAAGACAAATACCATGTGATCTCAATTATATGGGGAATCTTAAAAATAATTGAAAAAACCCCAAACACCAAAACCCGAGACCAAGCACATAGATAAAGAGAACAAATTGGTGCTTGCTAGAGGCTGGGGTGGGGGTGGGCTAAATGGGTGAAGAGTGTCAAAAGGTGAAAAGAAAAAAGTACCTACATCACAGGTTTGTTGTGACAACCGATTCTCACTACTACAAATGATTCAAAAGCTGCAGTAAGTTCTAGACGAAGTAGTGCTGCGTCCAGTGGGGAAAAGCCACTGGAGGAGTCCCGCTCCCCTTCGGTCTCTGCCTTGTCCCACCTACCTGCCCGGGGCCGATGTACAAACATGTTGCGTTGGCGTGGCAGCCGCTGGTGCTGGCTAGCAGGCACTTGTCGATCTCCGAGCAATCTCTGCCATCCCCGGTCCACCCCTGCTGGCACACGCACGTGTGGGTCCCCATGCCCGTGCTGACGCACTCTGCCTGCAGGGGGACAAGCCACAGCGAATCTCGGAAACCTCAGTCCAGCCACATGATTCCCAAAGCAAAAAACAGGGGTACCTTCCAGAAACGCGTGTTTGCATGGAGTGCGATAGAAACGATTACAATGCACGTTTGCACCGAATCCATGGAAAACAGGAGACGATGTAAAGACCAGCATTGCTTGTTGTGGGCCAGCTAATGGCCAGCCCCCGGCACGTCGCTGTCATTTATGGAGCCGGGGACCGTTCTTAGTGTTTCCCCGGTAGAAGCCATCATCTTGAGGAAGGGCGCGTTAGTATCTGCTTTACAGATAAGGAAGCTAGGCTGAGAGGAGTTAAGTAACTTGCCTAAGGTCACACAGCTACAAAACTTCAGGAACCCTGTCTCTAGAATGCTGAAGTGCAAGCTCCTAACCGCTGAAGCTACTCCAGGCCTCTCCGGAGGGGCACCCAGCACCTGGGAGGCTGAAGGACAGCGTGACAGGGAGGAGGTGCCGGGGACGCTGTCCAGAGGCTGGGACCAGCTCCAGGGGCGTCTGGTGGGATGGGGCAAGGCATTCCCGTCTGATTTCACCCTTGGAGCCTGACAGCTACGGAAGAGGTTTTGGCACGGGAGGAACATGATCCGATCCGCTTCAAGTCACTCTGGCTGTGGGTGGACAATGAATGCCCGAGGGGCGGGGCGGGGGGAGCGGAAGCAGCAGGGAGACCAGTTAGTAAACTGCGTAGGGCTTGGTGGTGGTGGCAGGGATGTTCAAAAGCAGTGGTGAGTTTGGGCTATATCCCTGAGCTATACCCAATAATAGAACTTAGGGCAAGTCACTTAGCGTCCCCAAGCCTCAGTTTCTTTATCAGCACAATGGGGATAAGAACATTCTTTATTGGGTTGGGGGGTTAGGGAAAGCAAATGAAATCATGGACATTGAAGGCACTTGTAAGCTGTAACGTTTGAATCACTGGTTTATTACTAATAACCTCCAATATCTGATTCTCAGTCTCTTGTTTTCAAGAGCCCAAAGAACCCCGCTCCTGTGGTCCTGGGACATCCCCTGCACATGCAGATTTAGGAAGTGGAGGCTCACAGAAGGCACTGGCATCATCTTTAAAACTCAAGGTTCCAGCAAATGTGCTTCATGCAACGGAAAGCCTTCAGATACCGCTTTTTGCAAGGCCTTCCCTCAGGATTTCCTAAGAAACCAGGCAGCTTGGAAATAAAGAGCAACACTCACATTTCGGTTGCAGCCCCCTGGCATGATTTCTGCACAAGGGTCCATTTCTGAACAGAGGCTTCCATCCCCTTTGTATCCTGCTTTGCAAACACAGCTGCAACGAAGAGCAAGTGCACAAAATCAGCCCCAGAAATGTAAGCAGCAACCACCCAGGAAAAGGCCGGCCAGCCAGGGGTGAACTGGCTCCTGGCCAGACATTTGACAGGTTGCCCTTGTGGGCGGAGCCAGTGTACCAAGGTGGTCACAGGCACTTGGAGGCGGGGGTCTGCGTTCAGACATGCCTGGGTGGGAATCCAGGCTCCAACTCTTAGCAGTCATGTGACCCTGGATGAGTCCCTTAACCTCTGGGAGACTTTGTTTCCTTATCTGGAAAATGAGTCTAAAATCTCCCGCATGAAGCTGTGAAGATTAAGTGAGTGAGATAAAGCATGTGGAACATTTAGCAGGCGCTGCCTGCACTTGCACCTTGTGAGGCCCGACTTCCGGCAGAAGCTTTGCTGCTTTGATGGGGCTGGAATCTGCCTCTAGTTATTATCCGTGGTTCTGCAGAGAACAACTACCATCTCTTCTACGAGACGGTTTTTTTTTTTTAATTTAATTAATTTATTTGAGAGAGAGAGAGCACAGAGGACAGGAGCTGAGGGAGAGGGAGAGAGAATCTCAAGCAGACTTCCCGCTGAGCATGGAGCCTGATATGGGGCTCGATCTCATGACCCTGAGATCATGACCTGAGCCGAAGCCAAGAGTCAGACCCTTAACCAACTGAGCCACCCAGGCGCCCCTCTTCTATGAGACAGTTTGTAAAATATTTAAAAATGACAGTCAGGTGAGACCTCCCCTCTTGCCCTTCTCTGCTCACTCAGACTTTTGGTTTTTGGAGCACCACACTCTCAAAGTGCCTGATTCCATGAGCTGACATAGTTTACTGACTCCTCACCCTTTGAGACACTCCTCTCAAAATATTTCACCGTGATACTTTAACTATCAAATGGGCTGTTCATTCATTCGTTTGGCCCACCAAGATTTACTGAAACCCTTGTGAGAGGTGCTGCGTCCTCTGTGGTTCCATCATAATCCACATCATTTGCTGCAAATTCAGTCATAGGTGCTTCACAAGAATTTAAAATAGAATTATTTTTCAGGTGTCAAGGTTCCATGAGGAACAAAATACTTTGTCTGGTGCCCAAATGAAAAATAGATCGATCTGTTCCAACACTGTTTGATTTGCCTAAGTTTATGTAGTATATACAGACCCATGTCAATAGCCCTTTGTGAGTGATTTCAGAGGTTTTAAGGACAGTTTTGATAACTTGTGATTTTTCCCTTATGCATGGATGTAGATCCTCACTCCCAAGGCAAATGCATTTCTATGGTACTACCGTGGAGGAGAAAAGACAGTCTCTGGGTCCATGCTGCCTACCCTCTAGTGGGGGAGACAGATCATAAACAGGGAAGTAAGTAACTATGCAATTACAAATTAAGAAAAGTGCTATAAAAAAGAGGCTAAGATTATCAGCCATTCTCTGCATTTCCCAGGTTATTTTTCAGGTGGTTACTACCTTTGAACCAGAGATGTTCCCAGAGAGGAAAATTTCCTCTGACATTCCCCCTGCCCCATCTCCAAGCCCAGTGCATATATTAGACACTATTAAGGAAACAAATGGTGATCTAATGACCAAGACCCAATTTCCTGTAAGATGCCTTTAACAGGGGGAGTTATTATTAATGGCCCTAGGATGTAAAGGTTTTTTTTAAAGGGTTGGACAGTGGTGGACATACTTTCATTTCACGTAAGTAATGATAATAATTATAGTTTCCATGACCAAACACCTATGGTGTCCTAGCTCTGGTGCTTGGTGCTTTTTTTTTTTTTAAGGTTTATTTATTTATTTGAGAGAGTGTGAGCAAGGGGAGGAGCAGAGAGAGAGGGAGAGAGAATCTCAAGCAGACTTCCTGCTGAGTGTGGAGCCCGATGATGCAGGGCTCTATCTCATGACCCTGAGATCGTGACCTGAGCCAAAATCAAGAGTTGGCCACTTAACCAGCTGAGCCACCCAGGCGCCCCTGGTGCTGGGTGCTTTTACATCCAGTTTTTATGATCTCCACAATTACCCTGCTATGTAGGCAACATCATCCTTATTGTCCTGATGAAGAAAGTGAAGCTCAGTTAAGTAACCTGCCCAAGGTCACACAGTTGGTACGTTTCAAAGCAGGGAGTGCGGCTACTTGAACCCAGCTCAGTCTGAGGTTTTCTCCACAAAGGCCACATTGGCAGCTGGAGAAAACAGGCTTTTGTTGGCAAAGAATTGAGATATGGGCTGCATCTACCTACAGGTGGCACAGTGGCCGGGGGCTGTTTAGGGGGGTGCCCTACAGGCCTACCTTGCTGTCCCATTGCTGTATTCACAGGTGGCGTGGATGTGACAGAACTGTACGTAGGGCCCACAGGCGGAGGTCTGCTTGTGGCAGAACCTCCCCGCAGAGCCTTCTCTGCATGTGCCGGCCAGGCAGGCCCCGTCACTGTCGATCCTGTTATTGCATGTTCCGGAAATGCACAGACATTCTGGAAGAGAAGGAAGAGGGACATTTGGGGGTTGGGGGACAAATGTAGCAATGGGGCACATGGGTCATGGAGGAGAGAGACCCCTTCCCCCCACCCCCCTCTCATGCCCGTCAGAGCAGAACCTGGGGCGGAGCCGGGGGAGGGCTCTGGAGGCTATGTCTTAGCTTCTCAAGTGTGTCTCCATGTGCCCAAGACAGTGCTTGGTGAGCTTGACTGTCCCATCAAGGATGGGAAGAACTCAGTCCCAGAAGGGCTTTGCATGTATGTGTGTGGGGGGTGTGTGTGTGTGTGAAAGATGCCAAGGAACTCAATCTTCATTTACTTTATTGGTGGAGAGCTTAGTCTGGAAATTTCTCACCTTTCTGGAATCAGTAGAAGTGATTTCTCACGCCGGCATGGCCTCTGACGTGTGGCTTACATACTTGTTCTTTAGTCTCTATCACAGCAAACCAGTGCTAACTGATGGCCAGTATTTGTGCACTGACCTTGTTCTAGGCTTCGGTCCGGACTTTAATTGTATCATCTTATTAACAGTCAACAGCCTCAGAGGGTAGGTACTCTTATCATCCCCGTTTCCAGATGAGCAAACTGAGGCCCAGAGAGGTGACACACATTGCCTAACTTGCTGCTAAGTTTTCAAACAGAGACTTGAACCTAGGACTTCACATTCCATGTCTGTTAGTGCCCACATGCAAACACCATAGGTTAGGGTATTAGCTGGTGTTTCCACATGCTCGTGATCATTTTAAACTTCAGCGGTTTACTTTGCTTTTGATGATAGGTATTTAAAAATTGCAACGCATGCTTCAAACTCAAGCTCCTATGCACGCGGTAGTGAAAAGAAGGATGCAAAATTTCTTAAAGGCAGGTGGCAAGGATTTGAGGGCTCGGCTATGATCAGAAAGGAAGGCTTCTGCAGTTTTGCCCCAGGAGGGCAATAGGAGAGGAATTCGTGTGGGTGCTTGCAGCCAACATCCAGGACAGAGAAGAGAGACACAGTGAGTGGGCCAGAAAAGCATGGCTGGATTTAAAACAAAAAACTTTTCATAAACTTTTAAGCAAGTCAGGACTTCATCTGCAAGGGACAAGGGCACAGAAGGAAGAGGAGGCTCTCCTGCATGGGATGGTGGGCAGCCACAGGCCAGGACGAGAGGCGTTGGTGCGGAAACCTCCATGGCTTCCCCTGGCCTCAGCATCCTGCCCTGCTGGCCTCATAAAAATACCAACGTTGGCAGGCTTTGGAATAAAACCTTATTTTTGTTTCTCAGAAACCTTGTTTGGCATAAAGAACAGTGGACTAGGATCAGCAGCCCCACCCTGCTGTGTTCCAGTTTCCTGTCCATCTTGAGAGGTGGGTGTGAAGATCAGACCAGGTGAGAGAGGGGAAGGGCTGTGTGCTTTGTAACCAGCAAATGGCGTTAGGAGTGATCATAGTAAGAAGGGCTTCATCTACTGATTTCTTGCTAGGTGGAAGCTCTGTGCTATGGCCCTAAATTATGGTCTAACTGCATCAAAAACCCATGACATGGGTACTATTATTATCTTCATTTTATAGATGGGGAAAGTAAGACTCAATGAGACTCCTTCTAGAGTCACACAGCCTGTCAGTTGCAGAGTGGGGATTTAACTTCTGGCTGGCTTGATTCCACAGCCAGCTCTGATCTAGTCATTGTTTTTTTCTTTCAAGTTCTAATCCTAGTGTAGAAATATACATCTATATTTATTTCTACATATCTATGTATCTATCTACTTAAATATATACATGTTGCAATTTTAAAAGGCATAATGCATTTTCTAAGATCAAATAACTGCATTTTTTTTTTTAATGCCTAGTGTTGTGGAACTTTCTGCTTGTTCTCCAAGCTTCCTGACATTTACGTCACTGAACTTAGAATAATGGCAACAGTAACAACAATCACAGATAACAATAAGAGCTAGTGTATTTGTATTGCATTCTAGGTGCTAGGCATTGTCCCAAGGCAAGGGCTTTCCATTTATAATTTGCACTAACGTTATGAGGTAATTACTATTATTATCCCCATTTTATAGATGAGGAAACCAAAGTCTAGTGGGGGGAGTCACTTGCCCAAGGTCAGAGGAGGGAGGTGATAGAAGGGGATTGCTGGAAGGGTAGAGAGTGGGTCTGTGTGTTGCTACTGAGCCCACGGTCAATTCAGGTTTGTGGGGAAACCTTAAGAGACTGGTTTTCAAACTGTGGTCCTTTGGCCAACAGTGTGGGCATCCCCAGGGAACCCGCTAGAATCACAAGTTCTCCAATAGCACCCCAGGCCCGCTGCCTCAGAAACTCTGCAGTGGGGCCCTGCAGTCTGGTGTGGGCTACAGCTTGAGAACCATGTGTTGAGAAATGACCCAGGATGAGGGTATACACCAAGCAAAGGGGCACACAGCCCACAGACGCAGGGATCCTGGCTGAGGAACGGGAGGAAGCTCTGGAAGTGCCACTTACTTTTGTCACACCGAGGTCCGTATTTATTGGGATCAGAGCAGAACTGACACTGGGAGCCTTGGAAGCCATCTTGGCAAACGCACGTCCCATTGCCATCCAGGCCGTCCGCACACTGCAAGCAAAGGCAGGCCCCAAGGGCATGAGGACAATGCTCCACCGTAAAGAAGTCCCAGATGCCTTTGTGTCATGGCCTGACTTCTTTGAAGTCAGATTCTCTCTGCTACACATGGCTCTTTGGGACTCCTCGTGGAAAGAGGAGTCATGTTGGTAACAGGTAGGATGCTAAAACAAGGACAAGCTTGGGGTCCTGAGTCGGGATTTCAAACTTGAAGGGAAGTCATTCAAGGAAGAAGGGTGTCACCATGGTGAACTGGGAAGCTGCAAACAGTGCTTGCGGGATGGTGTGACCAGCCACCGACCTTCAGAATGAAGGCTGGCCGTTCTCTCCAGAGTCTCGCTCGCTCAGCTTCCTGACTTCAGACAACAGCGTCTCCCCCTGCAGTGTAAGACTTCTTGTCTTCCACCTCCCCATTTCAGCTGTTTCAAGGTTGGCTTTGCAAGGATCACTGTGCACCAGAGCTGGGCGGGGGCGACTTCCTGCCACAGGCTGTGGTAGCTAATTCGTACCTGCTTTGCCCTGGTCTTCCTCACCTCAACCCATTTGTGGTTGCAGTTTGTCCTCCCCCTTGAGAGGGGCATATTTTAGATGTGGGTTTCTTAAATGCACAGATCTATAATTTCCCATGTTAACCACTGCTACTTTTACCTTTGTTTGTTTAGCTTTGGCCTCTAAGCTAGAGGAGTCAAGTTTGGGCCTTTACATTTTACTAGGTTTTGGAGGTGGGTTAATAAAAAGCGGATCACTGGGCTGTGCCTTTTTTTTTTTTTTTTAGTATCACAAAATCTTCATCCTGAAAGAAATCTTAGAGATCAATGCAGGGGACTCTGCTTTCCTCTCATAGGAGGAAAGTGGGGTCAGAGGGAGCCCTCATTGAATTATCCAAGGTCAAGTGGTCAGCAGCAGGAAAGCAGACATTGGAACACTCCCAGACTCCCCCCTCCCCACCTCTGGCCCCAATTCCTTCCGCTACATCTGTTCTTTTAGCAACTGATCTGTTTCTTCTACTTTCTGGGAATAGTGACTGGCACTGTAACACTTCCTGGTTTAGTGGTTTTAAAAATTGCTTTTCCACTTGACTTAGGACAGGTCAAGCTCAGTACTCATGAAACAGTTTATATCACCTGGCCGTTCCCTGAGCACGGATTCGAGAAGCCTCCAGGACACTGGTTGCAGTCAGGCCCGTAGAAACCTTTGCAGCACTTTGGTATCTGAGAAACAAAACGCGTGTTGCCTTTTGAAACTGCAAGCAGAGTGCCAATTCCTCAAAGGAGATACATTTTAATCTCCATTATTGTAATAAACAGCATTAGCTCCCCGTTATGGGCTCAACTTCATCTGCAGATGATGGCACGGCTGGTGCTCAGCCATCTGCTCACCACACGTGTACTGAGTGCCAACCATGGCTGCCAAGCCGGCTCTGGCACTGCGAGAACAAGACCTGAAGGCTTGTGCTGATGGAGGCCACCCTCTATGTTGTCGGGAAGAGACTGTCAAGGATGGTAACAGACAAGCTGGACACGCGGCAGTGGCCGGTCCGTAGCGGGGTTGGGGGGGGTGCGTCAAGAGTGTGGGCTCTCTGTTAAGAGCCAGAGGGAACCACAGGAGGGATGGATGCAGGGAAGGGGGTGACCTGGACCCCATGGAGAGAGTTCACTCTGCCATTCCCCTGCAGGAAGACATGGCCAAGGCCCCACCGGCACCCTGTCACCTCACAGGTGCTGAGGCCCCGGAGTGTGGCCCTGGAGATGCCCGGCCCTGCTAGCCTCACCTGCACAGTGGCATTGCAGTATCGGGCACAGCCGCTCTTCAGGCTCCTTATTCTGCCAGTGTAGACACATCTGTGTGTGAAGAGTGTCTGGAAGAAAGCCAATGGGAAAAATGCATTGAGTCTGCATTTTGAGGTCCTCTGGGCATTGCTCGGTTTCGTACACTCGAGAGCCTACTTCCGTTTCCCTTTGACATCAGGCAAGAGCACCAGAGCACTCCAGCTCACGTGGCTCTCTGTCAGAGCTTCGTCACCTTCTTTCCTTGTTGGTAGAACACAGGCTGGGATTGGCACAAGTCAGGGCACATTTATTTTTACCTCCCCTCTCTTGCCATAGCAGACTTTGCCAGTTGACCAGGGAACACTCTAATGTTCATCCTCGATGTGACTTAGCCTCCTCTTCTAATCAATAGCCATCCCCAAGCTCCTTCTAGATAGAAATTTTGGAGCCAGTAGAGAGTCTCTCTCTAGTCTGTAGAAAGATCCACCAAACAAAATAGTGATGGTCTGAGTTTTTCTCATAGGAGTGGTGTATATATATGTGCATGGAGGAAAGACTTAAGTGCAACCTTCCATTCTCTAAGCCCTGGTGCCCGATCATAATTATCTAGAGCTGCCATTTATCAAGAGCCCACTAGGGTCAGATGCACTGCACATATAAGGTCATCAATCTTCAACTCTTTCCCTCTTTTGTAGATGAGGGAACTGAGGCCCCGACAGGTAAACCATTTTTTCTAAAGAGCACCACTAGTAAGGGGCAGGTCCAGAGGATGGGTCTTACCACATACTAACTTTAGGATATCACAGGCAAGTCATGTAGTCTCTGTGGGCCTCAACTGCCTCATCTGTGAAATGGGACAATAATGCTGATCTCAAGTTTTATCCTAAGCATTCTGTCCCTGGCTCAAATTTTATGTTAGGTAACCGTTGATGTGGAGGCACCCCTTCATCTTAGGCTCTTGCTCAAGAAGGTAGTGTTGAGAGCTTCATGGGCTGTAAAATCCTAAAATCTGAGCTATATAAAGGAATTCTGCAGTCACTGAGGAAGGAATATTCAGTCCTCTTGTCAGCTCTCAGGATAATTAAGTAAGTTTAGACCATGGGAGCCTGGGAAGGGAAGTTTTGGGCTTTTTTGGTTCTAACCCATGTATCTAATTCTGCCTTCTTTCTTTCCTTCTCTTCCTTACTTGGGCTGTAGTGATGGAGGATCATGGTTCTGCCACGTATTAGCTGTGTGACCTTGTACGAAGCGTTTTATGTTTCCTTATCTTCGTTCCCAGATCACAAGAGGGCTATGATGGTAATATACCTACCTCGTAGGTTTGCTATGTAAAGCATTTAGAACAATGTCTTGCACACAGCAATCGCTCTGATGCTAGTCAACATGATTTCCTCTCTTTTCCTCCCTCTCCGTATTCCCTGGTTGACAGCATCCTGTAGGACTCAGGGGTGATGTCTTGACTGAGCAAAATAACTATCTGTACACCTGCCCCTGTTTAATGTTCATGTTTTGCTTTATTAAATGCTTCTCAGTAGGATTGTGTTAAAGAGCTCATCTCCTTCCTTAGTGACCTATTCTAGTGTTGAATGATACTTCTCGTTGGGATGCTCTTTTTTTAGGACAAAATTATAGGCAGAGATTTCTAACATCAATTTTACCTTGGAGCATTTTGCTTTTGTCACCTATAGAGCACTTGGCATATGAATTCTGGATTGTTGTAGAACGATCTGTTTTCCCTGTTAGACTACATCTTCTCAACACAAAAGCAAAAATGAAACAAAACTACATCTCATTCATCTTTATGCCATGGGAACCAGCTCTCAATAGATGTGAGCAGAATTCAGTCGAACTTGAAAAGGGTTTGATGGTCCTAATGTCATTCTCTTGATAGGCCTTGCATTTCTATCTAGAAAAATGCTTGGGGTGAGCAAAGAGGAGTAAAGTGTGGCAGAATATGTCAGCCCCAAATCGGCCACTTGGCCTAAGGATTGTTTTGAGCTCAAGGAACCCTTGAAAAACAGCAGATAGAAAAAGGACACTCTGACTTCCCCCCGCTTCTTTCTGAAAACAGGAGATAAAACTCCCCTGTGAAAGATGCCCTCCCTGTACCAGGACAAAAGAGACCTCTTGTCACTAGAGACAAGAAGCTGAAGCAGAGAAAAAGCTGCACAAATGGGCCATGTTAAAATAACCCTGAATTCCCTCTAGCCTCCCTGTACAGTGACTTTCCCATAATTGCCTCCTTTTATTTAACCTGCCACGTAAACATTTGGGTTTTGCCATTTCTTTGGGTCTTCGCTTTCTTATGGGCTCTCCTGTGTACACATACAATCTGTGAACTTTTCTCTTGTTAATCTGTCTAATGTTCATTTAATTCTCAGGCCCAGCCAGAGATCTTAAGATGGTGAAGGCAAAGCTTTGACTCCCCTATACAAACTTAAGAGGGTGAAGTAGAGAAAGAATGAATCTTTACTGAGTAGCCACTTGATTCATGTATTGTACTTGGGTTTTTAATCTCTGCTAATCCTCTTATTATTATTATTTACAGACAAAAAAATTTAGTGTAAGAAGGTTAAGCAATGCCCCTAGGGTTTAATGAGCAAGGATTCAAATGCAGCTCTGTCTACCCTCCCCCATACAGTGGGCTTTCTACCCTCCCCCATATAGTAGGCTAAGAGCCAATCTGACGTTACCCCAGTTGGAATTAATATCTTTTAAGAAGAAAGGTAGAAAAGATGAGAAGCAACACCAGTGGGGACACTTGGGTGATGTGTGGTTTCACGAAGCCATCACACTTACTGTGGGCTCAGAGTTAGCAGGACATTTGCTCCAATACACCAGAGAACAGCTCACACAGGTGCCCTGGAAGGAAAGACAAGGATCAGTACAGGTATCCCTGGAAGAGGGAGCAGGGGACCACCCTACCTGGCCTCATGCTCCCTTCCTCCAGGGGACCGCTCTGGGGCCTCCCTCTCCACTCCCTACTGGGGCCTCCCTGGAGAGAAGGAGGGAGGTCAGTGTCCGTGCCAGAGGGTTTAGGAGCTGGAACTGAGCTTGCTCAGAGCAGCCCCCTCTTCTCCCTTGTTCACGGTCAGATCAACCGTCCACCGGCCTGAGGTTTCTGATTGATTCCCCGCCATGTAGAGGCACCTGTCCCTGAGGAAGCATTGCAGATTTTCCACCTGTGCCAGAGATGGAGCGTTAGCACTGGGCACAGACTTGTTCTCCAATTAGCCTAGCGGCAGCAAAGCTAAGCATCAAATCTCCGTCTTTCAGTCTCTGAACTGAAAAGCGCCCCCCCCCCCCCCCCCCCCCGTGGCTTCTTTTTTCATAGGGGCTATAGAGGCCGTGGAGTGGTGCGAGACAAAGAAACTTTCCAGATCAATTTTCTGACCTCTTTTGGGCTCTGTGCTCCAGCAGGTGGACCTTGAAGAATGATCTCCCAGCACCCCCCTGCCAGTGTCTTA